CGAGGCCCCGCCTGCGGCTGGACGGCACCCTGGCGGGGCCGATAAAAGAAAGTCAGCGACTGGCCGAGGGGCCTTTATCACGGCCGGCAAGCCAGAGGAAGGCCGCCTGGCCTCCGCCGCAGCCCGGGAGCCCGAGGCACCAGCACAGCTCGGGGCTGGGGGTACGGGGTTTCCTCAGCCAGAACTCCCCGTGTGGGGGTGTTGGTGTCATGCACTGCTTACGTCCCCTGGGCGTTCATGGGGAGCCCCCAAAGCCTTGTGCACCCGGGTTCCCCACCTGTCAAGGTGCCCAACCCTCGGGGCCTGGGCAGCGTTCAGCTGTGCCCCCCTGACGGGAGGGCGGGCAGCCCCAGGCCTGGATTCAGGCGTGTCTGTCTTGGGGTTCACCCCTGGTACTGTCCAGCCCCACTTTGGATTTTGCTTCCTGTCCTTGGTAGCCTGGGGGATGTTCCAGGACTTACAAAGGGGTGATCTGGTCCCCTGGGTAGGGCTTGTGCAGTGTGACCCTGTGCAGGAGCCCAGAGTGACCCTCATGCTAGGGGGACATTGTGTGGCCAGAACCCCTGCTGGGCTGGGACTCAACCCCCAGGGAGTGCCTGAGACTTAGCCCCAGAGTCCCAAGCCCCCACCCTCCTGGTCCCTTGCTCGGGGGCTGCTGGGTACGGAGGGGACGGTCCAGCCCGTGGGCAGCGTCCAGCCAGGACGCGGCCTACCCAGCCTTCCTGACCCTGGTGGCTCTGGGGGCCGCTTCACTTGAGAGAAACCATTTGCTGGCTGGGCTTGGGGTTGCTGGCTTGAGATAAACATGTAATCGGCCACTTAAATCTCCCAGGATTTCTTTCTCTTTGTAGATAGAGTGGTGGACCCTTTTCTCGAAGGTCAGACCCAGGGGAAGGGTCTCCGTTAGGTGCGGGGGCTGGCAGGAGTTCCATGAGTCCCGCACAGGCACGGTCTGTGGCGGTCAGCTCCATCCGCTGCCCGTGACGTGAGGCGGCAGCTGACCGCTGTCCACTGGGCGGGGAGCTGCGGTGGACTCAGCCCCAGCAGCCTGTCCGCTCCTGAGTAGTTTGGGTTTATAAACGGTGCGTCCCTGGACCCGCCCCGCGTTCGGAGGGGGGGTGCCCAGGCTGGGCTGACCACCTGCCCAGGGCTGCCCGTTGGGAAGGCAGCAGGTCCCTGGGAGAGCGGGAGTTGGGTTTCTGCCGCCTGACCCTTCACCCCAGCCCTCGGGAGGCCGCCTGTGCAAGACTTGCAGGGTATTGCCTAAAACCCTCTGCAGGCCGCGTGAACTTTACCCCAGCTGCTCCCCACGCGGCGGAAGGAACGAGAGCCCTTGACGGGGGTGCCCGGAACACCCGCCACCGGCCGTGGCCTGGGAGCAGGGACAGGTGGCTGGAGGTGGCTGCGGTGCGGGCAGCAGTGACTCCCTGGACGCCAGCTGACACTGGCCGGCTCCGTCCCCTCTGCAGCTGGGGGCTGCGGGACGGACTGTCCACCTCAGGGCTGAGCGGGGCTTTGTAAAGATCACGTGCTGGCCCTGTGGGCAGCCTCCCTGCTGCAGCCGGGCCTGGGGCCACCGGGGACGCAGGAGCAGGGTCTGGAGGCGGCCCAGGCTGGGGGGCCAGCCTGCCCATGCTGGGGTGAATCTCCCTGTGCCGCCTTTGCGGGGAGAGAGCTGCACTGGTGCACCTGTGCCAGCCCCGGATTTAGGGTGTCACAGCAGGGCCCTGCCTGGGCTGCCTTCCAGGACCCCTCACCCCCAGTAATGACTCAGGGACCCCCTTCAGGCCAGAGTGGGGACACCAGAGGATGATCTCCTTGGGGCTCTGCCCCCCGGCCGGGCAGAGTTGTGCTTCTGGCAGCCTCTGCTTGTATGCCCCCGGGGACGGCAGGCTCACTCCCCGCACCCTGTCCCTGACCCCCACACCTGGGGAGGTGCCCGTCCACACCCCTCCTTCCTCTCCAGCTCCTTTCGCCCTCCCTTGTTTCCCCGACTTGCTTTCCCAATCCTTCCTGCTTGCGTTTTCTTGGTGGTGCAGGAAAAGGACAAGAATTCCGGAGCATGACAACCCTGGGCTGGGTTCCCAGGCCTCCCTGGAGCTGCCTGACAATCCTGGTGACCTGGCCCTTACCTGGGAGCTGGGGGGAGGGCCTCTCACACCTGGCCCGTGCTCCCTGGCTTCTGGGGAGGGCGCTCTGGTCTCCAGGCAGGGGGTGGACACTTGCCTGCCGACTTCAGTCCTGGTTTCTTTACGACGCTGTCCTTGCCTACTTGAGTCCACAGCCCCGGAGCTCCTGGAGGCCTCTCCCCCCACCCGCCGCCCCTTCCTGATCAGCAGCCAGGCGGGTCTCTGCCGTGGGGTGGGGCGGGGGCTCCCGAGCCCTGTAGGGTACTCCAGGCGACGCCTGCCTTGCCCGGGAAGATGGGATGTCGGGGACCTCTGCCCAGCACCCCGGGGCCCTGGAATTCAGGCCCCCGGTGCCCACCTACCTTCCCGGCTTCCCGGGGTGGAGTGGGAGCTCTCTGCTGGGTTGAGCAACAAGGTGATGAAACGCCAGGTCCTGGTGACCAAAGCAGTGCTCGGTGTGAGGAGACCAGCTCGCCTGGGGTGAGGCCGGCCCGGAGCACGTGCCGAGGCAGCTGCGCCCGGCTGTTCCCTGGCCGTTGGGCTTCGCGGGGGCAGCAGCCGTGCGGCCTACGTCCCCGCTCCTGGGGCTTTGCCCCATTTCTCCTAAGAGACCCAGGGCCCTGCAGAGATGCAGGAGGACATGGCAGATGGACTTATCTAGCATGTTCCAGAAGACTCCCCGCCCTTGCTGGCGGTTCACAGTAAACAGTCAGTTGAGCGAGCTGTGTGGGCGCGTCTGGCGGGCGAGGGCCTCGCCCCCTCGGAGTCTGCCTGCCACAGGGCACGTCGGAGGGACCCGCGGTTTTCATTTGCAACGGAGACGCTCCCGCCGCTGTGGACCCGTCGCTCAGAGCCCGCCCCACCCCAGGGTCACGCCAAGGGGTGCATCCCGCTTTGGGGTGCTTCTCCCCCGCTCCCCGTGGGCCTGCAGCCTGCCCCGGGCCGGCGGGAGGGCCAAGAATCAGACAGCCGAGGCCGCTCCCCCAGGCCGGTCCGGGAAGTGGCGGTTTTGCCCTGGGCTTGGCAGGCTGGGGCGGGCACCCCGCTCGCCCTCTCTCTGGTGGGCTCTGGCCTTCCTGCCAGCGCTGGGCCCCGAGCCCGCAGCGCGGATCGGCCATCCCAAGTATTTGGGCTCCGCTGGGCCCCACCACCGCCATCCCAGGCATCCCGGCTTGCCCCATCTTTCCCGGGGGCGGGGCCTGGGGCAGATGGTCCATCTCCTTTGAAGAAGCCTCGCAGCCTTTTTTCTCCACCATCTTCCCGTTATCTCCCATCTCTGCCCTGCTATCTCCCGGGCCTGTGGACAGGCTCCTAATCTTCTCTTCCTGCCTCCCCAAAGCATTGTCCCTTATCTCCCCGCCCGCCCCTCCTCCTGGACTTCTGTCCTCAGTGGTCACCCTTCCCTGCAGCCGGGCGGCGCCCATGGGGGTGCAAGTCCGGAAATGCAGCACCCCCCCGGACCCGGGACGCACCTTCTAGGGTGGCCTCCCCACCTCCCTCGCCTCTCTCTGGTGTTTTTTTCTGCGGCCACGCGATAGAGGGACAGGGCATCTTGTATTTTTTTCCAAGAAGCTCCCTGTACTTTTCCACTCTCAGAGTTCTTTGAACCCCTCAGGCCTAGGAGAACCCAAAACAAACAGGGAAGTGGCTCCTGTTCCCCAGCCTCGTGGGGGGCCTGCTCAGGGTCCCACCCCTCCCCGGGCCCCACATCCCCTCAGGCATCCGGGAGGAGACTGGGGGTCAGCCACAGGTTTTTTCTTTAATGGGGGGTGGGGGGACAGCGTGGGTCCCTGTTTTCATGAGAGTCTCAGTTATATTCTGGGGTTTTCTGATGCCGGGAACTTCTCTCTGACACCTGCTTGTGTTATGTGTAGAACTAACGTCCACTTTGCCTATTTTGCGTTCTTGGCGGTTTCTAGAAAAACACCAGGAAGCTATTCCTTTCCAGATTTTCCTCTTAATACAATTTGTCATAAATTAAAAAGTGAATGGTAGCCGAGGGTATTTTATTTCCCCTTCGGTTTACGGGCAGAGGTGGTGTGAAAGAATGTTTTGTTTGTGCCTCTCTGAAATCTCCTGGGAATTTGAATAAAAGTGAAGGTGGCGGGTCAAGTCTGACCAGCACCCGGTGCCTGGAGGGTGCCTGGAGGGACTCGGCTCCAGCCCACCTGGCATGGAAGAGGCCCTTGAGGTGGAGGCCTGGGGGGCCGCCAGATCCTCAGGGAGATCATCCCAGGAAACCCAGGGCTGGGGTGGTCCTGGGCCTCCCAGGGCGTGGCCCATCACGGCTGTCCCGTGGAGCAGGACCTTTGGAGAGAGAAAGGCCCTGAGGAGTAAATGCAGATCAAGGTGGACAGAGGGGGCTGGTGGTGCCTGGCAGGGCCCGGGAGTCCAGACTGTGGGGGCAGCCGGTGAGAAGCACAGGCCCCTGGAAATCCCTGTCTCCCTCGGGGTCCCCCAGCTCGGCCTGCCCCGGGGCGACTGGACGGGGTACTCCGGTCCTCCTGCGGAAAAGGGGAGTGGCACGTCTGGTCCTGGCGGGACCACGTGAGGGAGAGATGTGGGCTCTCCTAGGCTGAGGGGTTCGCAGAACAGAGCGGAAGGGGCTCTTGGAAGAAAGCGCAGGAAGCCCCTAACCTCTATCACCACCCCTGCGGCCCCCACCGCCCCCCGTTTTCCGTGGACACTATCTAGTTCCATCTTTGACTGGCTCTGGGCCCCCAGCAGCCTGGGGTGCGTGATTGCAGGAGGCCGGGGGGGCTGCGTGGAGCTGCCCTGCTGCGTGGGCAGGACTGGGGTGTCGCTTGGGGGCACAGGCACAGGATGGCCTCGGGCCTCACCTCAGCCTCACCGTCCTTTCTTGTCCTCCAGGCTGCTCCACTTCTGCTGCAGAGCTGGTGGCTTTGAGGATCCGCCCTGCCCAAGCGCCAGCTCCCCAGTGAGGAGGGCCCGCTCCAGGGAACAGGTCAGTCCAGCACTCCGGGTGCGCGTCTCCCTCCCCCTGCCTCCCTGGATCCCCCCTTTCCTCCGGGGCCTCCGTGCAAAGCCACCAGGGTGGCACCCCCGTCATGCAGGGGCCCAGCTGGGACAGGAGGCCCCACAGTGCCAGGTCTGGCTCCCAGGAGGCACCCTTCAGACGCTGGCCCCAGCCCCTTGTCTCCATCCCCACCCCCAAATCGTCTGAATGAAAACTGGAGCTTTTAAGTGGTTAAAAGCTGAGCACCAGGCCCTGCAAGCAAGGAAACAGTTTCTTTTTATCCCTCTGATTAGGGAACTTCTCAGTGGCCTCCCTGACTCCTGCTGGGCCTCCCTGACCCCTGCTGGGCCTCCCTGACCCCTACTGGGCCTCCCTGACTCCTGCTGGGCCCTCCTGACTCCTGCTGGGCCTCCCTGACCCCTGTGGAGTGGTGTGGGGCTGACATGTCAGCCCTAAGACAAGGCACAGAGAGAATGGGAACGCCGAGACCATCAATACCAGGCTCGAGCTTGGCAGATTCGCTGACTCGGTCCATGTGTCTTGCGTCCCCAGAGGCGGGGTATTAGGAGGGGCGGGTGGGCTGGTTGGGACACGGCTGCAGGATCTGCGGGTGCTGGCCCCTGGCTTCTGGTTAATGGCCGTGCAGCTGCCTCTACCACCCCTCAGATCTGAGGTGAGAAAAGTCCTCTAAAGTACGCTGCTTCCTGTGCCCAAGAAAAAGGAGGAGCGTGAGGGACGCCGCACCCAGGCAGCCCCACGTCTCCCTCCATGCTGGGCGTCCTTCCCCCTTCCGGCAGGCTTGAGGGCTGGGGCCAGGCCAGTGGGCCGCAGCTGTGTGCCTGCTCCCGCTGGGGGTCCTCACCCAGGTTTGGAAACCTCAAGGGCCACACGTCTCTGGCACCTGCAAGTCTTGCCTCGACGTGAGGGGGCCGTGGCCGCCAGGACTGGCCGGCAGTGGGCAGCTCACATCCCCTCCTTCCCCGTACCGCCGCTGCTGGCCCTCTGAGCCCTTGGCGGGGGCGGCCTCTGTCCTGGGCCCGAGAGCGCCCGCCTGCAGCCAGGCATCTCCTGCAGAACATCACCCAGCAGGAGGCAGCTTCCGTCCTGGGGGTTCGCCCCTGGGAGAGGCCAGAGGGGTGTCCTGGCCGGGCCTACAGCCCCCGGGCCTCCTCTCCCATCACTGGGCATGTTGAGAGCTGACCCGGCACCTCCCTGGAGCCTGGGGTGGACCCTTCACGGCCGTCCTTGGTCATTCTCAGGCCCAGGAGTCTGAGGCCTGCTTGGGACGCTGTTCACAACCGAGCTTCAGGAAGGAAAACACCCAGAAGCCACAGTAGCTGTGGAAGGGGGTCCAGCCCACGGGGCACACTCTGGTCCAGGAAGGGGCAGGAGATGTCAGGGCTGCCTCGGGGGGGCCTGGGGTCCAGCGCCCAGTGGCTTTGGCTTCTTCTTCCCTGGCTGAGGGCCTTACCTTGCTCCCTGCAGGACCGACAAGTGAGGCTGAGACAGAGAGACAGACAGACTGAGCGCAGACCCGCCTCCTCACATCGGACGCAACGGCGAGGGGCACGGTTATCAGAGGGGACGGATATGGAGGTATGTAGGGGGTCCTGTCTGGCCACCGTGCCTTCCGGAACGGGCCTGTCGGTGTAGGATTTGAGGTGGTGCCCAGCCGGACTGGTCAGGCCCCATGTTCAGCTGCAGGGCCTGAAGCGTGGGCAGGGCAGTGTGCTGGGGGTCTCCTCGCCGCTCCATCCGGACCGCTGACCAGACAGTAGACAAGTTGGGTGGGTGGGGCATGGGGCTTGGAAGGGAAGGCAAATGCCTGCGGGTCCTGGGAGACGGCACGGCCCAGAGGACAGCGGGGTCCTCACGGGCGCGAGGTGGGCTACAAGGAAGGCGGGTTCAGGGCCCCTGGGCTGGCACCGCAAGCCCCAGCCGGCTGCTGAGGCCTGCTGACCACCTGCCTTCAGTCCTTAGACGTGTAGCCCGGCCCCATGACGTCCAGCTCGCCCGCCGGTGGGGACGGTGCCAACTTCACCATCGACAGCGCGATGTCAGCGGCCATGAGTGTGGGGAAGGTGTCCGAGAATGGGGGGAGCCCCCCGGGCATCAAGTCCCCCGCGAAGCCCTCGGGACCAAACCGCATCGGCAGGAGGAACCAGGTGAGCTCTCGGGTGTCAGGGGGCCCAGCAGCTGCATCCTGAGAAGGCAGGGAGAGGCCCGCCAGCCCCCTCGGCGCGTCCAGCATGGGCAGACCCCAGTAGCCTGTGTCGGTGTCCCTCCAGGAGATGGTTCTCTCGGCAGGGGGAGCAAGAAGCACCTGGTCGCTGCTGCCACCACGGTCAGGGCTGAGCGGGCCCTCCATGTCCCCGTAGCTGCCCAGACCGTCACCCCCTTGATCTCTTCCCCAGTTTTCACGCTAGGTGGTGAGGGCCGGCCGTGCCGTTGGGCCCTCCAGCCCGAGAGAGCGCAGGACTGGACCCAAGGAATGCCCCCCCGCATGCGACTCCGCGCTCGGACTTCTGGGTGGCCGGGTGGGCAGGGAAGGTGTCGGGATGGTCCTTGTCTCCTGCTGGGGAGTAAGACGAGGCTTGGAACGAGGGTCTAGGGGTCCCCTGAGAAGGTGCTGCTGTCCCCGCTACGGCCTGCTCGATCCTGCAGGGGCAAGTGAGGGTGAGGCACCCCCTTCTCTGCACCCACGTCTCAGGAACTGACCCCTGCATGTTCCCTTTGGATTAACTGTTCGGTGGGTGCCCCAAGCCCTCGGGACCCAGCTGGCCTGAGTCTGTCCTGGCTGCTGGACATCACCGTCCTGGGCCAGTGTCCGCGGTGGCTGTCCCCACAGGGCCCGCACAGCTTAGCCGCGGGATGTGCGTGGCGCTCCGGCAGGAGGGGCCGGGGATGCGGAGCTGCCGGCGGGTGGGGCACTGACGTGTTCTCTCTCTCTCTCTCTTCCCCTCTCTGCGCGCCCCTCCCACGGGCCCCGCGACCGGGCCAGGCTGTGGCCGCGTCCAGGAGGAGGCTAGCTCCGGGAAGCACAGGTCACTTCCCCTCGCACGTGCCTCATCCTGTCCTCCATCGTGTCTCATCCTCCCATCTCACGACCACGCCGCGCTCGGCTCCCTGGGGGCGGGCAGGGCACTGGGGGCTGGGCGTTCCGGGGTGAACGCGATCCATACAGTCGCTGCTTTGTCTGTGCTGCTGGGCGCCAGCCCTGCCCGGAGGGCAGCAGGGCTGCGCGGGGGACCTCAGCACCTCCGCCTGCTGGGCGCCTCAGGGGCTGGCCTCATTGCAGAAAGGGGGGGTCTGCACCAGAGGTGGCACAGGAGGCCGTGGGGGTGGCCCCGGGACGTGCCTGGGGAGGGAGCCCCTCGAGTACCCGTATAACTGGCAGATGTGCCGCAGCCCAAGGCTGGCACGGCCTCGCTACAGGATGGCCAGTTATCACTTCAGCCGCTGATTTTATCTGTCAACAACCTTTTACGATTTACGGATTTCACGGCTGGGGAGGCTCGGCACTTGGAGGCCCAGCTTTGTAACATTTATTTGTCTCCTGCTGAGGACATTTCTGTAAAAAAAAAACAAAAAAAGCCCTGCCTTTAATGTCACCCTATACGCATGCTCATCACATCATCGGTCACAGACCTTAGACATACACAGCCTCTGAAGGGCCAGGTATGTCTCAATAAAGCCGGGGTGGGGAGAGTGGAAAAAACAAATATATGTGGCTGCTGATCTAATAATTTCATGAAAACATCCCGAGACTCAGGGGCCTCGTGCCCAGCACTGGCCAGGTCCGGCTCTTCCAGCTGGAGGCTCTCGGCAGCCCCAACTGATGTGCGGCACCCCCAACCCCGCACACACAGGGCTCTCCCCCCAGAGGGCTCAGGAGAGGCCGGCGGCAACGCTGCTTCGTCCCTGGGGCCCACCTCCTGACAGCTCATGCGACTGGACGGAGACACAGACAGCTTCTCGGATGTGGGCCTCGGCAGTCTGCGCGCGGCACCCATCCCAGCTCCCTCTGCCTCCCGCGCCGGGGCGGCTTCTGTTCTCACGAGAGCCATGGGCCGTGTCCCTGCCGTGCTTTGGGATCCGACCTTTGGGATCCAACCTTTGAGGGGCAGGCCCGCCTGGCCGATGTCTTGGGGTGTGGCTGCCGGCAGCTGCTGACTCGCCGTCCCGGGTCCGTTCCTCACCGTTTATGGTCTGGGCTGGGTCACGAGCCTCCCTGTGCCCCAGAAAATGGGCTTCTTAGCTGTGGCTGTGACCAAACAGCTGTTTCTGTGGGTGTAGCCTGGTGTGTGGCTCAATGGTGGGTGTTCACGAGGAGCAGAAACACATTCACACGCGCACAGAAAAAGGCCTGCTGGACCCCGGCTGCCCGGCCCTGCCTGGTCAGTGCTGGCCTCCAGCCTCCGTCCAGCCTGGCCCTGCACAGCTCCCCGTGAGCCCGTGATGCACGGGCACATGGTGACCTGGACACGGACCCACCTCCACTGGTGCTCAGGGGACAAACCGGCATCTGGGCTCTAGCCCCGCCCCAGCCCCTGTGACTCTGACTCAGGACCTGCAGAGTCTGGCCTGGAATCTCCCCTCCACTGCCCTTTGCAAACCCACTGACCTCCTCCCAGCACCTCCGTGCCTTTTATTGAGCCCCACCAAGTTCCTGGGGAGCACCCGGCCGTGTCCTTAGACTGTCAGGGGGCCCCAGCCCAGGCAGGAGACAGCGCTGGGCCCCCAGGGTGCATTTGGGGAGAAGCACGCATTTTTCGGCTCTACCGGGACCCCACACCTCATTTTTCATCATCACTGTAGCCCCAGCAGGGGGTTCTGTCTGCAAAGGACATTGGTGTTTGTGGAGCACTTACCCCAGCCAGCTCCCCAGGGGGGACGCACCCCAGGCGGACACCACCGCTCGCTCCTGACGCCGTTGCCGGCACAGACGGGACACCCGGGCAGGGGTGGGGGCGCAGTCTGCACCCTGGCTCCGGCCGTGCCCTGGAGCCCCCGGGGCCCCGCTGGCCCTGCTCTGGCCTCACTCTCCTTCCATTCTCTGCAGGAGACGAAAGAGGAGAAGTCCTCCTACAGCTGCCCGCTGTGCGAGAAGCTGTGCCCCACGCAGCACCAGCTCACCATGCACATCCGCCAGGTCAGTGCTCACGGCCCTGGGGCCGGCAGGGGCGCCGGGATCTCCCTGCAGGGCCTGGGGCTCTGGGGCCGCGGTGTAGACGCCGCAGTCACGCATGGGGGCTCCCGCTGTTTCTCCCTGTCGACCCCTGCCCTTCGCCCTTGCCTGCCGGGGGTGGGTGACTGACTTTGGGTAGAGCGTCCCTTGCTCGTGTCGGGGCTGGCTGCAGCTCCCCCCTCACCTGGAAACGGTCCTGGGGTCCTGGGAGTCTCTCCCCTGGCCTCGGAGCGGAGCCACCTCCCCGCACCTGCAGGAGCGTCCCAAACCCGGGCTTAGCCGCAGACAGCGCCGGGCATCGGTGCCCTGCCCCCTCCCTGCTCCCGGGGGCCCTCCGGCCGTCTCCCCAAGTGACCGCTCCCCTTGTGTCCCACAGCACAACACGGACACCGGCGGGGCCGACCACGCCTGCAGCATCTGCGGCAAGTCGCTGAGCTCGGCCAGCTCCCTGGACCGCCACATGCTGGTGCACTCGGGCGAGCGGCCCTACAAGTGCGGGGTGTGTGGGCAGTCCTTCACCACCAACGGGAACATGCACAGGTGGGGCCGGGGCCGTGCGGGGTGGGGGGCTGTCCCCTTGGGCCCCGCGGTGACTCCTGGCCAGCACTTCCTGGGGCCTTTGTGACCTGCTCCTGGAGCTCGGGGATAAGAGGATAAAGGGAAGGAAGAGGAGCCTGGACGGTGGGGGCTCTGCTTCGGGAGGCGGAGCTGGGCCGGGCAGGTGGGAGTCCCTAGACGTGGTAGGACGCGTGTCAGGCTCGGCAGAAGGACTCCTTGGAATAGCTTTTTTGCACATTTTAGGGACGCCGGACTCTAGCAGTTTTCGAAAGAAAAAATCAGGCATTTGTATTTTCCAAATTCCCTTCCACTCAAAAGGCTACTGCCTTTTTTAAAACTCACTTTTGGGGGTTTGGTTTTTTTGGTTTTTTTTTTGCAGGGGGCGGGACAGAGTGGGTGCACAGCTGCACAGGTCTGCAGGGCAGGGCCCATGGAGCTGCCAGCCTGGGGACACCTGGCCGGACCTTTTAGGGCGGCTTTGGGGCCTGACGGCCTCCCTGGGCCCAGGCAGGGCTCCTCCCTCTCCACCATGCCCTGCTCACCCCTCACCCTTCCCCTGGCAGTGGCTGCTGGAGGGGTCTGGGGTGTGTGACCCAGTTTGCAAACCTCTGTGCCCCTGTCCCCAGGGGTGGCTTGAGGTCTGACATTCTCTGTGCTTTATTTCAAAAGGAAATGGACAGTCTTATGGAATTGAGGTAGTGTGACATAGGTGTTAGATGAGATGGTGCAGTGTATTCCCCACAATCATTTCACGAGCCAGCCAACGGCTCGGGGCACACAGGTGTGCTGCTCGGGCTGCAGGTGTGGGCACGCAGGTGTGTGCTTGCATCCCGGGTTCGGTGTCATACGCCAATGCCAGGTCCCAGCCCCACCTCTGTAAGTGCCCCACCTGGAGTTAGCTCTGGTTCCTCCCCGTCTCTCTCTTTAAAGTGAGCTTTAATAGTGTCCACCTCTGGGCCGAGGAACCAGGGTGAGGACTTGGGGTCGTGATTTGACATAGTTCTTGGCCTGGCCAGCGCTCGATGGACATTATCTTTTTTTTTTAAAGATTAATTTATGCATACAAGAACTGGGGTACAGGCCAGAGGTGTGGGGGGTGAGGGGAGTCACCAGAGACAGTGGGGAGCAGAGCAGGCAGATCCACTGAAATTCACTGCTGAGGGGAGACAGGAGAGGTCTGCTGCACCATGTGGGTAGCTCCCTGGCCAGGGATCGAACTCAGACTCTGGTGGCTGCTGATGGCTTGATAGTGCTGAGACTAACCCCTGTGCCCCCAGGGAGGCCCAACATGATCCATAATCATTAGCGTGTCTGTATTAGGCCACGCCAAAGGCCTGCGGGCTTCTGGGTCTGTGCTCCTGGAAGTCAGTGCTCTGGGTGCCAGAGGCAGGTGCTGGTTCCCTGCAGGGACAGGGCGGGCAGCGTGTGGCTCTCGCCGCCCTGAGCTGTGACTTCGTGAGGAGCGTCCGTGTTTCAGAGACATCCTGCAGAGCTTTTCCTGGGCGCACCCCCGCCCTGAGCTCCCCGCCTCTCCTGGGAGTGTTTGGGTACAGTCATCTGCCTTCTTTGCCTGGGTCCTGCCCACTGTGTCCCCACACACACTTGCTTGTGATGGTGAAGGACCCCAGGGGCTGTGTTGGCCCTGACCCACTGCTCACCATCCTCCGGGAGACCCCGCTCTTGGCCCGGCCACCCCCAATGAGGAAGATATCCTTTGTGAGGCCGAGTCTGTGGCTGGCCACAACCATGGCTGGCCACACCTGCAGCCGCGTCCCTGCCTGCCCTGTGTCCCCCAGGCTGCAGGTGTGTGCGGCACAGTTAAGACGTTCACCATGGGCACTGGTCATCATGGGACACACTTGTCCCCGCAGCCACCCACCCTCGCCTGTCCACCTCCCATCCTGCCCAGCGTGGACCCGTGCACAGTGTCGCCCCCCTGTGGGCCTTGACGCCTGACCCCCTTCAGGAGCATCTGCTGCGAGGCCGGCCCTGGCCCTGGCCCTGGCCCCTGTCGTGGCTCCAGGCTGTCCCCTTGGGCTGTCGTGAGTGGGGCTGCTGTGGCCTTCCGGCACGCATGGGCCCTGTTTTCGTTTTCTCGGTCAACTCTTGGGAGAGGACTGCGGAGTCGCCGGCATGACATGTTGACCCTTTTTTTTTTTTTTGGTTACTGCAGATTGTTGAAACACAAGCAATGGGCAGGAGGGAGCCCTGATGTTTTTCACCTTTTGGTGAGAGGAGGGTGGTGCATGGAAGGGGGCCAGGGTAAGACAGCCCCGAGGAAGGCTGCCCCTCCCCCCAGAGCCCCCCGCCATTGCTCCCGGCCCGCCCAGCGCAGCCCCAGCACCGCGTCCTGAGGGTTTCTGTGGCGGCTCCGGCCAGCCGCCGGCAGAGGTGGTCAGTCTCCTGTGTTCCTCCGACGCCAGCATAGTCGCTCGTCCTTCTTTCTCCTGTTTTCTTACTTCTGCTCCTTATCTTATTCCTGTTTGCCCTGGCCAGGCCCTCCGGTGCCATGTTGGGTAACAGTGGAAAGAAAGGACACCCTTGTCTTTTTTCCTGATGCGGGAGAAAGCATCAGCCTTTCCCATTGACTCGGTTCCTTGTGGGTCTTTCAGAAATGCCCTTTATCACTCGGAGGAAATCCCCTCTTTTCCTGCCTTGCCGAGCCTTTCTGTCACGGAAGGGCGTCGGGCTTGTCAGATGCTTTCCCTGCGGCCGAGCCGGCAGTCCTGTGGCTTCGGCGCGCTGCTCTGCGGGGCGAGGAGCTCAGCGGACTCCGGAGCTCGCTCGGTCACGGCGCAGTCGCCTCCCTCTGGTGAGGAGCCGGCCTGGCGCTCGAGGGGTCGTGCCGGCTCACGGAGGGCGGCGTTGCGTCCCCGTGTTCTCTGGCTTCCGTGTCAGGTGATGCTGCCCACGGCGCCAGCGGGGAAGTGGGCCGCCCTCCTGTGTTTGGGGGAGTGGGGGTTAATTCTTTAACACTTTGGTAGAATCACCGGCGAAACCTCCTGTGGGCTTTTCTTCCGAGAAGTTTCTAAATGGCTGGGTCGTTTCTAAATGCGCGTGTGTGGCTGCTCCGTGCGGGCTCCCCGCTCCCCGTCAGCCGCTCGGTCCTGTGTGTCTTCCGAGAATGGCCGTTTCTCAGAAGTTACCTCGTGGGCTGGCGTCTGCTCCCCTCACCCCTCAGCTCTGGTTATTCCGTGAGGTCAGCGTCCGCGCGCTCTCCCGCGGTTGCTCGCTTGACTGTCGGCGCTCTCCCTTAGTCAGCCCAGCCGATCAACATTCGTCTTTTCGAAGAAACTGCCTTTCGCTGCGCTGATTTTCCGCTGTGGCTTTTCTGTTTGCTGTTTCCTTGCTTTTCCACTGTAAAGATGATTTCCTCTTCCTTCCGCTCTCTCAGATGTACTTTCTCTTCTTCCCTGGTGTTTTAAGGTAGAAAGTGGGATTAGTAGCTGGAGAACATTTTTTTGAGTTAGAAGTGAGGCTTTAGCAGGGCGCGCACACTCAGGCGAGGTGCAGGCAGACTCCAGGGATTCTCCTTGGAGAGCATTTATCGCAGCGTCCCCAACCCCCTCCACCCCACCCCACGCTTGCTTTGCCTGCATCCTGTAAGTTTTTGAGTCTTGTGTATCCTTTTCCATCGCATCCCTAAGTATCTTCTGATTTCCTTGTGGCCAGAGACTCAGGCCTGGGGGCCTGCCTCCCACATGGACCCCAGAGTTCCCCGGTGGGGGCTGCTCTCTGTAGCTGCGCCTTGAGAGTGACTTGCTCCTCCGCTGCTGCCCTGTCTGTCCCTTCATCCTGGGGCCCAGCACATCTGGACCCTCATGGCTGTCCTGGCAGGGAACAGGCTTCACAACTCGGGCACTGCTGACCATGAGGGCATGCTCGCCTGGCAGTGGCTGACCAGCCAACACCATCCCCCAGTGCCCCTGGCTCACAGAGGCCGGGGGCGCCCGGGAGCAGCCAGGCATGGGAGTCAGTGAGGGGCCGTCTTCCCCTGGTGTTGCTGCCGCAGGTGCCGGCTTCCAAGCTGCCCTTCCTGACTCTGGATTCGCACGTTTTTGAGGTTTGAAAATCTTCCTCCCAAACCTCACTGCCGTGGCTTCGTTCCCAAGAGGAGTAACAGGTGGCCGTGGGTGCCAGGGGTGCTCAGAGGCGTCACCGTGCTCCCTGGATGGGGACAGAAGGGACTGTGGCTCCTGTGTGACACCCCAGAGGCCACACACCCTCCAGCCTGAGCTCTGACCGTCCAGGTAGAGAACAATTAAAAGAGATTCCTGCACCATGAGAGCTGAAACTCGGCCCAGCAGCTACCCCCTCCTCCGAGTCGAGGCGTCCTGCGAGATCACAGCAGAACAAGCCCAAAGTCAGGCCAGGAGGCCCCCAAGGCCCGCTCTCAAAAGACATTATCCATAGCCACTTATAAACGGCACCGACCGCACCGTCCATCCGTGAGAAATGGATCTTTCCTGCAGTGTGAGAACGTCAGCTCTCTACGCAGCACACACAAGCAGCACAGGGGCGAATCCGGGACGGGGTGCCGAGATCACGCACAGGGCGCCACGCTGGTCCTGTGCTGGGACAGTGACAGCGGACGGCGGGCTCCGGGGCAGCGACTTTGTTTCGAGCAGGCCAGGCCACCACCCGGTGGGTTTACATCCCTGCCGCCCGGCCCCAACTCCCTCTTCTCCCTTCCGCTTCTTCCCGGCGTGTCCTCCTGTGCAGGTGGCCATTGTGTCCTCTCCAGACAAGGGTCTGTCCGACTGTCTGCCGTCTTGAGTGTTCTCTTGCTGCGAGCCCTGGTCGGGCATGTGAGTGTTTCCTGGTGTTTTGCTAAGAATTGTGCTGGTCATGCCGCCCCCTCCCCACGTGGCGTGTCCAGCACCTGCCACGCTGACCTGGTGCTGCAACCCCTTTCCCTGAGCTCCCCCAGGTTGCTGGAAAGGGCAGCGCCTGGTCCTCCTGGTGGCCAAGGTGGCTGCGCTGTGGCCAGGCACATGGTGTTGCCACGTCCAGGTTGTAAACAGCTCTGCAGGGGGCGTGACCCTGGCAGGTGGGGGAAGCCTGAGGGGCCCTTGGAGATGCGTCTTCGGGACCAGAGGCTTAGGTGTTCCCAGCACGCTGGACGCAAACACCGCTGGACAGAGACGGGGCCTGCGTGCTGTCGCTGAGCCCTGGCCGGCCTTGGCACACCCGTGGATGCGGAGGAACAGGTGGCTGCGTTCAAGGACAGCCCAGAGGCAGGAAGATATCTGCACGCCACACACCCAAGCATCGGCTCCCTTTAAAACGTTTCCCATAGCAGGAAGGGTCCCCGCAAAATCTGGCCCCCCACACTTGAGTGTTTCCCCATCGCGCCCTGTGCATCATGGAGCCGTCACTACACACGTCTCTGGCCCCAGCTCTGCGTGGCTCCCCGTCTTCCCACAGTCAGGCCTCGTTTGCCTCCCGGGCGGCTGAGACACGGATGGCCGGCTCCACGCCACCATCTTCATGGGCGCCGTGAGACTCCAGGGCTGGAGGGAGGCGCGGCCTCCGGCACGTCACACACTCAGCGGCTCCCTTCTCTGCCCCGCATGAGCGTCAGCCGGCCCTTCACTCTGGGGCGGATGCCGTGGGGTCTGGACCAGGGCTATTCTGGGGTCGGCTGTCTGTGGGGCCTGCTCCCTCCCCCGCTGTGCAGACCCCCGTTATCTGCACCGAGCAGGGGTGCTGCCTCATCTGTGCTTGTGTTTTGGGTGCAGATTTGCCCTCGTGTCCTCCGAGGGGCCTCCCGGGCCCTTCTCAGAATCCTGCTCTGCGTTTTAGAAACGGGAGCGTGGAAGCCAGTCTCTTCCGCAGGCAGCAGGCCAGGGTGACCCGACCCAGGGCTGTCCTTGCTACAGAAGCAGCAGAACATGGGAAACAGGCCCCTTCCACGCACCCCGACCTCCCTTGGCGGGCGGATCTCGGGGCTTCCCTCCTGTGTGTGCCCGTCCCTCCTGGTTCCTTCCTGACGCCCCTTAGCCATCTGCGGGGCCGGCGGTGGTCAGCGTGGCTTGCTGCTTTTTCTTAGCAGACACTCAGCCAGTTCTGTGGCTGGCGCCCCTCTGGTCCTGCATCTCTCTGAGGACCAGGCACGCTCCTACGGCTTCCGGGTGGACGCGTGCTCCAGCGCCTGGCAGCTCCCCTCGCGCCCCCGCCCCGCCGGCTGGGTGCAGCGGCTATGGGGCAGACGGGGCCGCTGTTCTGCACTGGGGCAGCGCTGGGGCCTGTGTTTCTCGCTGGTTCTGGGGCAGGGGCATCTCCTGCAAGCAGGGAGGCCAGCGTTCCTGACACATCTTGTTGGAATATTTCGAAAGCTCAGCTCCACCGGCTGCATCTGGTGAGCAGCGTCAAGACGTAGCGCCTCCGTGCTTGTCTGCACCTGACTCCAGGCCTTGCTGAGAGCTGGGAATTAGGTCACGGCAGCAGCGAGGCGGTGCCAGGCGGTGGGGGCAGGATAAGGGCCCCAGCTGCCCCTGGGCCAAGCTGCGCGCCCTCCCACACCATCCCTGTCCGGGATGTGCCAGACCCCAGAGAGGGTCCTGTTTAGTTTAAAGGGGGCCATGCGTGGGGAGAGGGTGGCTGCAGCCCTGCAGGCCAGGCCCTGGCTTCCTCCCCAGGCCTGCCAGGGTCTGTCTCTCTCCGCTTTTGTCTGACTGCAGCCTGCCCGACCTGTTTGGCCTGAACAAGCCAGTGCTGGCCACAGGCAGACCTGCCCCCTCCCTGGCAGCCTTCTCGGATTTGTCAAGGAAGGTGATTCCAGCAACACTCACTCCCTGAGTGGGGAGCAGCCACACAAGCCTTAGTCTGTGCCCGTCACCCCAGAGCACCCCTCCCCCAGGGCCTACGAGCCACCGGGGGGCCTGGGCTCAGGGTCTCGCTGGCCGCCTTGGGGAGAGGCTCAGTTGCGTAATGGGGACGGCGCCTGGGGCATGGTTCTCGGCGCTTACACAAGCCTTGTCCTCGTACAGAGGACGGTTGAGGTCCTCGCCAGGATGGGGCTCAGCTGGGTTGGGGCGTGGCCCTCTCCTCCCAGCCCCCCCCCCAGTTCTCCATGACAGAACAGCCCCTACCTCCCCCAGCCGGTTGCTAGAAGGCGGCTGCCCTCCCTGGCGCCCCTATAGGGTTCCCGGGGTCCCTTGGCGGGGCCCCAGTGCACCCCGTCCCAGCGGCCGTGGCTGCAGGCACCGGCAGGAAGGCCCTCTGGGTGATGTTCTGTTCACACATGACCTTTCTCTGAAATCTGCCTGCCTGCTGCCCCGGTGAGCCGGTGCTCGGCGCTCCTGCAAGTGCACACCTGAGCTCGGTGCACGGGACGTTCCGGTGTGGGGGCGAGGCCGGGGGCGAGGGTCCTCGGGACTGGCCGGCCTCACCGGTGGCTTTGGGGCATTTGCTCTGATGAGTGGGTGCTCCGACAGCATCCTCCCTGGCCCAGCTGCTTCACGGGAGGACTTTCAGTGGGTGCTGGCGCCCACCCAGCTCCTGGCTCTGAGTGCACACGCTGTTCTCCCGCAGGGGGGAGGATGGGCCCGAGTGCTCAGTGTTCATTTTGGGGTGTCTTTTACTGAAGCCCCGCCCCTGTCAGTGTGTTTACACCCTCGTACAAGTCTGCTCACCCCAACTCCCGAGCGGGGCGGGGGTCTTAGGGGCAAGGCCGTCGTGATGGTGAAGGGGGTGCCGTGGGTGCCCAGCCTCACGCCCGCTGCCACTGTCACCCATGGCCGGGCAGACGCCCCTCGGTCCTCGCTCACCCTGCCTCTGCCTGCTGTTACTGAGCACCCCTGGGGCAGGGGTGGGAACACCAGGGTCCTCCTGCGATGAGATGGGGTCGGGTGGACGCCCAGAGGCGGCGAACGAGGTTGACGCCGGGCACTTGCGGCTGCTGCTGTGTGCGGGTTGAGGCCATCTGGGGTCACACGCGGGGCCAGGGCCCGGCAGGCGGCCGTGGAGCCTGGGGCCTCCCTGCCGGTGTCTGGACACCCTTGGGCGCCGAGAGGAGGAACAGCAGAGGCCACATTTCCTCCTCTGCACGGGGCCACCAAGCCTCTGTGCTAGGCCGGCCCTTCTGGGCGGACCCCCAGACACAGGGAGAGCGCAGGGGGGGCCTCAGGGACTCCCCCTCTGCTGCCAGCAGAGAGCGCAAGGGGTTTAGCACCTGCAGTGCTGGTGGCGCCCGCCTCCCAATGGGGATGACTCCGCAGGCGACTGCTTGGGGAAGGCGCGGGCCACTGGTGCTCTGCTGACCGCCGTGTGCGTCCCCTGCAGACACATGAAGATCCACGAGAAGGACCCCCACAGCACCCCCTCGGCCGCCCCTCCGTCCCCCCTGAAGCGCCGGAGGCTGTCGTCTAAGAGGAAGCTGAGCCACGATGCCGAGTCAGAGAAGGAGGACCCGGGGCCCGCCAAGAAGGTCGGCCACCCCCGTGGGCGCTGCCCTCGGCCTTGCCTGCTGGTCCTCAGCAGTGGCCGAGGGGGCAGGTCGGGCAGCAGGCAGGAGGTGGGCGGGGGAGGGAGGGAGGGCGAGGGGCTTGCAGCGGCTCGAGGGGAGGGGTGTAAGTGAGGCTGGTCACACCTTGCAGCAGGTGGGGGGCCTCCTTTTTTGACACCTCCACATCCCTCTCCCGCAGATGGTGGAAGACGGGCAGTCGGGAGACCTAGAGAAGGCGGGTGACGAGGTGTTTCACTGCCCCATATGCTTCAAGGAGTTCGTCTGCAAGTATGGCCTGGAGACCCACCTGGAGACCCACTCCGACAACCCGCTCAGGTGGGGGCTGCGCTGGGGGCGGTGGGGGCTGTCCTTGTTCTGCGTCTCTGGGGTGACCTCCCTGCTCCCCGGCTGCGGTCGGGGCTGGTGAGTGGGGCATCTGGGCTGGAGGTGGCCGCACTCCCGGCCAGCGGGTGGGAGCAGGACGGTGCCGGGCGAGAAGCTCCCGGCCCTCAAGAGACCAGGAGAGGCCAGGCCAGCGCCCGCCCGGCTGAGCAGCCAGGACACGTTTGTGAAGGAAGACGGGCGCCCGGGCGGGGGAGGGACAGGCACCTCAGGTTGTGGGGGAGGCTCCCTGACCTCCCCGTCCACTCTGGGCTGTTCCCCCCATCCAGGCCTCCCGGGCTGGCCTTGGCCGTGAGGTTCTAGACTTGAGGGCAGCCCCTTCCGTCTAGTGGGGTCGAGGGCGTGGGGCCCCACCGGGGCTCGGGAAGGGTGGGACCTGGAGCTGCTCCCGGTTCCTCGGGTGTTTCTCTGCACCCCCTTCCCCATCTCCTGCGGGATCGAGTCACCGGCCTGGGCCCCACCTGGGAGCCTGGGCCTTGGTGTCCCAACCAGGGCCGCTGTGAGGCTGAGCCACGCGCGAGGAAGGACAGGCCCTGGGGGGCCCGACATGCCCACTGCCTGCGGGGTGTGGGGCGGGGGCTGGCCAGGCCCTGTTGCTGCCGGTTACCGTTGCTCCCGGCAACTGGGGAGATTAGTGCAGCTGTTGGCCGGCGGGGGAGGAGTGCGGGTACGAGGGGCTCGGCAGGGCTGTCGCCCACCCCCCTGGCCCCTGGAGACTGAGCCAGGACAACGAAGCGTGAAATCCCTGTAAAAAGGAATGTCAGTCCCGGCTGAAACACCCTCGTGAGCCGGAGACCTGGTCTCCCCAGAGTGACCGGCGCACGGCCGCCTCTCCGGCCAGGGTCCCGGCCCACTTGCCACTGCCCGGCGCCGGGTCCAGCGTGGCCTAGCTGAGAGGGGGCCGAGCCCGCCCTCCAGCCTCGGGAGCATGTGCGGCCCCGTCCGTCTGCCTCCAGCCTTGCGGCTTCCCCGTCGGAAACGGTCCCGCTGCGTCGGGGGTGACTGGCGGGTGCTCCTCTGGCCCCACCTCTGGCCCCTGCAGCCCCTCCTCCCTCCCACCCCGGCTGCTCCTCCCGTGAGGCTCTGGCGGGTCGGAGCATCTCTGAGTTGGCGCTGGTGCCCACCTTGTCCCCGACTCCTCCGCTGCTCAGTGCCCCGGCTAGACAGGCCTCCCTGGGCCCAGCCCTCTACCCACGGCCTTCGGTGCTCCCGTGGCTGGGTGGTGGCGGGTGTGGTGGCTGAGGTGTCATTGGCGGTGCCTATTCTGGTCGGTGAGGCCAGGACCCTGGGCTGGCCCATCTCGGTGACTTACGACGCTCTCCAGAGGGGCAGGCTCAGCCCTTGAGGGTGGGCCCAGCCTGGCTCACGTAGGGCCTTTGCTTCTCACCGGCCACCGCGGTGATGGCTTGGGGCCTCACTCCGGGTGGGGGCCCAGCTGCCCGCAGGGTGCTGGGCTCAGGGACTCCGGCCCCCAGCTGTGCCGGCTGCAGAGACGGGGCATCAGGGAGTTGGCGCATCAGGGAGTTGGCGGGACGGGCATGGAGCGGGCAGCTCCCAGTGCCCGCCCCGAGTGGAGCCCCCATGAAGGCGGGGCTGAACCCGGGCTGTCCCCTCCACACTAGGTGTGACATCTGCTGTGTCACCTTCCGTACCCACCGAGGACTGCTCCGCCACAACGCGCTGGTCCACAAGCAGCTCCCCAGGGACGCCATGGGCCGGCCTTTCATCCAGAACAACCCTTCCATCCCCGCCGGCTTCCACGACCTGGGCTTCACCGACTTCTCCTGCCGGAAGTTCCCCCGGATCTCCCAGGTAGCGGACCCCCGTGGCCGTGCCCCCACGTGCCCCCACGTGCCCACGCCTTCAGACGCTGTCAGTGTTGGCTGTTTCAGTGACGCCTTGTCCCGACTGTCAGTGTGGCCTGCCCCGTCTTCCTGCCCCGTCTTGTGAGGCTTTTATCTGCTGTGGGCTTGTATTAACACACGGGAAGCCCCGCTCACCCGTGGCTGCTCCTGGGTCCTTGCTGAGCTGACCTGGGCTTCTTTGCTTACAAAACACCTGCTTTGAAATGGTTCTTCCCATTTTTTGGCCAGAAGTGCGGGGGTTGAGGGTGAGAAGATTCACCAGAGACAGAGCGGGGAACAGAACAGGCAGACTGACTGAAACACACTGCTGAGGGGAGCAGCGGGGAGACAGGAGAGGTCTGCCGCACCATGTGGGTGTCCTCCCTGGCCGGGGATCGAACTCGTGCTGCGGACAGCTTTATAGGTTGCGTCTTAACCCCTTGCACCACCAGGGAGGCCCCCTCTTCCCAGTTTTTAAGAATTGAGGTAGAAGATCCCAACACTGAGATCCTTTAGGTGTACCAACTGCAAGGTCACAGGATTAGTGCACGTATGGACGCCTCTGGGGTGTCAGGTGTTGCCCGTATGCACCCGTATGCAGCACCCCCTGACCACACACCCGCCTGGCTGCCCGGGCTGCCCACTCCTGCACTCCCAAGATGCTGCTTCTCTTGTGTCTTCTCTCTGTCTGTCATCTGTCTTACCTGTCCATCCATCACCTGTCTGTCTACATAACTGCATAGACATCTATCGCCTGTCCTGTCTCTTTTTTAGCCCCCAGCTTCCCTGACACCCCCCCAACCCCCTTAATCTCAGTCTGGTCATCAGCGTCCTCTGGTTTACAGTTAACTGGCCTTATCTGCTCCTTTGCTGCGTTTCCTCACGTCACTCCTGGATGTGGTGGTGTCCACTCTCTATCCAGGTTTTTCTGACTCGTCCTCTGCGTGACCCTCCTGGGCCGCCCCTTTTACCATAAATGCCATTCTGCCTTCCCTTGTGAACACACAGTGTCTGTGGCGGGGATGGACCGTGTCCTGGTCAGCCCTGTAGCCCAGGGCACGACCGTCCCAGTGCGTCCTGGCGCTGCTTTTCAGACAGATGCCCCAAACTAAGATTGCCACTTGTCACAGCTGTCCCGGCCACCTGCAGCCATCACCACGTCCCTGGCCTCCCTCCAGCGGTGGCTCGGTGCTCCCGTCTCGGGACGAGAAGCAGCTCTCCCTCCTGGGGTGTGCCGGCCACCCTTGGTGCTCTCTCCCGCAGCACCGGGACCCGTGCCTGGTCAGGCCGACCTCGGCGCCAGGGGGCTTCAGAGCAGCAGCAGGAGTGGCGGCTGGTGGCTGCAGGGCGGGGAGCGAGGCGCTGGTGCTTGGGTCCGGGAGCGTCTCTCAATGCCCCTCTCGCTCTCCCCCTTCCCCCCACCCCACGCCCAGGCCTGGTGCGAGAACAACCTGCGCAGGAGCATCAGCGAGCACCACCGCTTCGTGTGTGACGCCTGCGACAAGGCCTTCCCCATGCCCGCCTCACTGGCCCTGCACCGGCAGACTCACGCCACCGAGCCGGGGCGGGAGGGGCCGCCCACCCAGGCCCCCGCCGGTGATGCCTGCGACCAGAAGGCCTTCTTGGCTGCCCTGGGCCTGCAGCCCACCAAGGATGCCAGGCCGGCCCCGGCCGAGGAGCCGCTGCCCGACGATAACCAGGCCATCCAGCTGCAGGCGCTCAGGTGCCCGCTACCTCAGGACCCCGGCTGCGCCGCCATGCTGGGGCTGTCCGCCCTGGAGGCCGCCTCCCTGGCCGTGCTCCCCGCCTCCAAGGAGGGCGTGAAGCGCCTGTCCCTGCAGCCCTTCCAGAAGGGCTTCATCATCCAGCCCGACAGCAGCATCGTGGTCAAGCCCATCTCTGGGGAGTCGGCCATGGAGCTGGCGGACATCCAGCAGATCCTGAAGATGGCGGCCTCGGCCCCCCCGCAGATCACGCTCCCGCCTCTGTCCAAGGCCCCTGCCGCCGCGCCCCTGCAGGCCATCTTCAAGCACATGCCCCCGCTGAAGCCAAAGCCCCTGGTGGCCCCACGCACGGTGGTGGCCACATCCACGCCCCCGCCGCTCGTCAACACCCAGCAGGCCTCCCCCGGCTGCACCAGCCCCAGCCTGCCGCCTCCGCCCCTGAGGCTGCTCAAGGGCTCTGTGGAGGCCGCCTCCCACGCGCACCTGCTGCAGTCCAAGTCGGGCGTCCAGGTCAGCGCGGCCGCCCCTCTCTTCCTGCAGCCCCCGCGGGTGGAGCTCCCCGGCCCTGCCGAGATGAAGGCACAGCTGGAGCAGGACAGCCTCCTGGAGGCCCTGCTGCCCCTGAGCATGGACGCCAAGATCAAGCAGGAGATCACCGAGGGAGACTTCAAGGCCATCATGGCTGGCCCCGGCGGCGGCAAGAAGACGCCGGCCATGCGCAAGGTGCTGTACCCCTGCCGCTTCTGCAACCAGGTGTTCGCGTTCTCGGGCGTGCTGCGCGCACACGTGCGCTCACACCTGGGCATCTCGCCCTACCAGTGCAACATCTGCGACTACATCGCGGCTGACAAGGCCGCGCTCATCCGCCACCTGCGCACGCACAGCGGCGAGCGGCCCTACATCTGCAAGATCTGCCACTACCCCTTCACCGTCAAGGCCAACTGCGAGCGCCACCTGCGCAAGAAGCACCTCAAGGCCACGCGCAAGGACATCGAGAGGAACATCGAGTACGTGGCCAGCAGCGCGGCCGAGCTGGTGGACGCCTTCTGCGCGCCCGACACCGTGTGCCGCCTGTGCGGCCGGGACCTGCAGCACCACCGCGCGCTGCGTGTGCATATGCGCACCCACTGCGCGCGCCCTGGGCCCCGCGCGCGCAAGCCCTTCGAGTGCCGGGAGTGCAGCGCCGCCTTCACCGCGCGCCGCAACTGCGTGCACCACGTGCTCAAGCAGCACCTGCACGTGCCCGAGCAGGACATCGACAGCTACGTGCTGGCGGCCGACGACCTGCCCGGCCCGGCCCCTGGTGCCGGCGAGTGCAAGCCCCTGGCCGCCTTCCTCGAGCCCCAGAACGGCTTCCTGCACGCCGGCCCTGCCCCGCCGCTGCCGCACGTGGCCATCAAGCTGGAGCCGGCCAGCGGCTTCCCCGTGGACTTCGGCGAGCCCCTGGACTTCTCCCAGAAGGGCCTGGCCCTGGTGCCCGTGAAGCAGGAGGGGGCCACCTCCTTCCTGAGCGCCGCTGCCTCAGGGCCCTACGACTGTTCCATGGAACCCATCGACCTGTCCATCCCCAAGAACCCGCGCAGGGCCGACAAGGAGCCGGCGGCCCCTGGGGAGGCCAGGAGACCAGAGCAGGAAGCAGGCAGCGCGGAGCCCGGCCCCTGTCCACCCACCGGCCCTGCCTTGCCCCTGGCCCCGGGGCCCAACGGGGTCCTGGAGAAGCAGGCGGCCCCCGCTGCTGTGGCCTCCGCCTTGGAAGGGCAGGGGCAGCCCCTGCAGGGTGCCGTCCAGCTGGCCGTGCCCATCTACTCCTCCGCCTTGGTCAACAGCTCCCCGCTGCTGGGGGGCTCCACCCTCCTCAGCAGCCCGGCCCTGCTGCGGCCCTTGCGCCCCAAGCCCCCCTTGCTCTTGCCAAAGCCCCCCGCGTCGGAGGAGCTGCCCCCACTGGCCTCCATCGCTCAGATCATCTCGTCCGTGTCCTCGGCCCCCACCTTGCTGAAAGCCAAGCCCGGAGCCGACCCTGCGCCCCCCGCCACAGGCAGTAACGGCCCCTTCCCAGAGGGCTCGGGAGGCCCCACCCCCAGAAGCGCCCCCGCCGGCTCTGCCAGCCCCAAGGACTCTTGTGACCCGCCCCCCGCCGCCAGCAGCCCCGAGGCGGCCTCGCCCCCCGAGCCGGGGCCCGCTGGGCTGTCCAAGAAGAGGGGCCGGAAAAGGGGGGCCAGGAGCCAGCCCCGCGCAGGCAGTGGTGGGGTGGACCTGGACTCGAGCGGGGAGTTCGCCAGCATCGAGAAGATGCTGGCCACCACAGACACCAACAAGTTCAGCCCGTTCCTGCAGACGGCCGAGGATGACGCCCAGGACGGGGTGGCCGGGGCGCCCACCGAGCACGCCGGGGCCAGCGACGAGGAGCCGGGCGGGCCCCCCGAGGAGCCGGGGCTGCGGGCCAGGCGCAACTCCTACGCCGGCTGCCTGCAGAAGATCGCCTGCCCCCACTGCCCGCGCGTCTTCCCCTGGGCCAGCTCCCTGCAGCGCCACCTGCTCACCCACACTGGTAAGGGGCCGCGGGGCGCACTTGGGGGTCAGGGGGCTCGCATCCGGGACCCTTCCCACCACCCCCTTGCCGCAGAGCCTTGCCGGGGCAGAGATGGGGGGAGGGCAAGGTTCCCCTGTAGCCGCAGCTTTGAGGCTGACCTCGGGGTCCGAGCCCCCCAAGGGTGCAGGGAGGGCGAAGGTAGGTGTTTCTAGAGGACAGGGGTCGAGGCCCTCGGCTCCCCCGCCTCTCCTGGGGCTGGGGCGTGCCTGCCGCCTGGCGGGGACACAGCCAGGAGGGCAGCTGGTGTGAAGGTTTGGGGTGGAGGTGAACCCAGGGCTTTGCTGAGCCCGGGACACCCTCCCTGCTGCCCCCCATCACCCTCCCCACTGCCCCCCATACCCTCCCTGCTACCCCCCATCACCCTCCCTGCTACCCCCCATCACCCTCCCCACTGCCCCCACCACCCTCCTGCTGCCCACCCCTGTCTCCCTCCCCACCCTCCCTCTGCCCTGCACGTGACCCCTGGTTGCTGCCACCTGTTCCCGCAGTGCCGTGGCTCCCTGGTTGGGGTGCTCAGGGTGGGTGCCATGATGCACGGATGCAGCCCCCCTGGAGAGCTGGGCTCTCCCTTGCCGGCATTGATTTTTTTTTTTTTTCCGGCATTGATTTTTGATGGGGGTACCACTGGTCCACCGCACTGCGTGGTCCCCGGCTCAGGCTCCCCTCCGTAGCAGCGTGTCAACGCCACGACCACAGTCCTCCATAGCCTGGGCCCTCCCGGTGCGTCCCTCCTCCCCGCGACTGCAGCCTTGAGTCCGGAGCGGGTCTTAGGGGCTGTTACTGGTTTGGTTTTGTCTATTCCTTTGTTTGGTTTCTCTGTTCTCCACATAGAAGCGACACCACCTGGTGCTTGTCTTGCTCCGTCTGACTCATGTCCCTCAGCACCCTCCCTCCGGGTCCGTCTCTGTCACAGAGGGCAGGCGCTCAGCTTTTATGGCCACATAGTACCCCGCTGTGTGTATCCACCGCATCTTGCTGATCCGCTGCTTTGTCCCTGGGCACTCAAGTTGTTTCCCTAACTTGACTTGTGGACAGCGCTGCAGTGAACACTGGGGTGCAGTCACCCCTTAGAATAAGTGACTTTGCTTCTTCACATACACCTCAAGGCGTGAGATCGCTGAGTCATATGGTAGATGTATTAAAAATTTATTTATTTAAGAATATAAGAGCTGGGGTACAGGCCAGAGGTGCGGGGGTGAGAGGACTCAGGAGAGACAGAGCGGGGAGCAGAACAGGCAGACTGACTGAAATCCACTGCGAGGGGAGCAGCGGGGAGACAGGAGAGGTCTGCTGCGCCCTGTGGGTAGCTCCCTGGCTGGGGATAGACTCAGGCCGTGATGGCTGGCAATGCTTGGTAGCGCTGAGACTTACCCCCTGCACCCCCAGGGAGGCCTTTGGTTGATGTGTTTTTAAAACTTCGAGAAGCCCCGCCTCATCTTCCCCGGGGGCCCACCATCCACTCCCCACGGTGTAGGCGGCTGCATCCCCCTCCCCAGCACATGTTTCTGGGCTCCCTGGTACAGTGCACGAGGTGGTCCCGCTGGCTTGATTTCACTGCCCTGGGGCGGGCGACGCTGGGCCTTCTTCGGAGAGGATGTGTTGCTCTTCTGCCTGCTTCTCATCTGGCCTCCGTTTCCCTGGTCAGCGAGCTGCCGGTCATGTCTGCTGTTGTAGCCTGAACGCCCGCGTCTCAGCTGTGGGAAATCCAGCTGTACATCTAACAGGGTGGTGGTGGGGGGAATGCCGCTGCCCTCCCCTCCGCACCGACCTGGCCTTGTGGGTGCCACCCTGGAGGACACGTCCCGCGTGGGAAGAGCCCTTCCAGGCAGCAATGGGCACATCCACGCTTGCTGGGAGGAAGCCAAGGCCGAAGCAGTCAGTGCTGGCCTGGAGCGCCAGCGTCCACAGCAGGGGTCAGCTTCCCACGCCACCTTGGCCGGGTGCCCACTGTCTGGACACAGGCCTCGGCCTGCCTCCCTGAGCCCTGCTTTGGCATATTGGTAAACTGAGGCCAGCAGTCAGGGTGCAATGGCGGGTCAGGGCTGGGTGTTGGAGCTGGGCAGCCACCCAAGTGCAGAGCCCCCACCAAGGGTCCACTCTGCCAGGGAAACAAGGACTTTGGCGGGGGAGGTCCCAGCAGGTGCCGGCTCACGCGTCCGGCTGGCACTGCCTGTGTGTCGGGGAGAACGCGAGGTTGCAGGGCTCGCCCACCTGTTCCATCTTGTCTTCTGGGAGCTGGCAGTTTCGGCCACGCCATCGACCTTGACCGGAGATGCTCAGTGGCTGCTATTGGGCAGTGTCCTTGCCAGGCCCATCCGGGGGTGCCCTGGCTCTCTGGCGTGCGCCCCTGAATTGAGACGGGGGGAGGGGTGCCTGTCCGTGCTGGCTTAGGTGAGCAGGTTCCAGCAACCACGCGCCCCTCCTACGCCCCCCCACCCCCGGCTCGGGTGTTGGCGCATGCTCGGCCGCGTCCAGCGCTCCGTGGGGACATTTCATTCTCCGGGTTGGAGCCCGAGGCTCCCCAGGATCTGCCCCCACCCCCAGACTTCAGAGCAGACAGGCGCCTGTGTGAGATGCAGGCAGTAAACAGACTCTGTGACGGCCCCAGGACGGTTCCTCCGTAATCCTTGTGTGAAAGCTCAGATCCCAGCCCGCTGGCCACAGCCAGCCCTGGACAGCGTCTCTGGCCCCTGCACAGTTGGGGTGGGGGTGAGTTCTGAGCCCCTGCTGGGTGCTGAACAGCAGGCAGCCCCCAGGCCCGGATGGGGGGTGTGTTTTCCTCTCCGTGGTGGCATCTGGCTGAAGACTGGGGCACAGGGAAAGGTGAGCAGAATGACTGACCGGCAGTGAGACCGTGCGTGGCCGCCGCTGACCTCAGGTGACGGAACCTGGGATGGGTGCTGGTCACTGCTGCCTCCAACCCACGTGCCCCGGACAGGCAGCGTGAAGAAGGGGGACAGGGCCCCCAGGCTCCTGAGGCCCCGCCTGGCTTGGGACCCAGAAACCGAGTCCTGGAAGAAGCCGGCTTTGCCCCACCTGCCTGCGCGCCCTCTTCCTGCTGGGCCTCCCCGGCCTGCCCCGTCTCTGTGGGAGGGAGCCTCTGGGGCTGCCCTTCCTGCCCTTCCTCCCTAGCCTCACGTGTTTCCAGGCACCTGGAGGAGCCGGAACACTCCGCAGGACAGGAAGGGGCCGGCCCAGTGGTGCCCGGAGCCCCGCGCTCGCTCACAGAGGTCCTCGCTGCGTTTCTCCTCCCCGCCAACCTGCCCTCCTCCCGCCAGCATCCCCTCCCACCGCCCCAACGCCGCAGGGCGCTGTGCTAAGCGCCCACGGCCCTGGCGGCAGTGCCTGCTGGCCAGCAGCCTTGGGGGCAGGGCAGCTCTTCCGGCAGCCTCGGTGCTCGTCTGCCAGAGGCAGAAGGAAAGAAAACTTGGGGAGAAGCCTTTGGACGCGTGGGGTGAGGGCAGGTCCCGCGGGGTGTTTCTGGGGCCTCTCGCTCTCTGGAGCCTCTGGAGAGTGGCCGCCAATGCTGGGCTTGTCTGCACACTGGGAGGTGGGGGCGGTCAGGCCGAGGCCGCAGACTCCAGACACCACACTTTGCCAGAGCTGCAACCATAATCCGCACGGTGTCCCCCCGTCCATGCCCACAGGATGCTCACTGCAGGGCCCGGGCCGTCGCTGTGGGGACACGGCCCCGGCCAGGCCAGGCCAGGCCGCGGCCACGTTCTTTTCCAAACTCGGCACGGATCTGAGTGTCCAGGCAGGACGCGCCGGCCTGCGGCTGGGGGGACGCACTTGCTGCATGGGGAGGCGGCCTCGGCCGCCCTGTGGAGCCCGCTCCCAGGACCCACCTTCCACTGTCAGGGACCAGGCCCCTGGCAGGTGCCCCGGGCATCAGCACAGCCAGGGGGTCCCCCTGCCGGCCAGGGCACCCCTCCAGGCAGGGGGCGAGTCCTTCCACCCGGCACCTCTTCCCGCCCTGTCTGCCCGCTCCTTCGCAGCTCCCCAGTAGGGAGGGCCTCAGCCCAGCAGGGAGGGAGGCCCCTCTGTCCAGGCTGTGCCGTGTTTGGGGCGCAGGGTGCACCATGTGCTTGGTGGATGGCGCCGCGGGGGGACGGGTCCCTCTGTCCCAGCCCTAAGCGCAGATAAATGTGTGTTTTTTTCCTGCTTCAGGTCAGAAACCCTTCCCTTGTCAGACTTGCGACGCCATCTTTTCCACCAAGTCTAACTGTGAACGCCACCAGTTGCGCAAGCACGGACTTACCGACCACTCCCCGAGAAGAAACGGGCTTATCCCCCAGGCCCACGAGAGTGATGCTGGACCCCACCAGAGCCCAGGTAGCGCCTCGGTGCCGAGCCGCCCGGGCCCCTGGGGGCGACTCCCAGCCCGAGGGCAGGCGGCAAGGGTCTCTGCCGAGTGGAAACCCGCGGCTCGAGGCGCCCGCGTGCCTCCCTCCCGCCTCCGCTTGGCCAAGCCGCCCTCGCCTCTCTGGCTGACGCGCCTCCCCCGGCCTGGAGTGTCCCCACCTGGCCCCCACGGCCCGCGTGTGGTCAGCATGTGTCCCTCCAGCTGCCTGGGCTCTGCCCCCTGTTACCGTGCACGCCTGCCGCTTGGCCATCCTCCGCGGGTCCTGCATGTCCTGGGCGTGGGCCCTTCCTCACTGCCTGGTGCCCCTGGGAGCGGGGGTGGGAGCTGTGTTGTCCGGCGGACCCAGGCCCGACCCCACAGAAGTGGTGCGAGCAGACTGTGTCTTCTCCCTGGCCGGCTGCCCCCAGGGCTCCAGCCGCACCAGTCGGGTGCACTGCCCGGGGGCTCAGCCCTGGGAGGGAGGGGCTGGCAGGCGGTGCAGGGAGCCCTGAGTCTCCCACTTTGCACCCCTGCGGGGTGTGCCACAGGCCTGTTCTGGATCGGGCGGAGGGTCCCCCGCTGGGGCCGTGCTGTCCCAGGCAGCCTACAGGATGGCGTCACTCGAGGCGTCTCTGACCTCAGCGCGGCACATGGCTCACACTCTCCTGGCAGCATTTGGCCAGAAATTTGCGCTCACGGGCTGTGCCTCCACGTCCCCACAGCCCCCGCCCGCAGTCGGTGGTTCTTGGCGACAGCTGAGCCCTCTGAGCACAGGCGCGGCCTGTGGCTGAATGGGGCGTGGGCCCTCAGGCGGCGGTCAGGTCGGGGGTCAGGCTGGAGAGCCCTGGGAGCAGGGCGGGCAGGAAACAGCCAGGACCTTCGCCCCGGGGCATTCCTGCCGATGGCGGGGTCCCTTAAACGAGTCCAGGGCCTGACTTCGTCTCTCGTCTGTGGTGAAAGCGCCCCGGGGATTTCCCCCATGGGACGCCGTGCCGCTGTGGCCGGGCCAGTCTTCAGAGGCCACCAGCCAGATTCCCCCTGGCATTCTGGGGGCAGAGGTGCCCGGGCCATCCCCCTCCACACTGGCCCCCCCAGCCAGAAGCCCCCAGGCCAAGTACATTGCCCATCTGGTGGCCGCTGCCCGGGGCAGTACCAGATTAAGGCGTGGCCCTGACAGGTGGGGGCTCCTGCCTGGAAAGGGCTCAGTCTGGGGTTCGCTTGGTGCCCCAGGGCCTGGGCCTCTGCTACCGACCCCCCCGCCACCACCATCACCAAGTCCAGTACAACCAGCACCGCGGGGGTGGGGCAGGGAGCCGGCCCCCACGCCCCCGAACAGGCCGCGTGGCAGGGCCCCCCTGGTCTTCACTGGCTCCTTGGGTTTGCCGTCAGAGTTCATTCTGGCCCTTGCTGGAGGTTTGTCGACTCCGTTGTATTCCCAGCAGTTAAAGCCTTTAAATAATCGGGTGGAGAAGAAGAAACAGCATGCGGGCTCCGAGATGGGGCGCTGGTGTCGCTGGTGTGACTGCCCAGAGAGACTCGGCGTCTGGGTCGTCATCCTCGTAGACCGCAGAGCGTATGCCGAGCCCTTGTAGTGGGGACTCTTGGGAGGATTTGAGGGGACGAGCACTTAGTGGCCACTTGGAATCTGGCCTGGCCATTGGCTTGTTATCCTCAGCGTCTTCCTCAGGGCTTGGAGTGATTTTCAGATAATCGTGTTGGAGACTTAGAGTCTCGCTGTGGTTATTTGCTTCCTTTGCGGTGCTCGGTGGCCGCCAAGGCTTGCACAGAACAGAACCGGTGAGGGGAGCGGGTGCAGGTGTGGCTGGGGGTGTCCTCCGGTGAGCTGGCCGAGGGTCCAGCGGGACTCTGCATGGTTCCACATCTGCTGTGGGGAGGGAGGCACAAGGAGGGGTGTCCCTAGGGGCCCCCGCAGCCATCCTGGGCCACTGGCCTCTGGTGGAATCGCGGGTCTCAGTGAGTTGGGCTCCGTGGTCAGGGCACTCCGGGTCCAGCTCATCCCACGGACACGGGAGGCGGTCACATGTGGTTCTACAAGGGTCAGGGGTGAGCCAGATGGGGGCTCTCCTGGCTGACCCGTGGCTGCCGGCCGGGAGGTCTGCGTGTGGCCTGTTGGGATCATCTTGCTCTGGACAAGTAACCACAGCTCAGCTTCCTCGCCGCCATGGGCTGTGTCTCTGGACACACCTGCTCTCCCCTCCTCTGTCCTGTCTGTGCTGCCCAGACTCCTTGCAGCTCCCCATCCTGAGCCTCTCGTGTGGACGTGGTGGGAGGGTCTGTCCCTTGTAGGTTCAGCCCCGCTTGGCCTTGGCCCCAGGACTCCGTCGCCGAGCATTCGGATGGGTGCCGTCTTCACTGGGTGGGGATGTGGGCAGCCGGGGACCCTTGGGGGAGGCTTGTTGGCGTCCCTAGACTCACCCACCCCTGTGCATGTCCCCACAGACAGCCAGTCAGACGTGGAGACGCCGGCCGCCGGAGCCCACGCGCTGGACCTCACCTCCAGGGAGAAGGAGCAGCCAGCGGAGGGGGCCCCGGAAGCCAGCCTGGAGGCAGAGCAGCCCACAGAGGTGGGGGCCCAGGGCGCCACCAGCACGGTCCTCGACGGGGAGGACGGGGCGGCCGCGGGGACCCCGGAGCCAGAGGACAGGCACAGCGCGGAGGAACGGGACGAGGAGGCGGACGGCCCCGAGGAGGACACCGTCAGCAACAAGAGCCTGGACCTGAACCTGGCCAGCAGGCTGATGGGCTTCAAGCTGGCCGCGGGCGGCGGGGGCCCCACCCAGCAGGACCAGAAGCACGCCTGCGACGCCTGCGGCAAGAGCTTCAAGTTCCTGGGGACCCTGAGCCGCCACCGGAAGGCCCACGGGCGCGAGGGGCCCCGGGAAGAGGCCCAGGCTGCAGGCGGGGCAGACGAGGGGGCCCCCGATGGCCCCCCGGGTCCCGAGCCGGAGGAGAAGCCTGCCGGTCCCTCGGCCCCGGAGCCCCCGGCCAACGGGGAGTCCTCGCCGGAAGCCTCTGCCGAGAAGCCAGGCGAGGAGGCGGAGGGCGCCTCTGACGGGGAAGGCCCAGCCGAGAAGAAGCCCTCGGAGAAGAGCGACGAGGACAGGAAGCCAAAGACGGACTCGCCACGGGGCGCGGCCAGCAAGGCGGACAAGAGGAAGAAGGTCTGCAGCGTGTGCAACAAGCGCTTCTGGTCGCTGCAGGACCTGACCCGCCACATGCGCTCCCACACAGGTGAGCCAGCCCGGCCCTGCCGCCCTCCCGGCCTCCCCACTCGCCCCTGGAGAAGGACCGCGGGGTGCACACAGCAGGGCCTGGCAAGCTCCGGGTCCCTGCCCCCTGACCACCCGCTCCCTGGGGCTCTGGGTCTGCTGGAAAGAGTTTCCAGACGTAAGCCTGAGCCCCCAAAAGGCAGGTTGCCTTCTCACCCACCCCGGTCTAAACCAACGCCAGCCTGTGTCCCAGCAGGCACCCTGTGCCGCCCAGCCAGGGCCTCTGCTGCCTACACACCTGCTCCCCTGCATTCGTACCTGCACCCCACCCCCACACCTGTCCCTGCACCACACACGCCAGCTCCCCACACCTGTTCCCAGGGTCTCCTGCCTCCTGCAGGCAGCTCAGCCGCGGGGTGGGGGTTCCTGGGGTCTGTGTTGGGGGAGGGGGAGCCGCAGGACTTGGCTTCGCAGAGACTTCTGGGCTCCTGCAGCTGGGGCTGAGCTGGGGCTGGGGGCGCCACTGCTGTCCGGGCCCCCGTGCACAGCCGGGAGGGCCCTGACGGCTCCTCTTCCCCCAGGAGAGCGGCCGTACAAGTGCCAGACCTGCGAGCGCACCTTCACCCTGAAGCACAGCCTGGTTCGCCACCAGCGGGTCCACCAGAAGGCCCGGCCCACCGAGCAGCACGGGAAGGACAGCGACAGGGACGAGCGGGCCGAGGACGACAGTGGCAGCGAGTCCACCCACAGCGGCACCAACGCCGTGTCAGAGAGCGAGGCCGAGGCCGCCCGCCTGGCCGCCCCCCACCCAGCCATCACCCGGAGCCGGAAGGAGGCCGGCCGGAGTGCCCCCAGGGCCGCGGCCAGCCCCCGGGAGCCGGCGTCTCGGGGGGACGCTGAGCGCGAGAGCCCGGTGGCCCCGGCCCAGGACCCGCAGGAGCCGCCGGGCAGGCGGCCCGCCCACCCCGTCCTGGCCACGGCCGACGGGGCCTCGCCGCTCCTGGGCATGGAGTGATGGCCGCCGCCCGGCGCGCACAGAGCCAGCAGAGCAAAGCGTCCCGAGTCTGGACTTCCCGAGGCATCCTGGTGCCCATCACCATCGGGAGGGACGGCCGGACCAGAGCGGCGTCCCCGCGCCGTGGCTTCCCGCCCGGAGCCCAGCTCCGCGGTCAGTGCCTTAACTACTTTCCAGCCCCCAGCCCTGCAGGGCGGCGTTCTCCCAGGACGACTTCGAGCCGAGCAGGTGTTCCATGAATTCTCCGGAGAGGACGTCGTCCGCCAAGCATTAACGTGCCCTCCTGTGCCGCGTGGCGCCCGCGCTGGCCGCTCTGTGCTGCCGTCCGTGCCCCGGAGCCGCCGCCTCGCCCGCCGCCCCCCGACAACTGGAAGCAGAGAGGTGACGCCCGCGCCGGCCGCCAGAGCGGAGGCTGCTCCCTGCGGCCGCTCTTCTCCGCGCGCCAGCGGCCGGCCGGGCCGGCCCCAGAGAGGCAGACAGGTGGGCCCAGCTCCCGAGGGGATGGGCCGGCCTCGCCTCCGGCCCGCCCGCTGGCTGCTGCCGCGACTATGGACGCTTGGAGACCTCCGCCGATGTTCGGAGAAGTTTGCCTGCGGAGAACGCGCTCAGGGGCTGCCTCTCTGCCCCCCCCCCTTTTGGTATATGTATTATTAATATTATTATTATTATTTTTGGATCATCACTTTGCTGGTCTCTGCAGTCAGCAGAAACAAATGGGCAATATTTGTCCTGGAGGCCCGAACGCCCGGGTCCCTCGTAAGCTCTGTCCGTGACACCCTCGGGTGGCCGCCCTTCTACTGTACTTAGGACAAGCCTTTCTTCCGGGGCCGCCGGCCCTGCGCGCGGCAGGGAGGGGGCGCCGTCTTCCTGCGAGCCGCCGAGCCGCCTGCCCGCGCCCGTCTCTGCGAAGCGAGGAAATACTACTGGTGATAAGCTGCACATGCACGGTGGAGGAGGAGAATAGGTTTACCTTCCTGCGGGTGGGGGTCGTGCTCGCCGAACGTAGCCGCGACCCCTGGGTGCGAAAGGCAGGAACTTTTCTTTGTTTTCCACGAGCAAACTAGACCCCTCCCCGCGGCTGCCAGCAGCGAGAGGAGCAGACGCTACTGTAGCTGAGCGTGTCCAGCGTCCTGCCCTCCAGCCGCACCTCCAGGACACCTGGCCCTGCCCCGGAGCCCCCCGCGCCCCACCAGCGCCCTGCCCCTTTCCGGGTTCTCCCTTCCTTCCCACCGGTGCGCACAGAGACACACGGACCCTTTCTATCCACTTTTTCACCCGTTCTGGTGGCCAAACACTGACCGCCCCCTGTGTGGAAGGAAGGTGGAGGTTTGGGGGGGGACGGCTGGTGCTCCCCTGCGTGGAAGGACGGGTGGGGGTGGCGGCACCGAGGCCCCGGGTCCCTCGGCCCCGGCGGGAGGGCCCGCTCGGGCGCCCCTGCCTTTTCATGATGGTGGTTGTTGATTTTCGTTGTTATTATTTGGGTTCCTCGTGCTTCGTCCCGCCCCGCTGCTCCCCAGCCTGAGCTCACGGCCGTGGGGGGGGCCTGGCGGCGGGGGCGCGGCGGACCGGTGTGCTTGCAATAATCACGATCGATTCAAAGCTTTACTTAGCCTGCGTCTGCCCCCGTAGTCATGAGGTCTTGCCACATCTTACTAGTGAGGCTGAGAAATGTTTCTGTTTGTTCTGCACCCTCCCCAATATTAAACTGTGAAATTTGTGATTGTCCCGACTCCGGGTGAAACCCTAGCTTAGTCTGCCTGTCCGGCTGCCTTGTTCCTACACATCGTGTTGATTCTCTTTCTCCTTCTCTCAGGGCTTTTACAAAAAATATATATATATGGATCTTCTGAAAAGTGTTTGGAGGTGCAAGTTTTTTTTCTCTCGTTTTTTTCTCGTTGATTTATGGACAAGATGCTGAGATTCAATCACTACATGAACCCCTGGCTGTGGAGCAAAACCCGCCGTGGGGGCCGATCCCCCCGGGGGGCCCCAGGGAAGCTACGGAAGTCGGGTTCCAGAAAGATCCACGGTCCCTTCTCCTCTCTGTCTGTCTCTTTCCTCCCCATCCTCAAGAAGGAAGTTGATACTGGTGATTTCAGCCCATGCATTAAACAGGAAACAATAATAATTGTGTACAATTCATGTTTTTCTAAAGGGAACTTGAAAGCTGCTGCTACCTGTTCTGCACAAGACTGGTTTATGCCACATGAACAGAGAATCACATGTCGGGTCTGGTACTATGTCCCTCTCTGTGTTCAATTGTCGAGTACTTCCAGATTCAAATGAGAAGCAAGCTGTTCTGTATCAAACCAGCGAAGCAATAAACGTTCTACTTTAAAAGCAGCACGTGGCCGGCCGCACGGCCGTCCTGTGGTGTCCTGTCTCCCTGTCCGGCGGTCGTGGGGTCGGGCTGGGCCAGGGCGCGCCCCACTCACCTGGCACCGGTCCCACGGAGGAGCGGGGCGTGAGGCAGCAGCTCCGAGCTTGCCAGCGCCTAGGGGGTCAAGATCTATTTCCTGGGGGCAGCTCTGCCCCTCCCACCCAGTTAGAGGGGCCTGCCCGGCCCGCCCAACACCCCCGCCAGTGGAGGGAGGCACCCTGTCACTTGGAGTCTGACCATGCAGGAAGTAGGGACCTAGGCAGGGCAGCACCCCACAGTGGGGTGGGGCAGGTCCAAACCTACATTTGGGGGTGACCTCAGCGGGGCTGGAGCAGAGAAGTGAACTGGGGCTTTCTGGGGCAGTCCGCCCATCAGCCAGGACAGCCCTAGGCTAGGACTGACCTCCCAGAAGCCCTGCACAGGAGGGGCCCGGGGAGCACGCGTGGGGCAGGGTTAGTGACGGCCGGGGCTCCACCCCTGAAGTCCCACTGTTCCCACTCAACGTCCAAATGTGGGGCCAGGATGGGGGCGGGGCGAGGGGGCTAATGGGCAGAACCCCTTCTCCCCCGTCCAGAAATTCTACTTAAGACCCACAGATTCGGGAACCTCGGAAGGCGGGGCCCATCTCACGTTTTTCCAGCAACTTCCAGGGAATTCTGAAGCCCCTTCCCCCACGCGCAGGTCCATGACCCAGCCCCGAGCCCCTGGGGCTCTGGCACCTGCTAGTCCATCGGCGGGGGCTGGATAAACAATCTTCTTTTCGAGGAACAGAACAAAATGAGAATGGGGGCCTTATTCAAAAAGCAGGAGCGAGCCTCTCCCTGCACCTCTCCATGGAGTTTATCCCTCTGCCTGGCACCCCGTCCAGGCCTGGGGCTGCATTCAGCCAGGGTGGGCGGGCAGTCAGCCCCACCTCGGAGAACAGGAGGCAGAGGGACCCCCAAGCCCAGGGCGCACTCGTCCCATCAGGACCTGAGGACACTAGCTTGGGAAGGTCATCGGCCGCTCTGCTGAGGACAGGCCAGATGAGGGTCAGGGTCGGGTCAGAGGTGCGGGCACCGGGCTCCCCAGGCAGCGCCCCTCAGCCTCCATCTCCCCGCCGTGCTCCCTAGAGCTCCCGCCAGCTCCAGCCAGAGGGGCTGCGGCTTCCTTGGCGCACACACCCAGCCCCTCCTCGGCTCCTGGCAAGAGAGTCGCATGCGCGGGTCTCCTGCCTTCCGGTGTGGGACACCGCCGACCCACGCGCCCCAGCCCCTCCACCCAGCCTCCCGCGCCCCACTCAGGGCGCCCAGGTGGAGTCTGTTCTGAAGGGCGGCTGCCCCGGGTTCCACAGTGGCCACCGCTCCGTTTCTCTCCTGGGAGCCTCCACGCAGCACAGGGCCCCGGCCACGGCCACACAGTTGTGCTCCCGGGACCCGGGTCCTGGTGCCCATGCCACCTCTCCCCCCACCCAGGCTCCCCTCAGCCCCATGCGGCCTCTCCCTCCCTCCCACCACGGCCATCCGCACCCGGCGGCCCCAGGCCGGTGGACGGAGTATCCTCGGTGTCTCTCATGCCCAGGGCCTGGACCCAGCGTGAGAATCAGCTCAGCTCGTCTGGGGGCTCCGATGCCGTTTATTCAGCTCAATTCAGCACAACGCAAGGCGACATACCCCACAGCACCAGGGACATGCCCGGGGCGTCAGGAGGCAGAGGGGAGACCCCTAGCAGAGGGGCCTGGTGTCCCGGGGCGCGTGTGCTCACCTGGGCGCCGTGGGGATGCGGGGCGGGCGTGGCTGTCCAGTCCCAGCTCGGGGGACCAGGCCCCATCCTGTGGCCCGGCTTCCTGGGAGGCCCCACCAGCCAGAACACCCAGTGCGGGCGCCTGCGGCCACAGGCCCTCGGCCACCCAGCAGAGCCGCCGGCCAAGGGCCCCAGGTCACCTCCGGAGCGTGGAGAGAGGCGGCTCTGGCCGCTGCCTGGAGCGGCCACAAGCGCAGGAGCAGACGGCCGCAGCTCAGTGCGTCTCCCTCCTCCTGCGGCTGAAACGACAAAGGGACAGGGTGACCTCTGAGAGGCCTCCCGACCGCCGGGCGGGCCCCTCGGGCAGCCGGGCAGCCAGGCAGGGTCACCCCCATGAAGAGCCTCCCACCCCGGGTTCCTCCACGCAGAGGACTGGAGGCCAGCCGGACCCGCCCTCCGCCGGCCTGCAGGGAGCAGAGGGGCTGCTCTGACCCGGGTGGGGGTTCGGTGGGCATCTGACCTCAGGGCAGCTCCCCACAGTGCCCCGCTCTGCGCGGGCAGACGGGGCCAAGGGGGAGGCAGGGGTTGCCGGGAAGGGGCCGCCCCACGTACCCACACTCGACGGCCTGGGGAGCAGGGGCGGGTGGGTGCCGCTGTGGGGGCCGGGCCGGGTGCAGGACGCGCCCCCAGCTTGGCTTTGTGTGCAGGGCGGCCGCCAGGCCTGCGCTCCTGGGAGCGCCCTGCGAGGCGCTCGGGCCCGCCCTGAGGCGCGGGGCGCAGGCCCCGGCTCCACGCGGTGACCCCTGAGCCTGGCGGCGGGGCGGGCGGCTCCGGTCCGGCAGGGGCCGGGCCGGGTCGGGTGTGGCCAGGGGCGAGGGCGCCGGGCCCGGAGGCCGCGCGACGGTCACGGGGCAGCGCGGTGGCCGCGGAGGCCTGTGGAGGCCGTCGGAGGCCGTCCGGGCGGGCGGGCCGTGCGCGGGGCGACGTGGCGTCGTCCCGAGGCTGCGGGTCCTGCGCCCACACCCGCCCCACGCCGTGTCCTGGGGGCAGGCTGCGCGGGGCCCGCGGCGGGGTCACCGGCGAGGCCGCGCGGGCAGCACGGGCGCTGCAGGGGTGGGCCCCGGGAGGGCCTGCGGGGAAGGGGCGCCGCTGGCCACGGGCGCCCGGCTCTCCCCGCTGCGACGGGGCGCTTCTGCGCGCCCGGGAGGGGCACTTCGGGGCGCAGGCCGCTCGCTGGGGGCCTCCTCCCCTGGGAAACCGCGGCCACCGCCTCCTGCTGCCCCGCCCTGGACCCGCCGCCCCGGGGTCCCTCGGCGCCCTTGGGAGCCGGGCTCAGCCGCCCCTCTGCCGCCCGACCCGCCGGTGGGCCGCCCTGCCGCCGGGAGCCCAGCCGCCGCCCCGGGACCTCGAGGTAAGGAGGGTCAACCGGCCGCACCACGGGCCGCAGCCGACCAGGCTGGCGTGCGCAGCCCTGTGGGGAACGGGGCGCTGAGTGGGATGAGACGGAGGCCTGAGGCCGAAAAGGCGGCCGGTGGGGAGCCAGGGCTCGCCAGAGTGTCTGGGGACAGGAGCTCAGGTGAAGACTGAAAGGTGGGGAGAAAAGCAGCCCCGGGCGTGGGAAGGGCAGAAGCCTGTGCCCAGAAGAGGGCGCGCGCAGGGTTCTGGGGGAGCAGGTGCTGCCAGGTGCATTCTGTCCTGTCAGGGCCACAGGCTGCTACACACTGGCGGGCACCTGTCCATGCTGGGGACAGTGCCACGGGCTGGTTGAGGCCATGCCATAGTCTGTCCTCCAGGAAGAGGCACGATGGGGGAGATGGGACACGCACCAGGAATGACTGTGCCTCCTCAGAAACCACCAGGCAAGCGTTGGGCGGGGGCTCCTTTGGGCTGATCACAGCCTGGAGCTGAAGGAAATTCTAGGCAGAGTGGACTGGCCTCACCAGTCACGGAGCTCAGATGCTGCTCCGGGCCCCAGGGCCCCAGCACCACAGGAGACTCAGCCTCCAGCTCCAAACACGGCCTGCCATCCTCTTGGGCAGAGCTGAACGACACTGCCTCGGCACCCCCAGGCCAGCCTGCTGAGCACTGGGCACCAGGGGCAGGCACCCCAATGGCGGCCAGTGAGGGGCTGTGGCCGCCCCCCCCACCCAGGAGATGGGCTAGGACAAGAACCAGACTGCAGGGAGGCCCCCATTGGGTGGGGTGTGCTCGGGCCTTGGGGGAGCTGCCCTCTCAAGCCCAGTGCTCTTGTGGCCAGGGCAGGCTCGCCAGCCCCAGCCCCCGAGACAGAGCGCCCGCCTCCTCCCCGCACTCAGGTCGCCCCACACCCAGCCTGACCACCAGGCCAAACCTCATGTCCTCCCAGGGCGAGCATGGACCCTAAGAGGATTTGTCGTGTTCCACTTTAGTTTCGGTTCTGAGACTAAAGCACTTAAGATTTTGTAATTTTTCAGATTAACTTAAAGTTCTGTCAAGAACCAAATCCACCAGAGCATCCGATAAGAACAACTGGCTAGCCAGGGAACAGTGGTTCTCCCACACCTCTCTAGTGCGGGCTTGGCCAGGCGGCTTCTCTGAAGCAAGACACTTCTAAGGAGAGAAAAGTGCCATCTGAAAAACAAAGCGGGTCTGAAGCCCTCCCGAGCTCCCCCTTGGGTCAGAGACAGAACAGCGCAGGACAACTTAGTTCTCACAAATGTACCATTTTCTTTTTCTTTTTTTGTTAAAAAAAAAAGGAGGGGCTGGTTTTCTAGATCCGATCAGCAGGGCTCTGCCGTGTCTCGACCATGGTGCGACAGAGATCCCCGCTCTTTGAGCTCAGGGGGTGTTTTGGGAAGGTGGGCGTGGCAGCAACAGCAGCAAACACCGCAAGGGCTGGGGCGGGCAAGCAGCAGGCCGCGCGGCCTTCAGGGCACCGGCGAGGGCAGCAGGACGGGCAGCTGGTCGGCACCCGGCTGATCTGGGCTTATCAGAAGAAACGCGTTGTTGCTGTCGCCCGGCCCAGGCAGGCACAGCTCAGCCACCCGGCAGCAGCGGTGGGGCGCCAGTGAGGAGCAGGGCGCGCAGCCAGCACCCTGAAGGCGGTCTGGAAGCGGTGCGGGCGGCCACTGCTCGTGCACACACGCACACACAGCACTTTTAACGGTTTAAAACAAACCAAATTTGTTACTTTAGAAAAATGAGAACCGTGCGCTCGGACACGCCGCGGCCCGCACGGGCTGGGTCCACATGGGCGGGGCTACTGCCGCGGGGCTCGCCTGCATTGACCAGCCGGGCCAGGCACCCAGGCGGGCTAAGCGCGGACTGGACTGGTGCACAAGGGAACATTTACTCGTCAGATCCCACTGATCTCTTCTGTGCCCGCTTCCTGGGCAATCGGCGTGGCGAAGCTTTATCTGGAAGACAAGAGAACATTTTACTTCCTGCACATTACAAGTACGTTGAACACAAAAGCACTAAAGAACACTCACCGCGACGTTCCAAACAGAACACTCGTGCAAGAGAGCCCTCGAGCAGTAGCGCAGGCTCTCCCCTACCACCCTGTCCACACCAGCCTTTGAGCCCACCCTCCAAGAGGCGCTGCAGTTACAGGGAAACGCGCATTTGCAGTTCAGGCGGAAGGGGCCACGGACGCGGCTACATGGTGGCAGCCACCAGGCAAAAACCTCATATCCTACAGCCGGGCACGCGTACAGTTAGCGCACGTGGAAAATGCTTCACAAGGAGCAAAGCTGTGTGACGTTTGCAGCTCAAAAGTGTTATGTCGAGCGTACAAATCAAACTTCACAAACGCAGCCCTGTGGTCTGCATGGCTTTTGGCAAATGCACAGATCCGCCTGCCACGAGCGGCATGGCATCAACCCGGGCCTGCCCGAGGGAGCATGACCTCTGCCCTCTCCTCCGCACTTGTCACAAGCAGTGAGAGGGCGTCGCCTCTGCCCAGCAGAGCCGCAGGCTCGTCCTCGCCCGTCCCCCAGGAGACCACGCCACCAGGAAAACAGCGGCTGTTCTCTCGCCGGCTCCATCTAGGGCCCCGCATGCTGCCAGGGTAACAGCGGTGGCAGGCCCTGTGGGATGCGGGGTCCACAGACCCGCCCCAGCCCAAGAGCTGCCAGCAAGTCAACCCTCTCCCTGCCGGGCTGCCAGGGGCCAAGCACCCAACCTGCCTTGAATCCGATACCACTACTGCCTTCGAGGGGCTGCCTGCCCACTCTGCACCCAGGGGCCACGGCTCTCTTCCTTCACCCCAGTGCCGCCTGCCCGCGCACGGCACCCCTCCAGCACACACTCCTCAGCTGCCCAAGCATCCACATCTGCCGTGCGTGACTAGTTCCCTCCAGCAGATGTGAGCTCCTGGAAAAGCAGTCATGTCCATGCTCCCCCTGGACAGCCTCTTGGTGTCCCGCACAGGCCTGAGGCCTGGCGCACCTCACCCCTGATGACGGCCCAGGCCCCAGTGGCGTGTGCTGGCCTTACTCAAATGCCTTTCCCTGCTCCTCCGTGGGGTCGGCCCAACCAGCTGCCTAAGCTCAGAGCACTCACCTGCCCCAGGCACCTCAACTCCCCCAAAGCCCTGTCTGCCCCACTTCAGAGACCTCCCCCAACCCGAGGCCCCCACCACTAGTGCGCTTCATGCGGCCTAACGACCCCTGGCTTCCTAACACCATCCACCCCATGCCCACTCCCAGCAGCCCCTGCTCCCCAACCATCTGACCAGAGCGAACCTCAGCTCCTGCAAGCACGTGTCCTCTGCTCTACTACCCGACGCCTCGGCTGCCTAGAAGGCAGACACCATGAGCAGGTTCAGGAGACCTCGAAGACGCCTTTTCACGCAGCGCCTTGCACTCTAGCCCAACCCCCGCAGAGGACGCCCATCTCCTGCAGGGAGGCCCTCCAGCTGACACTGCCCACCCACAGCACACCCCAAGACCAGGAGCACCGTCCACCCGGCAGCCCTGAAAGGGCTCGGACAGAAGGAATGAGGGTGACATGCGTGTGAAGCTGCCATCTCACATGCAGGTGGATGCAACCGTGCCAGTGTGCATGGCGCTGGGGACCGGTACGGAGTGGGTGGAGGAGGGGCGGCCACCCCCTGTGCTGGGCCTAAGTGGTGCTGTCTCTGGGTGGGGACGGGACCCTGCTGTGAAACCACGGCACATGCAACACCTGCGCTTGGCTAGCTGCGAACTTCAGTCCACACCGTGTGGTCACATGTCTTCACTGAGAGGGAGAGCCTAGAAACACCACCCGTCTGTGGAGAGGCCCAAGACAGACACGCGCACGGAAGAGACCGAGCATCGGCGAAAGACGCAGGAGCATGGAGCAGGGGCCGCGAGACGCCGCCATTCAGGCGGCCAGCCATGCCCTGCACACCTACACACTAGCCGCGGGGGAAGTGGGCGGACCAAGAAGCCAGCCCAGACCTCACGTCTGAGCGAGGGGTCCGCAGTGTGGCCGTGCTGCTCCTGCAGCCAGGCTCTTTAGGAATCCGTTTGCAACTGTGGGGAGAAGCTACGCTCTTTTGCAAAGATCACTATTTCAGCTGGCTGCACGGCTGACAAAACTGAAGTGCACATTACGTAAACTCCCAGAAGCATTTCAGGGTTATTCTCTCAGGGCATCACGGCAGTCAGCAGCCCCCACTGAGAAGGCAGCGCGTGGGCTCGGTGGTGAGTGGGGTTAGCTCTCCAATGACACGACGCCAGGGAGCAGCGCCGCCCCCGCTAAAGGTGCTCAAGGTGCGTGTGCGGCACGAGCCCCGGCTGTCGCCACCACCACCACCACCACCGCCGCCGGCGCCATGGCCTCACCTCTTCTACTCTGCACTGAAGCAACAGGAGAGAAAAGAGGAGAAAAGTTAGGGACACAGAGAATTCTCACGTTTGCATGTAAACTGCAGGCTGGGCAGCATTTCTCAGTTAGGCCCGTGAGCACCACATGGCAGGCAGTGTACACTGTCAGTAACCACGGGGCACGAGTCTCTCCAAGCAAGAGCACGGACCAAGCGTTTCTGTTAAATGTGAGCCACTGCATCTAAGGCGCGTCAGCCCCACTGAGAGAACCGCCGCCCAGTTGGGCACTTACTGATCTGGTTCAGCGTTTCCTGGGGAATCCAGCTCATGTCCACGTCATTCTGGCTGGAAGTGCCCATCTCCACTTTCTGCATGGGTCTCTTGCGCTGAGAGAACAGAAATGTGTTGTTTTAAGGAAGCCCCACCATTGTGTCCACTATGACCTTTACTCGCTGACAGGCACGTCCCGCCCTGCTTATGCATCTCAGGCATCAGAGGACACCCAAGTCTAGCACTCATGACGTGACCAGGACCAGACCCTGATTCCCCTCTGGCTCTCAAGACCTGGGCCCTGCTACAGAGCTCCACTTCCTGGTCCACCTGGGGCTGAAGTAAATTTCTCTCTGCACCGTGATTTCTTACCTCCTCTGGGAAGCAAATCTTAAAAAACAATCTCCACATTAAATAAAATGTAGGATGATTACTGAGATGTTGCCTGCAGGCAGGTTAACCAGTTGGCGGAGATGAGATAAACATAAAAACACCAATGCTAACGACCTCAAACTCTGTCCCTAGAGTATAAGCAGCAAACTGCTAGAAAGTGATTCGATTCCACATTGATTCTACTGAAAAAGAACTATATTAAATAACAGTATTAACAATGAAGTCCAAAAATTAGACTCTGAGTTCACAGAAAACTGAGAATCAGCTCTATGCCCAGGGCAGGGAAAAGGAGATGGCGGGGCCTCCCCAGTGGTGCAGGCGGTTGGGTGCAGCACTGTGAAGCTGTCCACTCTGTCTCTGGTGAATCCTCTCACCCTCCTGCGCATCTGGCCTGTATCCTGGTTCTTGTATAAATGAATCTTAAATGAAAAAAAGGAGATGGCGGCACCCCCGAGCAACGCCAGCTGAGTGCCCCGCGGAGACGCAGGGACGCCCTGGAGTCAGCACCTGGGGTACTCTCTCTGAGGAGCAAGGGCTTGTGAGTAATGTTAATTTTAACATGCGGGGCTGCGGCTTCAGGGCGCATAGCAGGCCTCGCCTGCAGGTGTCCCTTCAAAAAGGCACCACAAAGCGGTGGCCACACGAGCCCCTGCAGGAGCGAGGGCAAGAAGGCGTACTTGAGAGGCCTACCCGGGGCCCACATAGCACTGCACAGTTACCTTCCTAGACTCCAGGAGCTGATGCAGGCCGATGACCACTAGGAGCCCAAGGCCAGCAAGGAACATGTACATGAAGACTCTGTAGGAGAGAGACCAAGTGGTGTTAGCAGGCATCCTGTGCCCCACTCCCAGCAGCAATGAGCCTGGCATGCCACAGACTCTCCAAGCAACTCTGGGGAGGGGCTTTCAATCCGGCTTAAACCCGGTGCTAAGGTCCGTGTACACCGTCACCTGAGAACCACCAGTCCATCAAAATACTCAGGACAGATGAGCTGAATAAGATCACTTTCTAATCTGTGACACTCAAGCTCACTTAGCAAGGAAGTGCACCAGGTCTCATGCCCTCCGATGTTAGGTCTCTTGTATACAACTTGGTTTAAAAATTACTTCTGGTTGGGGCCTCTCTGGGGCCTAGGGGTTGAGTCTCAGGCTGTGACCGTTGCAGCCTAAGTTCAATCCCCAGCCACGGAGCTGACCCACAGGGTGCAGCAGACCTCTCCTGTCTCCCCGCTGTTCCCCTCAGCAGAAGGTTTCAGTGGATCTGCCTGTTCTGCTCCCCACGCTGTCTCTGGGGCATCATCTTACTCCCCCCGAAAACCGTTGGTCTGCACCCCAATTCCTCTACACAAAATAAGTAAAAAAAAAATTACTTCTGGGCCTCCCTGGTGGTGCAGCGGTTGAGTGCTGGGCTGTGAAGCTGCCTGCAGCCTCTGCAGCGCTGGTTTGATTCCCCAGCCGCCAGGCGAGGGTCCCACATGACACGCAGACCTCTCCTGCCGCGCCCACTGTTCCCCTCAGCAGTGTACTTCGGTCCCTCTGGCTGTTCTGCTCCCCGCTCTGGCTCTGGTGAATTCTGTCACCCTCCCGCGCTTCTGACTGTACCCAGTGCTTATGTAAATAAATAAATAAATCTTAAAAAAAAAATTACTTCTGTTGAATTGCATGTAAGTACTCAGTAAGAAATGACTCATCGTTCACAAAGAACTGACTTTTCAGGGTAAAAATCCCCTAATTAATGTTTTCAACAGCAATTTTAGAGGCATTCTGCATTAGCTGGTGCCCAGCTGAAGAGCATGGGGGCACAGAAGACGTCAGCAGGGCAAAGGGCAGAAAGCCTACTGCTGTAAAAAGTGTCTTTCAGTTGTATCTGTCCTCCCTCATTGATGGGAACAGCTTTAAGAACCGGGTGAAGAACGCCGTTTGCAGTCAGGACATCCCCACTCTGTGGCCCATGTCGTGTTCACCATTTTCTACATCGCTGTGGGGTGCTCGCCAGACTTCTGGGCACCACAGACGGCGCTCACCCAGGAGTGCAGGCATGGAGGCTGAGGGCGCCCTCCATACATCCGGACAGAGGCCCACAGAGCAGTTTCCACTTACGTCTCTCCATCTAGCCCATCCTCTCTTTCGATGATTGTAACCGTTTGATTGAAGACGGCATCCTGGAACACGTTACCCTGTTTAAAAAAGAAAAAAAAAAATCCAAGACTCCAAGACTCCAAATCTAAAAATCCAATCCAAGACTGAAATGCAGTGTGGGAATGAAGAGTCTCAAAGCCACTCCCTGAGCTGTATCCCCTCTACAAGGCCGGTGAGACTCAATGCCACCCAGGTAATCACAATAACTCCATGGCGTGACGTGCTTCTCCCACAAAACAAAGTGCCTCCAGCTTGGCAGCTGACTCCCCTTTTTCTGGGTGGGGGAAGAAAGGCGTGAGGACCAGGGGAGTAAGAGACAGACAAAACGTGCAGAAGGCAAGCCCACGGGACACGTCACCAGAGGCGAGGGAGAGCGTGGGGAGCAGGGGAGGGGCTTGCCACAGGCCACGTGGAGAACAGACATGAACAAGAGTCCTGTTCCAGACAGAGAACTGGAAATCACTATAATCAGCTGGTGATTTTCAGTATCGCATTACTTCCTGTTGTGCTCTTGAAACAATTACTAGCTCGACACAATCACATCAGAATCACTGTGACAGACCCTAAGAGAGCTGGTTCCAGTGTCCTTTCTCAACGCTCCTGCTTGTTACTAAACTGTAATTATACACTTTTTACCTCAAGACTTGCAATCTGTATTCTTATTCTGACAATTCAGGAACCAGAACACACAGAGGAAATTGATATTCAAAATGAACTCAAATTGGGGCTCCCCCAGTGGCGCAAGGGGTTGAGCGCAGTGCTGTGAAGCTGTCGGCAGCCTCTGGAGTGCAAGTTCAATCCCTGGCCAGGGAGCTACCCATGTGGCATGGCAGACCTCTCCTGTCTCCCCCGCTGTTCCCCTCAGCAGTGTACTTCGGTCTATCTGCCTGTTCTGTTCCCTGCTCTGTCTCTGGTGGATCCTCTCACCTCTCACACCTCTGGCCTGTACCCCAGTTCTTGTATGCATAAATAATTATTTTTTAAAAAATGAACTCAAATGATATATGCCTGTTGGATTAAATTTAATTCTGATAACAGGATGAAATATAGGATTCTTCAAGTTACTCAACTATAAAGCTGAGGAAGCTTAATACCTTATTTTGAAGACAGAAAGGATGAGAATCCCTTTCTACTCTCACAAAAGGGGAAGCTTAACTGCAGCACAAGAAATGTAGCTAACGCTGACACTGAGTGATGAAAGGCGGAATAAACCTCCCTCCAGAAGAGGATGGTAATTCCTTCTAAGGAAACTCCTGGAAAGAGCAATGGTTTAGATTGCATAGTATGGATGTGAAAAACAAGAAGGCCACAGAGCTTTTATCAGGCTCCTGATCCCTCATAAACCATAAACCTTCCTGCTAACTATCTTAAAAATATTTGGTTATGTTTATTTATGGAATAAAATAGCAGAAAAATGGCTATAGAGAGCCCTCAGAACTTACAAATTAAACAGTTGAGGGCAAAAGGCAAGCACCAAAAACATGTTTCAAACAAATCACGCAGTCCACAGACGGCAGAGCTCAGCCCAGGGGCTCCGCCCGCCCTCGGAGGCCCGTCCACTGCCCTAGAGCACTGCCCGCGGCCTGGTTCCCCGGTTGGGGACCCCGTGGTGCCAGTTTCCGTCCCTCTACTATACTACAGAGCTGCAGACTGTGCTCTAGCTTCACCTGGGGGGGGGGGGCAATCAGTTTCAACCCAAACTGCCCCAGGACATGCAATTACGAGAGCATTCAATGAGCAGTGTGACTGTCCTCATCCGTCTCTAACTCAGGCAAGTCAGAAGGGGGCGGAGGGCCTTACGTTTAAGTCCTTGTAGTTGAGGTTGATGACCAGGCCAAAGGGCCGGCCGCCCATGGGCTCCGCGGGGATGAAGGAATACTCGAAGGTGGCCTGCCTCTGGGGCGGCACGACGGTGTTTAGGGGAAGAGCCGTGAAGTTCTGGATGTAGAACTGGTAGTCCTGAGGGTAGCGGAAGGAGGCGTCCAGGGACTCGACAATGAAATCTTCCGTCCCCTTGTTTGTGAAGCCGACCAGGAACTTCACGATGTTGTTTGCCGGAAAATCTGCGGGACGGAGACAGGGAAGTCAGGTCAGAAAACCTGTCAGGACACACTGAGGACAACCAGGTAACCGAGAACCATGGGGGTCCGCCTGCTACATGCCTGGGTGTAGAATCCCCTCCCCAGCACAGCGTCATGTACCCGCCAGCCCCCGGGGGGGCACGGACAGTCGGCCTCTGTCTCCATGAGGGTTCCAGAATGGGCCCAGCAGCTTCACACCCCAGAGAACTGCCCACAGGGAGCACAAGTCTCAGGGAAGTCACACCTGCTCCCACCCCACTTCAGACAGGGCGAGGAGAGCCACAGCAGACGGCAAAGCCTAGAGGCTCAGCTGAAATGGGAACTCTGTCAGAGCATAGTTCATCCAACAAGCCCTGCGTTCTATGCAAGTACATTTGAAAGTAAGACCCAGGCCTCCCTGGTGGCGCAAGGGGTTAACACACAACCTATGAAGCTATCTGCAGCCATTGCAGCACGAGTTTGATCCCCGGCCAATCAGGGAGCAACCAGCATGGCGCAGCAGACCTCTCCTGTCTCCCCGTTGCTCCCCTCAGCAGTGGATTTCAGTCAGTCTGCCTGTTCTGCTCCCCGCTCTGTCTCTGGTGAGTTCTCTCACCCCCTGCATCTCTGGCCTGTACCCCAGTTCTTGTATGCATAAATAAATCTTTAAGACCCAAGGCGGCTGCCTCAAGGAACACCCTTAATTACGCTTTTGTCAGCATAGAGTCCTGGCAACAGATGGAAACCTGCAGAAGACAAGAAGATCACTCAATCGTGCCCTGAGTGCATTGTCCTGAGAGAGGCGTTCCACCCACACTGCAGACGTGGGGCCCAACAGACAGTCTGCACACCAAGTCCACGCTGTCCACTCAGCCTCCAGATGGCCCAGGCCGCTCTCTGAACCTCACTTAACAAGAGATGCCACCGGCTGCCGGGGAGATGGCACAGGGGCGAGAACCATGCCTGGGCAGAGCTGCCCCACAGGCCATTCTGGTCACCTCCCTTCATGAAACCTGCCTCTAACCACGGCCTGATTGTGAAGATGTATTATGTCACTAATGTTTACACTCAAAAGGAATTATTTTGCTGTCACGACAGGTGCTGACGCACCTCAGGAAGGCGTCAGATGCTCCCCTCTTACCTTCTCCCTTCACAAACAGGATGGTTGTGTCTGCACTTGGGGACGCTTCAGGCTCACCAGATACATCATCTTCCTCTTTATCTTCTGCCTAATAGAATGGTAAAAAGGGGTTACTAAGGGGAAAACACAGCATCATTTAAACATGACTTCCCTCCACTCAGAACAAAACACAGTTTCCATGAGGCCTTGCTGGGACTGGCAGGGGCACATCTCTGGATGTCAGCAGCACCCACGCTGGTGAGCAGATCTGGTCCGGGCAGCAACAGGGCTCCTCAGCCTCAGGAACCGAGAAGTCTCTGCTGCCATGGGCTCCATGGCTGCGAACCACGGCCAAGGTGTACCGACAGCTGGCCAGGCCTGGCCCACACCTGCCTGGGGCCCAGAGAGTCCACTGCAACTAACAGAAGCAATGTCTGCTGAGAGCATGACACACAACTTGGAAAAAAGTGGGCTAAAAAAAGTCACTAACAGCCACACTTTTCTAATAATTCAATATTTTTATTAACTAAAAAATATGAACTTGGGGATTTTATTCTGGGGGAAAAAAAAAAAAAGACCACATACAGAATCATGAAAGGTTCCAAGATCAATAGTGGCATAATGGCAAGAGAAGCAAGCTCAGGGGTGCAGGCCGGGCAGGGGAGGCGGGTGCTGGTGGGCATGGGCCACAGAGGATCTGGGTTAGCCCAGTCTCCTGACTGCCACACCTTACTGTGTAGTGAGGGCCAGGCTGGAAGACTAAGATCTTCTTTGAGCCCCACAGGCTTCACAGAACATATTCTCTACAGACAGACAGACAGACACACACACACACAGCCTCAAGACTGCCCTAAGTGCAGAGAAAGAATATGTCCCCCTGGCTTGGAGAACGGTGCCTGACACAGAGCAGGGACTCAACGAGACGTGCTCACCTCATAAAGCCAAGGAGGAAATGCTGCCCAAGGCCAGAAGGCTCAGTAGGCCCTCTCCACAAAAGAGCAGGATTGTCCCACGGCTCTACCCCCTCCCTCAGTGCACAGCCATACCACCCTTGTCTGTTCTTTGTTTCACTTCTCCCATTTCAGAAATACTCACTGGCCCACCCTGAGTGACTGGGCCTGTCCTCCCAACTCCATCCACTTTGATCACAGCAACAGATTTCTAAAAGGCTCTGCCTTGCATGTGACATACACAGACCAGAACACACTGACCACTAACCAAATCTGTGGGTTCATCTTCTTCCACCTCTGCTTCGTCGTCTTCATCTTCAATCACAGAATCTTCAACTGTTTCTTCATCTTCTGTAAGATCTTGGGCTGTTGCTAATGACCCTAGCAATAAATATAAAACAGGCAATTAACCTTTACCCTGGAAAACTCCTGTGGTTTAATCGAACCTGTAGGAAAATTTCCCAAGGGGTAATACAATGCATCCAAAAGTACTCACGTGGCTTGTCTTATTAAAAGGCTCAACTGCATGTTAATTTTAATGGGAAATGTTATCTAATTTTTCATAGAACCCAACAGTTGAAAATAAACTGCAAGAACTAAAATTGCCTTGAGGCCTAAGTAAAAAGCTTACAGCAATTTTGTTACACAAATTAAGGAAAATGATACATTTTTTAAAATAAGAAACTGCAACATTTAGTCCCTGGCATTAACCACATGAAACAAATGATACCCAACCTCAAATTTAAAAGAAAATAGTAATCTCAACATCTAGGCAAGAAACACTGTTAATGCAGATTCCAGCTAAAATGATTAGGACTTGACAGCACGTGAGTTCAAGGGACAAATATCGATGTTAAAAAAAATGGATTTTTTTAAAAAGATCCAGTGATTAAAAAAAAAAAAAACTAGCTTGCTCTTATAAAGCACATTCTGTCTGGTAAAAACTATACTGATACTGTCAGAGTTGACAGCAGAGAAAACATGCTTTTGCTTTCCTTGTGAATTCAAACATGTTTTAAGGTACTTTTAAAATTTCCTCTTGAAGATCAAAATAAAAGTTTTGCCTAATTTTATTGGCCAAAAGACTCTAGGTTACATGAAATCTATTTCAGGCAAGACCCTCGAAAGGAATCTCAAAGCTACAGTGATTCCACCATTTCTCAGAGCGCTGATGTGGCATTCTGGAGAGAATGGCGGTGTGGGAAATAGCATCTGCTAAGGACCCCAGTTTTCAGTGCTGCTTCCTCGAGTTCCTACTGGAGGCTGATATTTACGCAAATTAGCAAGGAAGGGCGAGCTGAACATTAGGGCTGGAAAACAGCCTCTACTCCTTAATGAACAAAGACTAGAAGAGCCCCCTCCCAACTTAGGAGTCATTTCAAAAACCGGTCAGATAATACTGACTGGAGCTGTGCTCCTCTCTTTCACTCTGTGTATGAAATGGCCTTTCACCCTCCGCTTCAGTGGACATTAAACTAGTTCAATACGAATGAGCAACAATTTGGCACCTATAAAGTCTAATAATTTCGAGTTGGACAATTAAGAGAAAAAACATCTTTTGATGTTTTCCTAACAACGGCGTGTTTAAAGACAGCCAGTTCGGTTTGGCTCTTCAATGGACGTTTCCTTAGACAGAAAACCTTCTTAAAGCCCGAAAAGAGTAACAGTCTCGAGTATCCACATGGAGAAGTGACCAATTTCCTTTGAAAATCCAAACGCCCCGAGCAGCGAGCAGCTCCTAAAGGAGGCGCAGCCCCCTCGGCCCGGCTCGCCCGTCCCCGCGCAGCGGGTGGACAGCTGTCACCAGGGCTCGCTGCCCTCAGGCCGCTGGGCCGCATCCCGGGCCCGGCGGCCCATGCTCCGCACCGGCCTCGTCCTGCCAGGCCCCTGTCACACCGGCCCCAGGCCGGGGCAGCAAACCTGAGGAGGAATAAACGCCCCGACGGCGGGCAGAGCGCGCCTCCCAGGGCCGCGCAGCGCCCCTCAGGCAAAGAGCGCCCCGCCGCAGGGCGAGGGCGGGCCCCGGCGCTGGTCGGCGGGGGGGTTGGGGTGGGGGGCGTCCCGGGGGCAGGAGCCCGCGGGCCCCAAAGCCCGCGCCGAGCTGGGGGCGCGGGTCCCCGCGAATGAATGAGGCCTCGGGCGCGCAGTTAGAGACACGTCAGCCCGGCCGGGGCGGGGCGGGGCGACGCGGGGGAGGGCCCCGGCCCGCCCCGGGACCCCGGCCCTGGGGAGCCCCGCTCGGCCGCGACCCCCGCTCCGCCGGACCCCACCCCGCGGGACCCCGCTCCGGCGGGGACCCCGCCCCGCGGGACCCCCGCTCCGCCGAGGCCCCTGCCCGGCCAGGACCCCCCGGCCCGCGGGACCCCGCTCCGGCCGGGACCCCGCCGGGACCCCGCGGGGACCCCGCCAGGACCCCGGCCCGGCCCGGACGCCGCGCCGAGGCCCACGGCGGGCCGGGAGCGGAGCCGGGAGCGGGGCCGGGGCCGGGGCGGCCGCGCTGCCGTCCCCCGCTCGGCCCGCGCCTCACCTCCGGGGCCGCCGCGGAGCAGCAGCGCGGCGGGGAGCACGAGCAGGAGCAGCAGCAGCAGGCGCGGGGGCAGCCCCATGGCGCGGCCGCTCGGAGTCCGGCGCGTCGGCGAGTGCCCGGCGCCGGCAGCAATGGCGCTACGCCGCGTCCGGCGCCGCGGGGGCGGGGCACGCACGCGCAGGCCGGCGCCCCGCCCCCGCCCCGGCGCGCACGCGCACGCGCACGGCCCGCCGCGCCCCGCCCCCGCCGGAGAACGCGCCACGGTGGCTGCGCGCCGCGCGCGGCCGGGCGTCACGTGGCCGCGGGCCTCGGGTTCCCGCGAGAGTCGGGCCCTCCGCCCCGCGTTCATTGGCGCGCTCGGGCCGCTGCGGAGCCCCGCGCACGCGCGCTGCGGCCGTGGGGATTTTAAATGTCGGCGCTGCGGTGCCGCGCGTCGCCCTGAGGGCTCTGAGGAGCGAACCTAGGTTTGGGAGTAGAGCGCGTTTCCAAACCAGAGGCTGTAGGAACGCCCGGGCGGACCCCTCCCTCTGGGCAGCGGCCCCTTCCTCAGGGCAACGGCCCCCCTCCCTCAGGGCAGCGGCCCCCCTCCCTCAGGGCAGCGGCCCCTTCCTCAGGGCAGCGGCCCCCCTCCCTCAGGGCAGCGGCCCCCCTCCCTCAGGGCAGCGGCCCCCCTCCCTCAGGGCAGCGGCCCCCCTCCCTCAGGGCAGCGGCCCCTTCCTCAGGGCAGCGGCCCCCCTCCCTCAGGGCAGCGGCCCCTTCCTCAGGGCAGCGGCCCCCCTCCCTCAGGGCAGCGGCCCCCCTCCCTCAGGGCAGCGGCCCCTGGCGGGGAGCACGGGGCAGGCGCCCAGGGCCGCCCAGTCGGCCCCTCAGCCCTTCTCGCCATCCCCGATGTGGGCAAAGTTTCCGCTCCGGCTTTGCAGCGCGCGGAGCCCAGAGGCCCGCTGAGAGGCCGGCGTCGGCCCATCGCCCCCGTGACCCGCGGACGTGGCCCCCACCGGCTCTTCCTTCAGTGGACGCTTCTCTGGCCTGCCGCGTGCAGCTGGCCCCCCGGAGAGCAGCGGGCGGGGTGCGCGGTCGCCTGTCTGGGCGCGGACATGTGTCCCCAAGAACGGGATCCAGGAGGACAAGCCCTTGTTCGCTTCTGCAGGGGCTGCCCCTCGGAACGCCTTTCGGCTTCTGAGAAACACGGTCGTGACTCCACATCGTGTCCAGCCAGCCCTGCTGTGGCCGGCGCTGGCCGGGCCCGCCCTCCCCGCGGGTCTTCTGCGGCGCCCACCGGCCCCCTGGACTACCTGATAAAGCCCGACCATGGGGGGACTCGTATTCCAGCGAACTCGCCTGTCTGGTGTTCCCCGCGGTTGCGCAACATGGACACGGGCCTGCTGGCCCAGAGCAGAGTGCTGTGAGGCCACGGGGTGAGTGCCCTCCAGATCTGGCTGAGCCGGTCACGCTGCGGAGCACGTGCACCTAGGAAGAGAGATGTTTCGAGAGGCCACTCCGGGCCAACCAGGACCAGGCCAGGGGGACCAACAGTGACGGTCCCTGCCCTCCAGCTTTGGTCTGTTCATCCCGGCAGATGCTTTGGCCTACAGCTCCGCTCTGGTCCTGAGCCACAGGTGACACCGACCCCGTGGTGACTGATGTGGTTTTTGGAGTCTGTGGGTTTGGAGTGCAGGGTCCTTGGGGTCACTCTGGGAAAGGTGTCACCAGAGCTCCCGTTTGAGCAACACACAGCGAGTTTCCCATGCGAGTTTCTCACAAGACAGAGATGTTAGTTATATATTTTTTTAAAGATTTATTTATGCATACAAGAACTGGGGTACAGGCCAGAGGTGTAGAGGGCGAGAGGATTCACCAGAGACAGTGGAGAACAGAACAGGCAGATCTACTGAAACACACTGCTGAGGGGAGCAGTGGGTGAGACAGAAGAGGTCTGTTGCGCCATGTGGGTATTTCCCTGACTGGGGATCGAACTCGTGCTGCAGTGGCTGCGGACAGCTTCATAGGTTGCATCTTAACCCCTTGTGCCACCAGGGAGGCCCCGTTAGTTATATTTAAAGGACAGGTTTATTAGGAAAAGACAGAAAAGGAAAGGACACTTGCATAGACACAAGCGAGCAGGAAGAGTACCCGGAGAGGGACAGCTTTGCTAAGAGAGGCCTGCCTGGTTGCAGGCGGGGGCCTTGAGGCGAGTGGCCTCTGCTGAGGGAGGTCAGTGAGGAGAAGCCCCAGCAGGTACAGGTCATGGGCAGGTAGGAGGCTGCTGCCCTGCAGAGGAGAGAGTTGGTAAAAAGGAGCACTTATATAGTCACAGGTGGGCAGTGGGAGCGCTGCCCCGAACCTGGGCAGAGACTGCACTGATATAGTCTTCTTTTGGTGGGGAGGGGCTCGTCCTGGGGCGCTGTCAGGTGCTGATTCTGGATAATGATGCAGAATCTGAGCGGGACGGGAGAGTCCACAATGGGCTGAGTCTCCCGTCTTTACCTTCGGATGCGTCCTTGGAGGCCCGCTTGGATGTTCTGCTTTGTGATCTAGGCGTCCGGCCTCAGGATCACCATCTGCGCCTAAGGACACTAGTTTCTGCAACTGTGTCGTCTGCGCCAAGGATCTTGGTTTCCACAACTGTGCCGTCCGCGCCAAAGATCCTGTTTTCCACAGCTGTGTTGATGGTTACGCTCATGTCTTCTACCCCCACCTCCCTGTGTGAGCCAGGTTTCTGGTCTTGTGGCCCCTCCTTTTTCAGTTTTCTATCGTCATCCATCAGTGACCACCCAGGCGCTTCTCCCCATGCGCCCCCTCCCTGAGTCATCGCCACAGTCGCTGGTGTGGCCTCGGGGTTCCTCCACGCACTGCGTGGCCAGGGCTCACTGCCCCTCTTGCCTCTTTCTCAGGGGGTTGCTCTCCAACACCAAGTAGCTTGGATTGACCAGCTCGAATCCAACGGGGATTCGAGCACAGAGACTTTAGATTCAAGTAGGAGGGGTGGATTGCCCCCACCATCTGGCCCTTCCAGGAGGGGGTTTGGCAGGACTCGCATGTGGACAGGGTGGGGGCAGATGGACTGGACAGACTGGGCTGTGCAGGTACAGTGTAGCCTCCGGCCAAGCCAGCCTCTCCAAGCTTCCCCACTTCAGAGAAAGGCAGCCTAGGGGTGCCTCCACTCCAGGGGTGGAGTGGGGATTTTGTTATGTGGATGGTGCTTTTGACCCCGAGGTCAGGGTAGGGTCCTCTCTGCCTTTGTTTAAACTGGTTTGGGCCAGAATAATCCTCTGGCCCTTAAGCAACCAGCCCCAGAGAGCTCCCAGGGTTGCCCTGATAACACTGGAGACTTTCCGGGTTGGCTGGGCTGAGCCAACCCAACCCCACCCACCCTAGCAGAAGACTGCCACCCCTTTCCGGCCACAGCCACCTAGACTGCCACTTGCGCCAGCACGCGCCACCCGGCCTGGCCGTCAGGGCTGGACCTTGCTGGAGTCCCACTGGCCTGAGCTGACTGACCCTCCCCGCTTGGAGGCACTTTTTGATTCTTGGTTTCAGAACAGCCCGCTCGAGTTCTGAGATTGATAAAGTCTTCTGTTGACTTGCTGGTCTCTGCCAGCCCCAGAAAGAACTGGAACCTGCACTGTGAGTGAGGTGACGGAGGCCACGCTGTCCCCAAGTTACCCCTTCTCTCGGGGCCTGAGGTCTGACCCTTCCTTCCGAGGATGGATGTTGGGAGAGAAGACCCATTCCTCATGCTGCAGGGACGGTCTGGTCATGGGGGAACCTAGAGGATGACCCAGAGCGCCCCCACCCACTGGGGCTGTCATATGCATGGATGCTGACGAAGGGGCCCCCACTCCATCCCAGTTGCGTGTATGCACGCAAGGGGGTTGCTGGGCCCACCAGGTGGGACAGGGCCCCAGAGTGGGATCTGGCAGGGCGCCGAAGTGGGAACAAAGTTGGGGTGGGGGGGAGAATGGCAGGTGGGAAGCAGTGAACACAACACCAGGGAGCAGAGACCTCACACCATGTTACGGTTACAAGTGGTGGGCGAGAGGTGGTGGCGGGCAGGGCCAGGAGCTGACGTGGCGGCTGGCAGGTGGAGGGGCGTCCGGCAGCTCGCTCGCCTGTGCGCCACACTGGCCCCTGGGTCCGCTGCTGTCTGCTCCAAGGAGGCAGCAGGGTCCATGCGGGGATGGCGCCGGTGGAGGGCAGGGGAGTGGCCCCAAGGCGGGTGGAGGTGCGGGCCAGGAGGCGGCAGGGAGGCCAAGCTGCAGGCTGCTGGGAGCTCCAGGGCACATTTCATGGGGTGCAGGTCAGGCGACATGGGACTGTCCACACCGGCTGTCCGCCCGGACGACGGCAGTTGTGGACTTGGGGTGCTGCTCTAATACTCTCGGCCTGGGAGGAGCAGAAAGAACAGGGTGTGCACTGGATGAGGGGCAACAGGAGCCAGTGCGCGGCTGGTTTTCACTTGCTTCCAAGAAAGGAGTGAGAACAGGCTCCGAGGGGTGCGACCAAGCTCTCCCACACTCAGCTCGCTTCCACCACCACCCGCCCGGCAGGGCCTCAGCGCTGCTTTTACCGCTGGCTGAGGCTTGGGAACCTAATGAATTTCCTTGGAAGTGACACAGCACGGGAGGCAAAAATAGCCAGCTGGGATGCTGGCTGCGTGCGCTGCCCTCCCCGCTCCCCATCCACCCTCACCTGAAGGCCACGGCACAAGCTGGGCGGGCTGGGTGCAGCGGGTGGCGGGCCTGGGAAGGTGGAGGCCAGAGGCCAACATAAATCTTGTCTCGAAACAGCCTTATGGGCTGGATGGGGAGCCCCTGCCTCGCCTCACCCCCTGCTTCCAAGACTAGTCTGAGCCCACACGAGCGGACCTCAGATCCCTCACGGAGAGAGGTTAGTTGCAAGTAACCAAGTATCAGAGCTGGAGAAACGTGATTGTGATAGCAGAAACACATGCAAATGTCCTCATTTGAAAGTCATTCCAGAAAGAAACACTGCACGGTTTCTCCCAGCAGCTCGAGACGACCCCGGTCGATCAAGGTGAGCCGGGCTGAGTAGCACTGGGCATGGGGCAGCCTTTCACGGATGAGAAAAGCTGACCCCTTGCTCTGCAGTCCTAGCTTGAACCTGCATGCATCTCCACGGCACCTGGTACCAAGACCCTTCAGAGTAATGCATTGTAAGCTTTAACACTGGCATGAGAAAATCTGGCCATAAAACATCTAACAGGATAAACTGTTCTTCTGTAGACAGAATCCTAGCTCATAACCTTTCTAGGATCTTCCATGGAAGTGAGGGGAAGCCCCACAGAAACAGGGAACCCGCTTTTTAAAGGAGGTGTTACCAGGCCTCCCCGGTGGCACAGCGGTTGAGCGCTGGGTTGCAAGCTGCCCGTGGCCTCTGCGGCACCGGTTCGATCCCCGGCTGCTCCCCGGCCACCGGAGGAGGGTCCCGCATGGCACGCAGACCTCTCCTGCCGCCCGCTGCTCCCCTCGGCAGTGTACCTCGGTCCTTCTGCCTGCTCTGCTCCCCGCTCTGGCTCTGGTGAATTCTCTCACCCTCCCGCGCTTCTGGCTGTGCCCAGTGCTTGTATAAATAAATAAATCTTTAAAAAAATAAAGGAGGTGTTACCACAACCCCTTCTCAAGCGAGTCCGGCCTGGAAGGCAGAACACCAATCACTTCCACATAACTTAAATCTCGCTGATCTTACATAGAGACAAGAAGAAAGTTTTCTAATGTGCTGTGTGCTGTACTGGATGTATTATTATTGTTATTATTATCATACATTAAGACAGTATTATTCAGAAGAGACAAACTCACCGTAGTTTTCTGGCCCTCTCCCTGGGTTTCTTAATCAAATCTTCCAAATGTTTATTTCTCTGTTCTAAGCTGAGGAAGAAAAAATTGAATCATCACTAAAACCAACTTTTCTCTCTTTTCCTTAGGTAGAAGAGCAAGAAGTTCATCGACAGATGAGGAGGGCAGGAAAGCTCTCCGAGCCAGGGGTCCGAGTGGGCAGGCCAGACCTCGCGGTCTGGAGTTGCGGAGAACGGCCTAGCTAGTGACCCTGCTCTCTGTGCCCCAGGCACCCAGGCCAGGGCTGGGCACGCCAGGGCGTGGACTGAAGCCTCAGGATGCGCTCGCTGGGCAGGCGGCTGCTCACTTACTGGGTGATGTGGAAGTGGGACAGCTCCAGCCGCTGGTCAGCGCACTCGATGATCTCCTCGTAGGACATCACCTGGAAGGACAAGCCGGGCGATCGTATGCCGCAGGGCTTGCTGTTCCCTTTGTAGGGCCCTCTGAGGGAAGCCCGTGACCTGGCTCCTGTGGGGGCTCCGCCAAGGCCCTGCCTCCTGTGTGGGAGCAGCGGTGGCAGCGGCAGCCCAGGCCCGCAGCGCCGACCTTATTGTCCCACATGAGCTGCGTGGTGGGGGCTCAGTCCTCGTGGGTAATGTCGCCAGTGTTTAACAGGTGAGTTAGACAGGAGGCGGGTGAGGTTTGCTCCCCCTTCCCTAGGTAGCAGTGGCCCAGGACCCAGGGGGCCAGCTGCAGAGACTGTGTGCGCCCAGCTGGAGGCCTGCCCCCTGCCCCCACCATTGGCCACAGCTGGGGTGGGGGGAGGGGTAAGAATGGCCACCTGTGGGGAGGCCTGTACCTTGTTTATTAAGTCGCCCAGATGTCTCTGGCACCTGTCGTTCTCGGCGATGAGTCTGTTGCAGTGGTTTTCCTTCGACTCAAGCAGGTTCCCCAGTTTGCCGATCTACAGAGAAACGTGGGTGAGAGGGCAGTGCCTGGCAGGAGCAGGGAGGGATGCTGTCTCTGTGCCCACGTCCGTGGTGCCGCTTCTCCGTCTGCATGCAGTGCTCAGAGCTGGCTTCTCCAGGCTGCCAAGGAGCCAGGCTGCGTCCAAGCTGCATGCCACCTGCTGCCCCACGGAGGCCCACCATTGCTGATGCCATGCATAAGGTTAATGAATCAGCAAAGGAGAAAGCTTTGGACCCTCACATGAATGAGCTTTGTATTTTCTTTTACAGATACATACACAATCATTTGGAACAGAATGCCGATTTTTAGTCATTTAAAAATGACAGACTTGACTTTTAAAAACAAATTATGTCGGTGAGTCTCTGTAGCACAGTGGGTCTAACTGGGTTGTAACTGTCTAGAAGCCCAGATATTTCCATTTCCTTCTAACATGTTTTCCTGTTTCAGTTTCCTTATTCTTTCCTACAATTGACATATAACACTGTGGAAGTTTAAGACACAGTGTGTTGATCCGATGCACTTATTTATCACACAATGATCACTGCGTGGCTTTAGGCAACACCCCCAAAGAGCCCCCCACGGTGGATGGCACTGGCCCCAGCTGCCATAGGACTGTGGCAGCCTGGGCGACTATATAAATGTCTTCCCTTGCCAGGCAGCACACACCTTCTTATTTCTGCATTTTGAAAGAAAAAGTCTGGTCAGTAGGAACAAGCCAGGTGGGGCGGCATCAAGTCTCCCAAGCTGGCAGCGCAAACTTAGCTCCACGCTCTGAGGATGAATGCCACGGCTAGACGCCCGGAGTGAGCTCATTAACGAGCACATATTTTGAGTCAGACCTTGACTCTGTAGAGGGAACAGCACTGTGTGTGAGAATGCTAGCAGAGCGACAGAAGAGCCTCTTACCAGGAAGTCAAGCTCTTCATTTAGGTTGTGGTACTTGTCCAGTTTGGCCCCTAGCAGGACCGGGATGTCGCTGGCACTGCTGGCCTCACCCAAATCAAAGTCGGTAGTCTGAAATTAAAGACATTAAAATATATAATACATCAGATGGGAACATACGTTAAGCATGTTATTTTACAGTAAATACTAGTTTAATTAGCAAAGGGCTCTTCAGTAGCTGATGAATAGGAATGTGGAACTCAGCTAGGTAGAGTTCAAAAATTTACCAAAGGAACAGAAAAATCTGAAGTTGTGATTTTGTATTTGTTTTTAAAGAGAGTACCTAAAAAATGTGACTATCCTGGGACTTTTATCCTTACGCTGTTGCTGGGACGCCACACTCTGACTGGAGTGTGTCTGGTAAACCATCCCTGCGCCCCTGGGTGAGTCCCACTTGATGACAATGACAAGCCAGGGTGTCCCACTGCCCTGGATTTGCAGTTTTGCTGAGGTGTTTGTGTCACAAGAAGAGGGCAGTAAACAGTGTCAAACTCACCTCAATAACCTGGTCTTGAAATGCTTTTTCATTAGCAATCAGCTCTCTAAAGGTTGTGATTCTGTCTTTATGTTTCAGTAGCTGGGGGAAAAGCACGTGATCGTTCAGGTGAGGGCAGGAAATAAACGCGTCAGTCACATCTAAAACACCATCCATGAGCCATGTCCAGCGACCTCCAGCCCCAGGAGCACACCCGTGCAGGAAGACCCCGCCGCAGGCCTGCGGCTGCCCCTCAAAGGTGGCCAGGCTGCCCTGTGGGCATCTGGGAATGGTAGGCGTGGGGGTCCATCTTCCCTGGGAGGAGCGGGTGACTGTGCCTGGGCCCTGTGTGTGGAGACGCCACTCAGGTGCTGCCTGCTGGCCCCGAGGGGGTGGTGGGGAGGGCATATCTGTGCGGCACCTGAGGACTTTTAGATGCTCGAGACTCGTTTCCTTTGGACACTGCCCTGGGGCCTTTGCCCCTTGCTGACGTCACCCTGTCCTCTAGGGTCACTGGGTCCAGCCATGACAGTGTGTGCTGAGTGTGAAGGACCAGCAGGTCCTCAGCTGAGGCGGGCTTGGTGACACCAGGGCGTCATCTCCCTGACCATGGTTAGCTGTTTTCACAGCCAGTTATTACAGTTCTTTAAAGGGGAAAAAAAAAACCAGCTTTTTCCAGAGGTAAGTTACATTCATTTCTTATTTACTCATTTGTTTCTTTAGCGACAGTAAATCTTTTTTTTTTTTTTTTTTAAAGATTTATTTATTTATTTATATAAGCACTGGGTACAGTCAGAAGCGCGGGAGGGTGAGAGAATTCACCAGAGTCAGAGCGGGGAGCAGAGCAGGCAGACGGACGAAATACACTGCTGAGGGGAGCAGCGGGCGGCAGGAGAGGTCTTCGCGCCATGTGGGACCCTCCTCTGGTGGCTGGGGAGCAGCCGGGGATCGAACTGGTGCTGCAGAGGCTGCGGGCAGCTTCGCAACCCAATGCTCAACCGCTGCGCCACCGGGGAGGCCCGCGACAGTAAATCTTAATATTCAATATTCAAACTTTTCCAAAGGACAGCAATTACAAAAATATTACTTGTATTCTATGAAAATGTTTCAAAATTTAAAAAAAGAGGCTTTAATATGGCTCCTGTGGCCTCGTCATCCAGCTAACGGCCAGTTGCATGTCCTGCCTCATGGCTCACGACCCCTCTGGCCCCTTTTCTTGGTCCAGCCAGAGACACAAGCCATTTCACCTGCCAAACTACAGTGACAACACAGACATTTATCAAAAGAACATCAAATACCGGAAATTCCATTCTGCCGTGCCCTGCTGCACCTCAATGGGCTCATCTGGAGGCCGTGTCAGAAGAGGGGCCAGCCCTTGTGTCTGTCCATCCCTTGAACCTTTTTCCTATGGGAGTCTCTGGAATAGTTGGAGCAAGTTTCCTGTCTACCTCAATTCAGAGACGGCATTTCTGATGGCCCAGGACTGACTGTGCTACTGCCTGAGGGCCTGAGCTGGATGGTGGCCTCATGCCTCCAGCCAGACAAGCCTGCCAGCTCTGCACTGCGCCTGCCTGCTGGCGTGCTGCTTGGCTTTCCTGCTCTCAATCACTCTTGGATTTATCCCTTGATTTCTGTGCTGCTGCATTGAGAAAACCATAATCACAGAGAGTCCAGAGTCTCTTCCCTCACCCTTGTGCCACTTAAGAGAGAAAATTTGTTTTCAGTGTGCTCATTAGTTACAGGGCAGAGAGAGGGGCAGCACCCCAGAACCCCTACACCTGCCTACTCTAAATAGGTTCTGCCATCCTCCTCATCAAGACAAAACATATAGAACTTTAATGAAAAGGAACTTCAGTGCAATTAGCTTGGGAGACAGACAAGACAAAGACTATATAACTTCCAAATCAGGTACCCAAAGTTACCTGTTCCCTCTTGGGTAAAAGTCTGGCCAAACAGGATTGGCCCAGAGCAAGGCCCAAAAGCTGCCGCAGCCTAAAGCCCCTTCCAGCTGGGGACCCATAGAAAAGGTTCAGAAATAGCCAGACAAGTCTGGGAGGAACAGAGCAAAATAAGATAAAAGCTGCCACTGTCACCTCCCCTTGGGTCTCAATGCGTTTGTTTCAACCAGTCCAGGACCAATAAGCAAGTGCAACTTCTTCACACATCTCTGTGCCATGTGCCGCCTCCAGGTCTCCTGGCTCCCCATCTTTCCATTTCCCTTCCTCAGCCTCCTCTCCAGCTTCTCCTCCCTGTTCAACTCCACCATCACTTGGATGGGGCAGGGAACCTGGTACCCCCTTTTTCCTGGGAACCCCCCGTTATAATTATTCCAAGTGAAGGGGTGTGGACAGAAACGACACCTCAAGCGAATGCAACTTCCACATTCCAGCAGATAAGACGTTCTTGTGCAGACGTGTCCTAAGACGAGACCTGACCCATGTCTCTGGTGAGGGGCACAAGAAACCAATCTTTGGAAAAATCTTAAATTTTAGGGGCGTTTTATACTTTTACATTATCTTCTGACAACTGTTTCCATGAAAAATGACACTTTAGAACAAAGAAGAAACACGGTACCTCTTTATCTAGATTTTTCTTTTTGTGATGGAAGCTCTTCAGCTTTTGCAACATTATGTCGCTGACTTTCTCGCCGTCTTTGACAGGTTCAGTGTCAGGACTGGTGACGCCCTGGGGCTAGTGGTTGAAGAAGATTAAAAACGTTTCAGTGAAGCTGAAAGGAGAAGGAAAACCCACAAATGAAACCATCCAACCTCTGCAAACCAATGCCCACACTCAAGGAGGTAAAATAAAGCTGAACCCAGGTTCAGTAGCTTCTCCCAAGACCCGGGCGCTTGTGGGGGAAGAGGCAGTGGAGTGGAGCCGCTGTGACTTGTTCTTTTTTTTTTTTTTTTTTTTAATTCTAGGTTGGCAGACATTTTATCTTTTTTTTTTTTTTTTTTAAAGATTTATTTATTCATTTATACAAGCACTGGGTACAGTCAGAAGCATGGGAGGGCGAGAGAATTCACCAGAGCCAGAGCAGGGAGCAGAGCAGGCAGAAGGACCGAGGTACATTGCTGAGGGGAGCAGCAGGCGGCAGGAGAGTTCTGTGCACCATGTGGGACCCTCCTCCGGTGGCCAGGGAGCAGCTGGGGATCGAACTGGCGCTGCAGAGGCTGCAGGCAGCCTCGCAACCCAGTGCTCAACTGCTGCGTCACCAGGGTTTGTTTGTTCTTGACGTGAGGCCAGTCACCATGCAGGCCACCCTCGCTGGTCAAGCCCACCTGCCTGCCACCCACACGCACATCCCCTCCAAGCCTGGGCAGCTCACAAACCCAAAACTCAGACAAACGGTCATACCCGACACCGGGACCAACCAGGCACCCTCAACAGTCCTGAAATGCTGGTCATGTCCACGGTGCCCAGAATGAAGGCCCCAAGCCCACATGACCGCAGGACACAGTGCCCGCGGCGCCCATGCTGAGCCCCGCTGCTTAACCTCCGGCGCTTGGGACGAGAAACTGCTCTCGGCTTGGTTAGTTTTTCGGGGCAGATAATCAAACACAGGGTAGTGTGAGGGCTACACAGCTAACCCTTGGACAGCAGGGACAACAGGAGACAGGCCTCCCGGGACAGTGCTGAGTGCCTGCCAGGGCCATCCTGGGGGAGGAGCAGTGTGCGCCGGAGGCCTGTGTTCTGGGTGGCGTGGGGGCAGTGGTGCACGGGTGCTGTCTGCCGGGGTCTACGGGGAAGAGCGTGGCTAATGCCCCATTGCCCAGGGCTCAGGCAGCAGCAGCCTGCACGCAAGACTGAGGAGCTCGGCAACTGTGATGGTGGAGGGCTCGTGCCAAGTCTCGTCTAGGATCAGCGAAATGTCAGGTGGCCAGCCTGCGACCTCCTGCAGTGGCTCCGTCAGCAAGGTGTCCAGGGTGTCGTTAAGTGAGGGTTCAACAGAACTCAGTTAAAACAAGACACAAACGAGGTTTATGCTGAATCAAGACCACCACCGAAGTGTGCCCCCGAGCCTGGCAACCACGGGGACTCGTGAGTGCCCAGAAGCTGAGCGCCCAGAAGCATGGCAGATGGGACAGGAGGGGGAGCGCAGCCAGCCAGGCCACCCCTCCTAAGAATAGTCCAGCCTCATGGACTGCAGCGAGCCTCGCTCCCCTGATCACCAGGTGAACTCAGGTAAGAGCACGCGCACTTCTCAGCCAGGCTGCTGGGCAGGAAGCAGCAGGCAGGAGTTGGCTGGCAGGTACGGACTCCACCATCTTGGATGATGTGGGCTCCTGCTTGCCCTCCACTCCCAGTTGCGTGGCCAAGAGCCACTCATTGGGCGTAATTCTCAACCCAGGACAGGCCCGGAGAGCAAGAAGCCGCTCCCAGGGCCTTCCAGAAATGTGGACATGGGCCGTGAGGGCTGCAGCTGGGGTCTCCCCCGGTCTCCCACTGCCTCCAATCCTGTCTGCTCTGGCAGCCTTGTGGGGCTCAGTGCTGTAGAAAGGGAACAGGCAGGAACGAACAGGGGTGGGGCGACGCCTGGCTCAGAGGCCGGATGTCCCCCTCCTTCCTTGATGCTTACCTGTCTCCTTTGGCCAGCTCTTGTGCTTTAGTCCAAGCCCAGCCCCCCCAACCCCCAAGAAAACACACGTGTTATTTTATCACCTGGCACATGAGAAATCCCACCAGCAGTGCCAGGAGACTGTGAATCTTGGAGGCCAGCTGAGCGGCCCTCTTCATGTCCGGGGGGTCTGGGCTCTCTTCCTCACCAGGCCGGCGAGAGCAGCCAAGGAGCAAGTGAGGTCGGAGCATCCTGGCATTCTTCGGGCACAGGTTCAGACACGTCACAAGGAGGACAAAGAATCCAGAGGCCTGTGTAAGTAAAAGGCTGGACAAATGGCCCCTGTGACAGATTCTGATCACTGACACTCAAACTCTGGGATTTCAGGACCCCCCGATGCGCACGTGTGGTTTACGAGGGGTCTACCCCAGCAGCGTTCAGAGGACCAGAAATAACAACTGAGAACATTTAGGAATCTGGTTGTGAATTTCCTTAAATAATAGACCCATTATGTGTCACCAGGAATTACACTTTTTTTTTTTAATTGTAAAATCACCACATTTTCTAGAATAAACTATTAAAGAAAAGGGTAGCCATGTTTTACATTTTTGGGACATGTTTTTAATCCTGGCTCAATGGGAGACAGCAGGAGTCTCAAACTTGCTTCACATACTCCATCGACCATGAAAGCAAATATGTCAGCGTGTGCCTCGTAGTTTCTGGAAGACTCCACAGCACACTTAATGAAAGAATGAGAGTGGCAAAAGGCATGACCTCTTAATATTAATTAAAACACTTTCAACCTTGTAGATACTCCCAGACCACGCTTTGAGAGCCAATCAAAAGTATAACTCAAAGTCGACTAACATTGGAGGGTGAGGGGGCAGGTATTAAAGAAATTGATTACTCAAGATAAAGAACTTTTTAAAAGGAATGCAAGGAAATCATTTCACTGTGCTAAATGCAGTTAACCTACTGACTTCTGCAAGGAGCTGCAGAGGCGCAGGTGTGGGGCCCCCACCCCAGGTTCACTGCCACGGCCACAGGGCAGTCACGGGAGCCACAAATGGCTGCCTTCCCTCCACGTGGGCAGGTGTGGACCACTTCCCCACACCTCTCTCCCCACTCTCTCACACTTTTTAAAAAAACGTATCCTAGCTTTGTGCAGTGGCAGTATCGTAGCCAATGAGGTTTATCCAAGGCGTGATTATTGCTAATAAAAAGAACATATCCTGCAAATCACTAAAATTACAAATTATTAAATAAATTGTTTTGCAAGTAAACACGTGCCAGTGCCAAGCCTAAGTGGGCATCACCGGTCTATTAGCGGCTCCCGAGCTCCCGCCGTGGACTCTAAGCCTGTCTCAGTACCTGGGTGATGGATGGCTCCGGGATGGGCCCCGGGATGTCCTGGGAGGGCTCCTTGGCCAGCGCCGGCAGAGGGCTGGGAGGTGGCATCTCGGTCCTGGTGACCTGCTGCTGGAGCCTCGCATTTTCGCGCCTGACCCTGTCAATCTGCTCCTGGAGTTGTGTGTTCTTCTCTTTTTCATTTTCAGATACGATTTGCAAATTCTTCACTTGGGCAATCAGGTTCTCAAGCCTTGACTTCAGCTTCTGCCTTTCGGCCAGGTTTTCTTTTTCCTGTCTCTGGAATTCCTCCTGCAAAGACAGGAGCTCTTGCTCTCGGGTCTCTTTCTCCCTTTTCAGCAAGTCCAGCGCGCAGGCGGTGGCCTTCTCCAGCTCACCCTTCAGCTGCTGTAGCTGCTGCACCTCCTCCTCCTTCCTGCTAAGGGTCTTGTCTCTCTCTACGCACTGGCTGAGGGTCTCGTTTTTCTGCTGCATTTCGTTCACGTACCTTTCCTGCAGGTGCACGTAGCTGGTCTTGACCTTCTTCAGCTCCAGCTGCAAGGCCTCCTTCTCGTGCCTGCAGTCCTGCAGGTGTCCCTGGGTGCTGGCCAGGACCTTGTGCACCTTCTGCAGTGTCTTCTCCGTGTCATTCTTCTCCAGCATCACTCTGTACTTGTCTTCGATCAGCTCCTCCACATTCTCCTTCAGCTTACTGATGACGTCGAGGAAAACCTGCTGCTTGGCCGTCCTCCTCTGCAGCTCCGCCACCTTCTTCTCCAAGTACCTGTTGCTGCACTGCAGGTTGTAGATCCGAGTCTGCTGCTTTTGGTTGGTCTGTCTTAACTTCTGCAAGACCTCATTCAAAGCCATGTCCTCTTCCAGCGGCTGGAAGCTCTCCAGGCTTTGCTCTGTGTCGGGGCTCCTGTGGTCTTCTGGAGACGCTCCTCCACTCCAGGAGAGGCCCGCAGGGGACCACATGCCTGCTGGGACAATTTGGTGCCCCTCCGCGTCCTCTGCTGGGACTTCCTTTGGGTGAACCATGCACAGCTCGGGAATCTCCCCAGAATTCTGCCCTCCTTGGGAGCAAACGGCAACCTGTCAGTTACAAGAAACAAGGTAAGTGTGGGAGAGGAGGAACATGAGCTGTGACAGTTGACCTTAAACCTAGAGCCCTCGAGTTTGGTTCTTCAGCTATAAAACAGCAACGATCATCTCTGCTTCCAAGAACAACACCTACTTAACAAAATGTTTGAGGATCAGGTGCTAGGTGAGGGTGCAGCCCCTGGGAGCATGGGGCACACACAGCAGATGTGGTAGAGACAGACATCACGCTGGTGTTTACCAAAGTAAAGTTAAACTTTGAGACTCTCGCCATGTTCTAGGATGCAGACTTTTCTGAACACACCGATTCTCTGGGAAAGTCCCATATATGTGTAAGTGTGTGCGCGCACACACACACACACACACACCCACACCCCTGTTACAAAAACAATCCTTTAATTTTCTACAGGCCATCTGGCCATCATGATTCATGTACCAAGATTTCTACGTAGCTCCTAGACCAAGCAGGTTAAAGCTATTCTCTTTATCAAAGGGTCTTCAGCCCCTGTGGACACTTTCCTTACTTAAGAAGTTCTGCGGTGGCCCAGGGTCAGGGGCAGCAGGCGAGGCAGGGCTTCTAGCCAGTGGCGGTGTCTCCAGGAATGTCTGTGTCCGTCCACTGCAGTGGGTCAGAGTTGGGCTTCCTGGAGGTTGTCCAGCCCGCTCTGGGGCAAGTGGGTTTTTACTTGTGCAAGGGCTAGTACCCAGCGGGTTTTCCTCCTCACATGAGTCTGCCTCTGCACTGCTGACCTTCACGTATTTATACACATGACTCTGCACTTCTGCCTTCTCTGCATGAGGTGAGCATTCAGGCAGGTTTTGAAATGTTGCCACTTCGCCACTAAATGTTTCTGTCTGATAAATTTCACAAGGGGCTTCAAAGAGTCTGAAGGCAGGAAAGCTGGTGTCCGCTGCCTGATTCTGGGTGCAATGTCCTATGTGGACATCTCATTAGAAAGAGAAAGATGAGGAGAGAATTAGTTGCCCGTGCACTGACATGCTCACGTTTATAATAAATGGCTGGGGCCCTGCAGGAAGTCCATACAGGGCTTGTGCTGGCGAATGACGCCCCTTTTTTCTGGGGGATGGAAGTTCTCAATTGCCACAAAACAAGCCCATCATGTGTCATCACAGTTAAATACTATCACGGCAAATTCCAAGATGTCTTTAAAATGATTGCACTTGGGGCCTCCCTGGTGGTGCAAGGGGTTAAGATGCAACCTATGAAGCTCTCTGCAGCCACTGCAGCATGAGTTCTATCCCCAGCCGGCCAGGGAGCAACCCACATGGCGCAGCAGACCTCTCCTGTCTCCCTGCTGCTCCCCTCAGCAGTGTATTTCAGTGGATCTGCCTGTTCTGTTCCCCACTCTGTCTCTGCTGAATCCTCTCACCCTCCACACATCTGGCCTGTACCCCAGTTATTATATACATAAATAAATCTTAAAAAAAAAAATGATTTTACTTGACCAGTATTTTTGGATGTTTAATTATAAAAATTTCTTTGGAAAGAATCAAAAGCACAGTGAATCATGTAACAGCAAACACGCATCAAAAGTCACATGTAATTTTAACTTTTTATAATGGACTGTGTGTGCTTTATGGCAGTAAATGACAGAGAAGACTACATCTACCTTTATTTCAGGCATTCAGGACATACCTTTTTCTCCACAGCCAGGATTAGCTGTAATGAGGCACAGACAGGACAGCGCACAGCGCCTGGCTGTTAGGATTATCTCAGAACACACACATAGCATCGTACTCCACAGTGCTAGCAGAGGTACTCACCACCCAGCAGATCGTCCAGTGTGCCATAAATTTCTTCAGAAAGTGTGAGCTTAGACTCAGTTTCCCTTCTTGTTGTCATTATTTCATCCTGTAGTAATAAGAGAGATATCACTACAAACATCATAAAGCCTTCCGTAAGGGGTACATGGGCTACAATGGAACTTTTGGCTGGTATTCTGTATTTTTTATGTTAGTGTATTTCTGTATTTTCTAGTATTTTGGCTAGTATTTGTGTGGGTAGAACATGCTTTCTATTTTGAGTACAGGCAGCGGCGCTCAGGTCTTTTTCCAGACTACAGCACTTAAACCAGTCAGGTGAATTGTTTGGTCGCCCAGTACATTCAGAAGCTATGTTATTTGTTAAGTGTGCAAAAAAAAAAACCAAAAAACAAAAAAAAAACCCCAGTACACGTCTTACTTAAATACATCGTGTTGCTAAAAGCTGTTCATCATTGCTTCTCGGCCTTTTAGCTAAGATCAAGTATACTAAAAACTGTTCATCAGTATCTGAACCTTCAGCCAGTGGGGACCTATTTGCTGGGTCTTGTGACCTCTTGCCGGGTCTTGTGCAAACACACTTGCTTGAAAAGCACAGTGGCATGAGGTGTGGCCAATACGTGGCTCCCTTCGGGGAGACCAGGCTCATGCACCCACCACAGCGAGTGGCAAACACTCATCTTGCTATTTCAGCATTTCTGGTTTTTTGGTAAGTTGAATCATGTGACTGTAACTTAAGGAAAAATGACAACTTCTCTATCTCTTATTGATAATTTGCTCACCTTTGTTACATCTGGTCTAAACTAATTGGGCAGCTGTAATTTGAGTCTTTTGACATTAAAAATACATAAAACAGTATGTTGGGATTCCAGCTAAATAGAAATCTAGAACATTTCAGGTAGGGTTTATTTTCAAAGTCAACTCAACACTAAGAAGAGGGGTTTTTTAAGTAAATTAACAGTATAAATAAGACAGTAAGGAAAACATTTTAAATAACTGAGGAAAACACTGACTTAATCATGAATAATGTGGAATTAAATGATGCTGTAAAAAATCTTATAAACCAATGAGTTATAAACATCTATTCAATGATGTTTTCTTATACATTCTTCTACTTATTGAATGTATTTGAAGTATAACCAAAAATGACCTATATTTTGTTAACAACCTATTTTCTAGACTTGTTGCTAATTCAGACCATTCCTCCCAATCAGATTTTTAGTTTCTTGGATGCTATGCCTGAAATCACAATCGCACTATTCCCATGCACAGACTTCTCGGGAGGACACATGGAGTCCCAGATCACCTCTAACTCTAAGCCTTCTAAAATATTACTGTTTCTAACTAAAATATGCCTTTTGTTTCTGTGGTCTACAAATTTCTTAGAATAAGATGCTCAATGATATCCGAGAGGGAAGACCTGCTTACACAGTGTGACACAACCATTCAGTGTCCTGGGCCCTCAGTAACGCTGCCACACCAGGACCAGTTTCTTCAACATAGTTAGTTTTTCATAGTTCTAAAAAAGAAGTTTGAATGTTGTCTAAAAAAACCAGTCAAAAGCCCAAGTAGGACCTCCCTGGTGGCGCAAGGGGTTAAGCACAGCACTGTGAAGCTATCCACAGACGCTGCAGCATGAGTTTGATTCCAGGCTGGCCAGGCAGCTTCCCACATGGAGCAGCAGACCTCTCCTGTCTCCCCGCTGCTTCCCTCAGCAGTGTATTTTGTCAGTCTGCCTGTTCTGTTCCCCGCTCTGTCTCTGGTGAATCCTCTCACCCCCGTACCTCTGGCCTGTACCCCAGCTCTTGTCTGCATAAATAAATAATCTTTAAAAAAAAAAAAAAAGCCCAAGTGACCAGAGTCACCTCAGTACTACCTGAGATGAGGGGTTTAGTAGAGAAATAGTATAAATAAGGTAGTAAGGGAAACGCACAACCATCTCCCCAGCCAGCGCTATGCACTGTGCTGTGGTACTTCAGGGCGAAGCGTGTGCCAAACATGTGCAATCATGCACGCAGCTGTCCGTCTACTCGCAATGTTCAGTTACTGTGGATAGTTCTGCAAATATCTCATTATGTTCACTTTCTAGAGGAAGAATTAAAACACCACACAGAAATGTGTAAACTGGGCTGATTTCCTATCGCTAAGCAGTTCTCTAGTGAAATTGTCGATGTTCATCCTTCGAAAGAAAAGGCAATTTCACATGGGGCAAGCTAATGCATTCCTATTCTCTACACTCTTGCCAATAATTGTAATGCATTTAGAACAGTATGTGTGGATCTTGGGACGTTACAGTCTGTCTTGTCTTGTGAGAAGGGGCACAAGGATCTTCATGGAGCCAGAAAGTTATTTACACCCGGGGCGCTGTCAGTGTCATCACAGATGGGGTGACAGTTCGCATGCTGACTTACGGGGATGCTATAGCTCAGATGTCAGGCTTGTGTTCTGCCTGGGACTGAATAGTTGTGGCACGTCCTTGCTGCACTCTTGGGAATTCATAGTGGCTAGAAAGAATCACTTTTAACATCCTATTTGTAAAATTCTACTTTTCTTTATAGAATAATGAAACAGACCCTTTATTCCCCTCCTCTCTCAGAGACTCTTTTTTTTCCAAAGATTTATTTATACAAGCACTGGGGTACAGGCCAGAGGTGCGGGAGAGTAAGAGGACTCACCAGAGACAGAGCAGGGAGCAGAACAGGCAGAAGGACTAAAGTACACTGTTGAGGGGAGCAGCGGGCGAGATAGGAGAGGTCTGCCTCACCATGTGGGAATCTCCCTGGCTGGCCGGTAACTGAACCGGCGCTGCAGAGGCCGCGGACAGCATCACAGTGCTGCGCTCAACCCGCTGCACCACCAGGGAGGCCCCCCTCAGAGACTATTTTTGTAGTTCATATTTTTTTGGGAAAAAACTTCACATGGGAGACAATATGAATGCTAAATACATTTGTACCTCACAGAACGTAAGCAATGCACACCTGAGGTAAGTCTGAAGTGCTACTGCTGGCTTCCACATAGAAGGGAGAATCTGAGTGAGCAAAGTCTCGAGGAAGATTGCTGACATTCATAGCATCTGCTTCTAACATGCTTTCTAACTTTTCAGAGAAGTATCCACTTCAAAATGCACACGGTCTGAAGATGACCACCAAGCTTTTTAATACTTCTTGTTCCTGTTGAGTGATGATGGAAGATGGTCTCTTGGAAAAAAAACATAATTTAAGTATCTATTAGAACATGCAAACAATAAGCATGTTTCCCTATCCTTCCTCCCATTATGCAGCAGTTTACTGTTCTAGGATTTGAAATTCTATCACGCGGATTTGTAGTAAAATAAATGATTTAGACACCAACAAGTGAGGGCGTGGCTACTATCCAATAATTCCTAACAGGCTTGGAGCACTGACATAATGGGTTATTTAACAACAGGTATTTGCAAAATGAGGCCAAATAGATTACACAAACACCATGTTTCCACAATATTACTTGGTAGCTTTGACTCAAGTATCTCTTCATCAGGTCAAATCCAACTTTGTAAATTGGTTTTCCCTCCCTTTGCTATGCCATACTGATTCTCTCAGGCACCAGGGTTTGAAAACTTGTGGACATCTTTGATCTCCCTCATTCATCTTGAATGATTCAGTTGTCGTTACCTGTCCATTTCTCCTTTCAACTTGTTTTCCAAGCCCTGTCATCACCTGGCTCCATATTCTCAGGACCTCCTGAGTCTATCAGAGAACCAGGGTGGAAAAGTCGAAAGCCCATATTCTTCTGCTTGAGTTTCTGTTCTGGGTCTCCCAAAGTCATTCACCCCACTGACCCAGCAACTTCCTTACTGGGTCAGACTCCGATCACATTCCCCAGCACTCAGTATTCTGTTGTGCCAAGTGCCTCTGGATCCTAAACTTCCTATCTATCCAATCCTGTGAGTTATTTTTTTTAAATCCCTACGTTTAGTCTAAACTTCTGTGCCACAATTCAGCACCTTTTTTTTTTTTTTTTTTTTTGTGGGACCCTCGCTGGCGGCGGGGGAACGAACCGGCGCTGCAGAGGCTGCAGGCAGCCTCGCAGCCCAGCGCTCAACCGCTGCACCACCAGGGGAGGCCCACCTATTTGTTTTCCTATTTCATCTTCACCATTGTATTAAAGGTGGTAGCGCTTGCCTTTAGACATCCCTACCTCCAGGAGTCCGTTCATGTACCTGCAGCACAGGCACCAGTGTTGTGGAGAGTAAGCACTGACTTCTCCACTGGTTTGTTCCTATGACCCCTCCTCCATGTATACCCTCTAACCCATCCAAGAGGGCAGATTTATTAGAAAAAGAGAATAAAGGACACTTGCAGACATAAGATGGCAGGAAAAGCTGCCAGAAAGGGTGGTTTGAGAAGAGAAACACCTGCATAGTCAAAGGAGGGCAGGAAGGCTGCTGCCGGATTCCTTATTCTATTGAATGATCCAGCTAGTAAGTAACATACTGAGGATGAATTTTTTCAAACCTATTGCCATCATCCTGGGTAAAGCATAAAAAAGTGAGCAGGGCGGGGTAGTTAGGACTGGGGACAGGTGCCACTCCATGCTCACCTCTCCCCTGCCTTCCAGGTACATAGGCACTGCCTGGCGGTGAAGACCAGCTGAAGAATCCTTGTTCTGTTTTCCAAAAAAAAAATTTTTTTTAAAGCAAAAAGCAAGGGTCTTATTTCAATACCGGCGGGAACCCAGACCTTCCAGTTACAACTTTTACCCTTTGTCCATACGAACAAATGTACCTTTGCCCCTCTAAGTTGGGGCTACTTTTCCATCGTTTATTCTGCCCTTACTCGAGGGACACCAGACTTGTTAACTATTTATTCGAACACTTGGCGAGGCACTCCGCACGCTGAAGGGCGTTAGAAGGGGCAACTGGCACAACTTCACGCGCCTGTTCCCAAATCTCTTCTCAGCCGCAGGGCGAACCCGATCGTTTACAAGCCCGGTCTCCTTGTCACCTCAAAACGGCGCACCAGGTTTCGAATCCGCGGGTGGGTGCTGGCTTCCAGCGCGCGGGGACCCTCGAGACCACGAGACGGGTCCGTGAACCCGCCCGCCGCCGCCCGAACGCCCGTCGCCGGGAAGCGGGCCAGCCAGGCACTGTGACGTCACCGCCCACGCCGGCTCCGCCAGGACGCGAGCCGGCCCGGCCTCGTGACGGCAGGACGCGCGCCGGCCAGGCCGTATGACGTCATCACTCGCGCCGACTCCGAAGAGACGCGCGAGCGACCGGCCCTGTGACGTCACCGCGGCGCCGGCTCCTCCGGCCTGGAGAGCGGCAAGCACGCGCGGGAGCCTCCCGCCGCGCGGCCCGAGGGCTGGCGGGCCCGTCCTGCCACGGGGAGGAGGCACGAAGCGCGGCTCTAAAACGAAAAGCCGGGCGTCCCCGGGGGCGCAGCGGGCTGAGCGCAGCGCTGTGAAGCTGTCCGCAGCCTCTGCAGCGCCGGTTCGAGTCCCCGCCGGCCAGGGAGCTGCACACGTGGCGCGGCAGACGTCTCCTGTCTCCCCGCTGCTCCCCTCCCCTTCGTCAGTCCGCCTGTTCTGTTCCTGCTGTCTCTGGTGAACCCTCCCCCCACTGCATCTCTGGCCTGTACCGCAGCTCTTGTATAAATAAAAAATGAATCTTTAAAAAAATAAATAAAAGGAAAAGCTGGGACCCAGGGGGGTCGGACGTTGGACCCGCCCTCCTCACGCCCAGCCGGCGGGGCGGGACTTCCGGGGGGGGGGGGTCGGCTGTCGGGGGCGGGGCTTCCGGCGGACTGCACTTCCGGCGCGTGGGCCGCCGCCGGCTCTGAGGCTGCTGCCGAACGCACGTGTCCCGCGCGCCGTCGGCGTCCGCGTTCGGCCGTTTGCGGCCGGGCGTCCGCGGCTAGGGCGCCATGGACTACCGGCGCGTGCTGATGAGCCGCGTGGTGCCCGGGCAGTTCGACGACGCGGACTCGTCCGAAGGGTAGGCGGCGGCCGCCACGCCCCCGAGCGCGCGCTCTCCGGCGGCGGGACCCCGGGGTCTCCTCAGCCGGCGCTTCCCCGTGGGCGCTTCCTCAGCCGGCGCTTTCCCTAGTCGGCGTGGCCGAGGTCGCGCGCCCGCCTGTCAGGCCGCCCGGCTCCGGAGCGGGGGGAAACGGGCTTGCCCGGCGAGCGCCGAGGATATGTCCGTGGGCGCCTGTGGTGGCCGAGCGCTCTCCCCGTTGTCCCGGTTGTGTTATAGGGCAGCCTGACTGGGTCCTCACCCGCGCGCTTAAAAGGACTTACCAATGCTCTACTGCAGGCACACGCGGAAGGTTCATAAAAGGTTTATTCACAAGGGAAGGGGAAATGAGGAAATGTACAGCTCAGGGAGAAAAGTGGGAGACAAAGTTTTAAATGCGTCCCACCCGATCCGCCCATCAGGAATCCCAAATGGCACTCTGAGAGCTGGCCGCCAGCCAGGAGCCGTGAAGCCAGGAGGCGAGCGACCCCAAGAGTGAGAGACCCCAAGGCCCACGTGTTTTGTTTTTTACACCAAACCTGGCTGCTTAACTCCACCCTCAGGTCCCAGCCACCTTCCCTTTGGTGGTGACAGGATTTGTCTTTCCCAAGGTCCTGATGGCTTTGGTCTGTAGTGGGGGTGGAGTCCACAAAGCCTGTATGGGATTAGCGCAGGACATCCTTTCCCCCTAACAGTTGCTCCTGGCTCTAGGCGACTCTGCCCCCACAGCCGCTTACACCCACCGGCTTCTCTCACCTCCCTTTCCTCCGGGATTTGAGAGTGTTTTGGTTTTTTTTTTTTTAATAAATTTACTTATTTATGCAAGCACTAGGTACAGTCAGAAGCACGGGAGGGTGAGAGGATTCACCAGAGCCAGAGCGGGGAGCAGGACAGGCAGAGGGACTGAAGACACTGCTGAGGGGAGCAGCGGGGGAGACAGGAGAGGTCTGCTGCGCCATGTGGGACCCTCTCCCAGCGGCAGGGGATCGAACCAGTGCTGCAGAGGCTGCATACAGCTGTGGGGAACAGAACACACAGAGTGGGGAACAGAACAGGCAGACTGACGAAATACACTGCTGAGGGGAGCAGCGGGGAGACCGGAGAGGTCTGCCACGCCACGTGGGTAGCTCCCTGGCCGGCTGGGGGTGGAACTTGTGCTGCAAAGGCTGTGGACAGCTTCACTGTGCTATGCTCAACCCTTTGTACCTGCAGGAGATGCTTGAGAGAGTGATTTTTGTTGCCAAATGGCCTTGAGTCCATGGTCAGGCTGCGCTGGGCTTCCCTCCAGTTCCGTTAGCGCTCCCTCCTCGGAAAGCAGCCCTGCGGGGTTCGCTAGCATGGGGCCTGGGACGAATGGTGGGTCCACTCACAAGTGGGGTTTTTCTGAACTGCAGCAGAACACGGGAAGCGGGAATCTGGGTTAGGGTCGAGCTTCTGTGGAGATGCCTCCAAAGGGATCTCCTGGCATTTCTCCACGGAGAGGAGGGCTGTGCTCCAAGTGCACGTGTGCCTGTAAGTACACCTCTGACAATGGGGGCCAAATGTTTCTAGGGAAAGCTTCGGCTTGAAGACAGTCACAGAGGAAGCCTGCGTTCTCTTTGAGGCCCTGCAGAAGAACCTGCCTGAGAAGACCGGGGAAGTTGAGGGGGAAGACGAGGAAGATGAGGAGGAGTATGAGGAGGAGGAAGAGGACTGGGACTGGGATGATGGAGCAGGAAAGTTCACCAGAGTTTACACCTCGGGTGGAGGGAGTAACCCACAGGTATTTTATAAACGACTCTACTCATCTTTAGGTTGTTGGGTGCCCTTTTTCAAAAAAGATTTATTTATTTTTGTGTAGAACTGGGATACAGGCCAGGTTGCCGGGGGTGAGAGGATTCCCCAGAGATAGGGTGGGGAGCAGAACAGGCAAATCCACTGAAATCCACTGCTGAGGGGAGCAGTGGGGAGACAGGAGAGGTCTGCTGCACCATGTGGATCAGCTCCCTGGCTGGAGATTGAACTCAGGTTGCAGTGGTGACAGCTTGAGACTCAACCCTTAGGCCACGTGGGAGGTGGGAGACCCCTTTGGTGTCTTTTTAAAATACTTTTTGAGTCCCTGCAGTTGGAAAAAAAAGATTTTCCTTGGGTTATTTTGCTGTATAACACAACCTCACGACTCCCCCCCCCCCCCCCATTTTCTTGTCCTGAGGATTTCTTGATTTGTATTCTTCCAGTAGTTGGTAAATTTAAAAAGATCTATAAATTGTCATGAGATTATAAGCTTAAGAATTTGTGGGAACTTGTATTATTAAATGCCTCGACTATTTTGTGTTTGTCTTAATTATCCTTTGCTTTGACTGTTCTGCGTCTCTCAATGTGCAGAAACAGGGAAAGTTGATAGGGAACCTCTCAGGGCAAACACCCTGGTATGAGGATCTATACATGCTGAAAACAGCATGTGCAGAAACAGGGAAAGTTTGAGATAAGAAATCTCCCAGGGCAAAGGTCCTGATATAAAAATAAAAATCCATGCATGCTGAAAACAGCAATAGGTGTTATGGCTGGAACAGCATAAACACTGAGACTTTCTTTGGCTTGTGCAGCTGGTTACACATCCCCCATATACTTGTGCATTCCCCATTTGCCTGCTTGCTTCTTTGATGTTTTTACTTGCTGTCTGATTCTAAATAAAAACGAGACTGCCTGTGGAGCTGGGCTGCACTTTCTTGGTGCATCTCTCTAGTCTTCTCAGTGTTCTGGACAGGGACTCTGAGTAATCCATTTCATCCCGCCGCCACACCGCCTAAGGAGACAAGAATTGAACCTGGGAAAGGCCATGAATCCTTTTTATAACAGCTGCTTAAGATGCAGTGAGAAACACAAGTCTAATACATACAGATGCTATTTTGTTGTGAGTAGAAACATCAGTGACAGAAAATATGACATGCTCAAGTAGTTCAGTGTATAGTTATTTGGATGATAAGTTGGAAACTGATAAAAAGCTTGAAAAGCTTATAAGATAAATACCTTTACTTAATAGTTCTCGGGGGAGCTAGTAAGACTCAATTACAAGAAATCCTCCTGTTGTTTCCAGTGAAGAAACAACCTTACTAAGTTTGCCACAGGACCGCCTCACATGGTGGGGAATCAGGCTGCTGTGGAGGATGTTTCGACGCAGACTGTGTCAGTGACACGGAGATGTGTTATGGTTCATCATCTGTACAATTGCCAGGCCACATTGAACCTGTATCTCACACTGGAAACCCTATGTGTGTGGGCGTTTGCAGAGCTATGGAGTTAACCTGCATCTGCCTGGGGGTTCCTGAAAGATCCTGAGAGTAGGACCCAAAAATTCCCTTTGCTATCAAAAGAGCTGTGTTGTAGACTAGAATGCATGGGTTTTCAAAATAACCAATTTCATACTCACTTGCAGTCCTGTTTTGGTTCCTTCTCCACTGGTTGATCAGTGAGAACGAGTGGTTTCAACTCAGTGATGCCTTTTACTAAAGCTGGAAGAAATATGTGCTCAAATATTAGCTGCTATCTTTGGTTGCTGACGTGACAGTGACTAAAATTTTACCCAGTTTTATACAATGCTTATGTATTATCTTAATTGAGACTTATTGTTACATTTAATAGAGAAAATGTAGAAGTTGTGTGAGCACAAGAACCACGTTCACTTCAGGGCTCTATGCTGAGCTAGCAGGAAAGAAGCAGTGAGTGTTCTAGGACAGCCCTTTCTAGCTCGACTGTTGTCTCTTTTTTTGTGGGTGCTGGGTCTCACCACCCCCCAACTTTCTTCTCTCTTTGCCATTGTTGAAGCTTCTGTTGAGCACCAGGATAAATGCTAAGGCCTTTACTCGATTTTTCCTTTGTTGAGATAACCAGACCCAGGCTGAAAATCAGTGTAATGTAGGTCTTAGCTCTTTGTTATGCATTTTGGGGGGGGTGAGTGACTATTCTCGAATTTTAAATCAAGAAACTGGTCAAATGAGGAAAATGCATTTAATTTTAATTTGTTGTTCATACAATGGGGAACATACTGTAGAGATGTTAAAAAAAAAAACAGGTTTTGCAGATGCTTTGTTTTAGCCAGTAACTTTAATCTCTTATTTCAAATGCCTTTTTGAAAAAATGTCTTTTAGCCAAATCGACAGACTTCCAACTGCAATTTGTCCAAAATGTCCACTCCAGCAGACAAGGTCTTACGGAAATTTGAGAATAAGATTAATCTAGGTAAGTTCTTATAATACATTTCCTCACTGGGCTGTCAGGAAATTATTAAAACACACAGACTTATAACATTTTGTTAGATCAGGAGATGGATGTATTCAGTGTGAATGACTGACCGATAATGCATAGAGAAAATAACTCCCTCACATAAGACATGGTTCAGGAAAGACTAGTTCTGGATTCTGGCCTACAGGCGCCCCCATGATTGTCTCTTTCTGTTTGGTTTGTAGCAGGGTCATTTCATGGCAGGGTGTGGGGAACACTAGACTGGAGGGTATAGCCAGCATTCTGCTTATACAGAGATGATGGTTCGGTGAGCTGCAGAATGCAAGGATGCGGGGCGTGGACTCAGCCAGCCCTTGCAGCTGAAACCCCATAGAGCGCCTCCTGTCCTGTCACTGCCTGCTGTGCACCTGGGGTCTGGAGTGGCGCCGACTTTTGCAGAATTTAACCTAGAATTCAGGTAGTTACCTGTGTTAGTCACAAAATACTAACAAGTCTGAAATTTAGCACATATGGGTGGAGTGGTTTTGAGGGATTTCTGGATTTAGATTTTTATAGCTCAACAGTTGGAGCTGCAGGGGTGAAAGAGAACCTTGTTGTTAAGGATGTGCCCTTAGCATTGGCCCTCGCAGACATTTAAAGAGGGCTTTTTCCTGAGCATGATCATAAGACACTTCGGAGACAGAGGAAGAGGTAGCCTAATTCAGAAAGACTTTAATCTTACATGCTTACATTGTAGATTTTTTTTTTCTTTTCTATTTGTAGATAAGCTAAATGTCACTGATTCTGTCATAAATAAAGTCACCGAAAAGTCCAGACAAAAGGAAGCAGATATGTAAGTAATATCTTAACTGTAAAACCTGGATGATCAGAAATAGTTCTAGGCATCTCAGTCATAACTTTTTGGATTTAGCTAGTTGAGGATACTCTGTGCCACTGAAAATTGAAATTACTACGCAACTCTTATTTTTTTTTAAATATTTATTTATGCATACAAGAACTGGGGGTACAGGCCAGAGGTGTGGGGGTGAGAGGATTCACCAGAGACAGAGTGGGGAGCAGAACAGGCAGATCCACTGAAATCCACTGCTGAGGGGAGCGGTGGGGAGACAGGAGAAGTCTGCTGCGCCCTGTGGGTCACCTCCCTGGCCGGGGATCAAACTCGTGCTGCAGTGCCTGCAGATACCTTCATAGTGCTGTACTTAACCCCTTGTGCCACCAGGGAGGCCCCTACTAAGCAAATCTTAAGTGTGTGGTGAGACTCTCACTTTGTGACATTAACTGATATGCCCTGAGGGGCAGTGAGGAGGACACTTCTGCAGATTGTGTTTCAAGTAAAATGTGAAAATATAAAAATGCTCCCTTTTAGAACTTACTCAGAGTTGTTCCCTTCATGGGTTCCCTTGTAAAACTCAGGGGAAAATTTAAAACGTTATGACTGAGGACTGTATCCATTTACATTCTGTTCTCAATATCAGTGGTTTACGATCTGGCTGACCTCTCAATGCTGACCTGTCACTCTTCAGGCATTACCTGTGTTACTGAATTTGCAGGGAGCTTGTACCATGACCTCCCAGTGTTAGACCTGAGCTTGGGGCTCATTCTCTTCTGGCTCCTTACTATTCCCCAGAGAGCAGTTTTTAGAGAATTGCCATGGCCCATGTTCCCTCCCTGAAGCATCTAAATCTACGTGTATGGGTCTTTATTAGTTGAGGTCAGTGTGCTATACTAAGGCACTTAGGGTAGTGCTAAAGCATGTTGGTGTCCAACGCACTAACTGCTCGCAGTAGCGGGAGTGGTGTCTCCACAGGAAGGGGCTCTCCGGAGAAAGCTGTGCAATGACCACCCCTGCCTCCCCCACCCCCCCCCCCCCCCCGCCGGCTGCAGCGTTGCCGCAGCTTAAAGCACATTACACGCTCTTGTTTTTCTCCAGCTTCATTCACTTTACTTAACTCTTTTCACTCTGTGCTCCTGAGGTGTGATAGGCTAGTTTTCTTACTACGTATAGGCTTTTGTCTCGGGTACCCAGTTGTGAAAAGGTTCCACTGAGACATGAAACCACAGTGAGATCTGGAATTTGTTCTCAGGAAACTCCCCACTGAGGAATGTTACAGCAGCGCCCACATTTAGAAACAGTTGTGTTGCGTCTACCTGAATTCGAGTACTCACCTACTCTGTTCTCTTTTGGCTTAGGTATCGCATCAAAGACAAGGCGGACAGGGCAACCGTGGAGCAGGTATGATTCCAGGCTCTTCTTTAAAGGAGCAGCTCCTTCCTCTTTGAATTGTAGTTTTCTTCTGTCCGTCTTGCTCAGCTCTAACGTCCTCCAGCTGCCCCTGTATAAAATCAGTCCTGTTCCTACTCCCAAACTTAGAGATGTACGGTAGACTATGACGGCCTGTGAGGGGACAAGCCATCAGCCATTCGGATGCGTTGCTTCCTCCTGCCCCCTGCTGGGCTAAGTGTCTGTTTTGCAGCAGCTCCGATCCCTCCCTAGAATCCCAGCACCCACCAGCTGAGCCCGTGCACTGTACTAGCAGTGGCTGCTGCCTCACACGCTCCCCTGTCTTTATCTTTTTTACTTTTAATTTTAGTTCTAGTTTTCATGGTTACTTTTGTTCCTCCACACATGTACATCCCATTTACCCTTTGCTGGGCTACACTGCCAGTCACATGCTCCCTGTCTGTCTCCACTTGTGCCAGGCAGTTTGCATCCTGCGGTCTCCTGGCCGTTGGCTGCACTCACCTTAGGCTTGACCCCTGCATGCCATCCATGGAGAGGTAGGAAAACAACCCATAGCCAGGGGGTGGACTGGAGCGGTGTGTGAATCCCTGCTTAAAGTAGCCTGTCCAATACCATGGCCACCGGGCATTTGAGGCGGCCAGTCTGAACTGTGATGGGCTCTAGATGTTAATGCGTGGTGCGTCTTCGGTATTGGGGGCGGGGGGCAGTGGTCACTGTCTCGCCCAGCACGTCGTGTTGTCCGCCTGTCGGGGCGATGCTGCCCTGTGGTCTGTAACAGTGCGTGCGGTGGGATAAGTAAAATGCGGTGAATGTAACTTCCCCTGACTCTGGGCGGCCGGAAGGCACTGTGTGGGGGGCACATCCTGTTTCTTGGCTGACTTCGCTTCCCTTGGGCTCCCCTTGGTTCCCGCGGCAAAGGGACCATGTTGCTCATGGTCGCTCTGGCTCCTCGACCTCGCCTTGCCGTTGACTTACTGAAAATCCTGAGCACACCCTGTTCAGACTTTGCCTCACCCGCAGCACTGCAAGGGGCCCATCACTGGCTGGGAGTTAGATGCTCCGCTGACAAGTTCTCACTGCTCTGCCTGCACTGGCTGGTATTTGCGTCTCCTTCTAGGTGTTGGATCCCAGAACACGAATGATTTTATTCAAGATGTTGGTCAGAGGCGTCATAACAGAGATCAACGGCTGCATCAGCACAGGGAAAGAGGTGAGCTTTGCTTGGGATTCCTCGGTGTCGTCATGGTAGTTTTCTTATTTCAGATCCAGTCAGAATGGAGGCGCTCAGTAAATGTGCCTTTCCAAAGAGAAGGAAAACTTGGATGTACAAGGCAGGGTTGTCACCACAGCATTTGCGCAGGGGACTTTAGTAATACCTGTGGCCGGGTGGGGGTCAAGGTCACGCGGTGCTGCTTGCACCCGAGACCCACTGACTGTGGCGTCCACCCGGGCGCCTGCATTCCCTGATGTTGGTCACACAGGCGGCTCCCGGCCCCACGGTGACATGGCAGGGCGGGCGCTCTGCCTTCCTCCTCGCTCCTTTACGTGTGGGTTTGGGGAAAGGTGGGCACGGGGCCATGAAACTCCCAGTGCTCCGCGGGAAGCAGTTCTTAGCGAGAGCCCGTTTCTCAGTCACCAGGTGTAACGAGGTCCTCGCCTGTTTTCCACATACTTGAGGTATGGGGCGGCTTGAGCGTGCTTGTCGTGTGAATTTCACCTGGATTTTCCTGTAGTTGTAAACTGGAGAGTGCTTTCGCCCTCGCCCACCTCCCCCAAAGTCCAGGGCACTCTCCGGCCCCGAGTCCGTGTGCGGGTGTATGGGGGGGGTTGAGAGACCGACTGGCTGTGGTCACTCAGCACACTTAATTTTCTCTGTTTTTGATTTGAAATAGGCCAATGTCTACCATGCTAGCACAGCAAACGGCGAAAGCAGAGCCATCAAAATTTATAAAACGTCCATTTTGGTGTTCAAAGATCGGGACAAATATGTAAGCGGTGAGTTCAGGTGAGCTCGGGGTTTTTTTTTTCGTTTTTGTTTCTTGGTTGGCTTAATTTGTTTCCTACAAAAATAAAAATGAATAATGGGATGGAATGATGGAAATGTTTTTCTTGTTTAAGATTTCGTCATGGCTACTGTAAAGGCAACCCCAGGAAAATGGTGAAAACTTGGGCAGAAAAAGAAATGAGGAACTTGATCAGGTGACTGTCTTGAGGGGGAGGGGATGTCTGAGCCTTGGAAGCTTGAGAAAGTGTTTGGAATTCATCCTGAGGACGAGGGGCGCTGTTGTGGGAGCTTCAGTCGGGAAATGACACAGTCGGCGGTATCAGTGTGTCCCTTTCTAACACCTATTGAGGTTTTAGATGCATTTCCTTAGGTCCTAGACTCCTCGTAGTTAAGTCTTTCAGTCTAGCGCGGCGCACCTCACGTGTGCCTTGTGCTGACACCTGCGTCTGACCTGGCTGAGGTGCTCTTTCCTCAGAAGCCCTCTCCTCTCCCACGCTGGCTGCAGGAGGCACACCCTGTGTATCTAGGTGTTCAGCAAAGGCGCTCGTGGGGGCGTCCTGAGTTGGTGCCGGTTCGCTGTTGGGGTGCGTCCACCTGTCTTTATTGGCACGTGTTTGGGCTCGTCACCTCAAGACGTCGCAGACACATCTGCCGTGCGTGTGGGTCTTTGGATGTGCCTCTCTTTAGACTCACGCCTGGCATTGGATTGGCTGATAGAAACCGGGATGTCCCCGTTGATCTGCCAGGTTTTGTCACTTTGGTGACACGATGTGGCTTTAAATCATGGTGTCTTCCAGAGCGGGAGGCACAGCACCACCGCGAGGGCCTGGGTGCTGCTCCTGCCGGCTGCGGTGCTCGCCGGCTCTTGACTTTCCTTGTTCTGTCGCAGGTTAAACACGGCTGGGATCCCATGCCCAGAGCCCATCCTGCTGAGGAGCCATGTGCTCGTCATGGGCTTCATTGGGAAGGATGACATGTAAGTGTGGGGGCCTGGTCATTGCCTGCTTAGGACTGTGTTATTAAGGGGTTTTGTTTAAAAAATACGAAAATTTTTAATTAAAGTAATACTGATTTATGTCATGTAGGGTTCAGGTGAGCTGCAGAAATCGACATCTGTGTTCACTACACTGTGATCCCCAAAGTCCGGGTTCATCATCATGCCGTCGAGTCCCTCGGTCCACCCTCCCCGGCCCTCCCCTGCTTTCCCTTCAGGAAACATTCTGTCCTTACTGTCGAGTTAGTTTGGGTTGTTTCCTGTCTTTGTTTGCTCTGCTTTCTTTGTCTTCCATGAGGAGTGAGTCACCTGGTGTTTGTCCTCCGTCTGACTTGGTCCTGTCAGGTTTCCCGTCCATTCCTGCTGACGTTGTCACACACAGCCAGAGCGCGTCTCTTTTCAGTAGCGGAGTAGTGTCGCACGTGTACAGGCGCGTCCTCCTCGTCTGTCTCTTCTGTCCTTGGCTCCTGGGTCGTCTCCCGGGCTCGGCTGTTGCACGTGGTGTTGCAGTGCACGCGGGCGCGGGCAGCTCTTCAAATGAGTGTTTCCTTATCCTCTTGTCAGGGAACCGGAAACGGGATGACCAGATGGTGCGAGTTCCTGTCGCAGCTTTCTTCAGCAGCGTCCGTGCTGCTTTCCATAATGGCCGTCCAAGCCTTGCTTGCATCCCCAGCACACGGGCCCTTTCGTAACCAGCCCTCTTATTTCTGGTCTCTTGGTTAATAGCCCTTCTCCCGGGTAGGGGTGTCCTTGCACGGTGGTTTGGATCTGCATTTTCCTGATGGCAGGTGACGATGGACATCTTTTCAGGGCCCTGTGGCGTCTGCGAGTCTTTGGAGCAGTGTCTGTTCAGATCTTTTGCCCATTTCTAAATCGGGGTCTTGAAAAATCTTTTCAACAAGTTCTTTGCGTGTTTTGAATGTTACTCTTTGTCAGCGCGTGGTTGTGTCTTTCCCACTCAGTGGGCTGCATTTTCGTGGGCTGACACGTTCTCTCCCCGTGCAGAAGCCTTTTGGCTGGATTTAGTTTGCGTCACTTCCATTCCTCTTGCTGTTGGAGTCGGGTCCCCAGAGAGGTCTGTAAGGTGCTGTTCCTTGTGCTTTGTGGAGTCAGGTCTTACAGCCAGATCTTTAGCCCATATTAGATCTGGGGGCGTGAGGGGTAGGGGGTGGGTTTACTCTCTGGCATGTGGCTGTTCAGTTTTGCCAGCCGACTAGAGAGATTTGCCCTCTCCTTCCTCTTGGCTCCTCTGTTGGAAGCTATCCGTGTGCCTGTGGGTTTACTGCTGGGATCTCAGTTCTGCGCCGCTGCCTGATGTGTCTTCGTCACCCCGTTATCCAACGTGCCGAACTGCCCTGCGTGCAGCGTTTCTCATTCTTAAATTAATCCTTCTTTCTTGGAATATTTTTCGTGGCTCTTTCCCACTGTATCAGTGTGTAGACACAATACTCAGTTCTGCCTTTTAAAGCCTCCACATGCCTGTCAGTAACACCCCACCCTGAGGGGAGGGCTGGGCGAGGGTTGGGGAGTGGGGGGGAGGGCAGGACGAGGACCATTGGCACAGCAAGCCAGGGATGCACTTGCTCACAGCTGCTGGCTGACGGCACAGTGTCCGTGGGCGTGGTGTGTGCAGTGAGCCCAGCTGTGGCCATATGGTCCATGGGATGGCTTGGGGACGAGGGACACATGACCACACAGTGTAAAGCAGGACAGCTGTTCACTTGTGTTCACTCAAGGCCAGCGCCACTGTTGAAAAATGTCCACTTGTCAGAATCCAAGGCCCGGGAGCTGTACCTGCAGGTCATAGAGTACATGAGGAGGATCTACCAGGACGCCCGGCTCGTCCACGCTGACCTCAGCGAGTTCAACATGCTGTGAGTGCCTCCCACCCCCATGGCCCTCCGTGGGCTTTGAAAAACAGGTCTGGGTCCCAGCATCAGGCGCGTTCTGCAGTGTGGTGCCGCCCCCACACCCCAACTCCCTGTTCTCCCATGTCACGGTGTGTGCCAGGTGCTACCCCTGGTGCCCCAGCACCCCAACTGTGGCATCCACTGCTCTGACCCTGAGAGGGCCGGCTGGGACATATCCTACTTTGGCCTTCTAGTCAGTGATCTGTTCCCTTTGGCTGCCTTTTCATTTTACCACTTTCCTTACTCTTAAAATACATTTTTTTCTTTTTCTTTTTTTCATGGGACCCTCCCCGGCGGCCGGGGAACGAACCAGCACTGCAGAGGCTGCGGGCAGCCTCGCAGCTCAGCGCGCAACCTCTGTGCCACCAGGGGATGCCCTTAAAATAGAGGTTTTTAAACAAAAACGTGGGGAAGGAGGCGTGTCCTGAGGGTCCCACGGTCCTAGCATGTCTGCCCACAGGTACCATGGCGGAGGAGTGTACGTCATCGACGTGTCCCAGTCTGTGGAGCACGACCACCCCCATGCCCTGGAGTTCCTGAGGAAGGACTGTGCCAACGTCAATGGTGCGTGGCCGTTGCTGCTCTGTGCTTGCTGTCGTGTGGGTTTTGTGCTCCCTTGAGTGTCAGTGTGAAGTCATGGCGCTGCTCATGCTGGTGCTAAGCCGGTGCCAGGCTTGTGTGTTTCCGATTCTCCAGTGGCTGTGTCTGAGCTGTCGTGAACTTGTCCCCACAGATTTCTTCCTGAAGCACGGCGTTGCTGTGATGACCGTGCGGGAGCTCTTTGAATTTGTCACCGATCCTTCCATCACCCCGGAGAACGTGGATGCTTATCTGGCAAAGGTGAGGGTGGAGGGGGAGCAGGAGGAAGTGTGTGTGTGTCACCTGTGTGTCTACCCACTGAGTGCCCCTGCATGCTAGGCAACGCTGGTGCCGTTCGCACGGCTTCCCGAGACCTTTCCCGCCAGTCAGAGCCTACACAGCCAGTGTGAAATCACCGCGCAAGGTGGCACAGGCTGGCAGAGTCCTGAATGTGTCGCTGGAGACTTGTGAGACTTGGTCACGGATCTTTGGGGCAAAGTGTACATGGCACCAGGGCCCTTGTCATGTGCACAAGTCGGTGGCGTTAAGGACAGTCTCGTCGTGTCACCGCCACTGCCCTGCAGCCACAGAACACTTTGTTTTCTAAAGCACACCAGGATGGGGATATGTGTTTTGTAGCTGGAAAGTAAAGGAAGGCAATTGTTTCCTTTGCAGGCCATGGAACTAGCATCTCAGAGGACCAAGGAAGATAGGTCCAGCCAGGACCACGTGGACGAAGAGGTTTGTCGCCTGCCCCCAGCCCAGAGAGGGCCTGGGTGTTGTGGCCTCTGGAGTGCATGAGAGATACAGGGTTTGTAAATGACGAGGTTGTGACAGGTTAGGAAATTCAGCTGAGCCGGGTTGTGTGACTTGTGCTGTCGCGCTGCTCTGCTCTCTGTGCCGTGGTCCTGGGTGGAGCTTCTCAAAGGCACTACTGGAAGATAAGATTCAAGAAGGAATAGCGGGTTTTTCGTTTACAAATGTGAATTTTTAAGTGATTTAAGCGCCAACTCCAGTGACACTGTAGATTTTTAATACTAACGTTTGGCACCAAAAAGAGAATTGTTTCACTCTTGGGTGTCGGGATGTTTTTGTCACACAGGGTGGGCTGTTTCCCATGTGAACACCCACGGCTGAATATTGGGAGAGTTGACAGCGGCACTGGGGTGGGGGTGGGGGTGGGGGGATGGTGGTCCTTGGGCCGGCTCCTGAGGCAGCACAGTGGCCATGACCCTGCTGCAGCACCAGACCCTTCCCCTCGGGGGAGCTTTGTGGAACACAGGCGTCACCCAGGGTCACCCCGAGTTGCTCCAAGTCCTGTCCTTGGTCAGGGCATGGCCTTGCTAGGTCGGCGCTGCAGGTCGTTGGTTTCTCTATGACCTGAGGGGCCGAGGCTGTTGTGTGAAAGTGGGGGGTGAGTGTAAAACCATTTGTACTTTCTCTTCCTCCATGTCTGCCAGGTGTTCAAGCGAGCATATATCCCTAGGACCTTGACTGAAGTCACGAGTTACGAGCGGGACTTGGATGTAATGATGAGGCTGAAGGAGGAAGACATGGCCATGAGTGCCCAGCAGGACAGTGTGAGTGGTGTGGTTTGTGCACAGGGCTGGTTTGCAGCAGGGGCTGCCCCTGTCCCCGTCCCCCTCCTCTGCTCTGGACGCGGCCCCTGCAGGACCAGGGGTGCCCAGGCTGCTAGGGTGCTCGTGGAACAGGCATGCTCCATGAGGCCAGCAGGCGTTGCAGGAGGGCAGAGCCGAGCAGAGTGTGCAGTATGAATTCTTGCCCTCGTAGATCCGTTCACGTGTGTATTTCAGAGTGTAGAATAAAGTTTTCTGGTGAAGGTCCAGATGTCAGTGTTTCAGAACTTGCAGCCTGAGAGATGAGCGTGGCTATGCTCAGTCATTACGTAACGAGAGAAGAAACGTCCCCAAAATTTTAACCAAGGGAGCCGAGAGCGCTTGGCGATACTGAGCACAGGCTCTCATGTGCTGGGCGAGTGCCCTGCCTGGCTTCGTGCTGACTGTAGTTTTCTCTTGTTACAAGATTCTCTACCAGACGGTCACTGGGCTGAAGAAGGACCTGTCAGGCGTTCAGGAGGTGAGGACGCTGGGCACAGCGCCCACTGCAGAGACCCTGGGGAGGGCAGGGCGCAGCGCAGGGGCGAGTGCCGGCAGCGCCAGTCTGCTGCGCTGGGTGTGGTCCCCGTCTGGGCAATTTCAGAGATGGACGCCCTTTGTGTTCATTCTCAGCAACTTCTGAGGCTGAGACGTGGGACCGTGGTTTCTGCCCGGTCCTCCTGGCGCGCTCTGGTGGCTGGGGCGCCGTCCTTCCTGCGTCCCAGTCTTCCTTTGCAGCACGCACAGACCGGCTCGGAGTGGTGGGGCGCAGCCAGTTGAGGGGCTCATGAGCTCAGCTTTGGCCCATGCTGGGTCCCTGTCTTCAAAACGATTTTGTTTCATTTTGTATTTTAACACAATTGAATCTAAGCAGTAATAAAAGTAGTTTATTTCTTTGAACGTTTTTAATGAAAAGCTTAACATTTAAGATTTGCTCTTTGAAGCGTAACCATCTTTGGTGGGAAGAGCTGTTGGAATCCTGGGAGCCTGTGGTTGAGGTGGTTGCAGCGCAGGGCAGTTGTGCTGTGAGCCCCAGAGCGTGAAGGTTGTCACTGGCTAGGGAATACTTTTGAAGGTTGTATTTTTTAAAAAAAAAATAGTGCCTGCTGCTATAGAAACTAAATCTTAGGGGGATTCAGTTATGCTTAAAACCATCCTTTCTTCTGTCAAATGAAGTGTTGCTGGCACTGAGGTTAGCCGAGAACAGCTGCGAGGGTGTCCAGAGCGGCTACATGCTTTGCATTGGCTTGTCTGTGTCCTTGGGGTCCCGGCTCTGAGCTCTTGGCCTGCGGAGAGCTGCAGAGCAGCTGCGTGTGCTGGGCCACCCGACAGCCACCACCTTCCCTAGGCTTCTCGTGAGCCTTGCCCTGTGCCTCCTCCCTGAGCGCCCTTTCACTGTCTGCGCACAGGGCAAGGTCTCAGCGCCATTAGCCGCGAGGCTGGCGCCTGCGTGCTGGCTGAAACACGTTTGATGACGGCTGTGAACTGGTTGGCGGGGGTAACACGGGTCTCTGATATTCCAAGGTCCCTGCGCTCCTGGAAGATCAAGTTAAGGAGAAGCCTTGTTCTGAGTCAGAAGATACCGGAAGCTCCGAGTGCTCTGACACTGACTGCGAGGAGCAGGGGGACCACGCCTGCTCCAGGAAGCCCACACCCGACCTCGCGGTGGGCAGGAAGGTCAGCCTCACCCCACCCCCCATGCCAAGTGGCATCCTGCGTGCCTGCATCAGGCTGGTTCCCAGGGCTGAGCACTCTGGCAGTCTGCAGTCCCCCTGGACTCTGCTTTGGGCAACAGTACCTGGAGAAGGGGTGCTGGCGGGAGCAGTTTGGCCTTCCACCCTCCTTCACTTAGACACCAGTGAGGCTGGAGTCTCCCGCAGGCTGCTCGGGAGCATCTCGGGACTCACTGCCCAGCCGGGTGTCTTCAGAATCATCGCCTGTCCTCCCTCCGCCTGCCGGGGCTGTAGACACCCCGCGACTGGGCAGTGCGGGCAGCCGTGTCACTCGTTCTTGTTCTGCAGTCTCCTTACTGCTTAGAGTGAGTCACCTGTGGGGGCTACGACTTAGAGTCACCCCACCTCTCAGAACACTTTCCCCCCCGTCTACTGGGAACAGATTGTCTCTTTCCAGCAAATGTTTCTGTGATGATACGAACCTTGTAAAGAAAAGTCATTGCAGGCGTTGAAGACCACCCTCGCTCGTGGTTCTGCTCCGCTGGCTTCAGATTTTGCCAAGAAAGTTTAAAGGCCATTTCGCTCTAATTCTACCACCAAACTGAACATTTTCATGTTCCATTTTATCCTTTTACATGTATATTTTCATTTGGGTGTAGTAACTGAAGGAAGCTGGGGGGTTTTAACTTCTGTTTTTGGCTCACAGGAAAGAAAAAAGATGGTCAAGGAAGCCCAGAGAGAGAAAAGAAAAAACAAAATTCCTAAACATGTGAAAAAAAGAAAGGAGAAGACAGCCAAGGCGAAAAGGGGCAAATAGCATCCCCGCTGTCCCCTCCGCCCCCAAGTCTGTTCCGCCCCCCCCCCTCCCCGCCTCAGGACAGCTGCAGCCCAGGGCCCGGCCAGCACGTCCTCGGGTTCTGTGCGGAGCTCGAGGCTGGCATCTCCACCTTCCCCGCTCGCTGCTCCCGGCCGAGGGTCTTAGTTCAAGCTGCTGTTTTAGTGACGACGCTTGAGCGCTTTTATTTTCCTCTGCTTTCCCTGACAGCGCTTGTGTGGAAGCGTCGTAAACATTTACCCGTGACGTACAGTCGCAACTTTCACATTTGTGTGGAGCAGGTTGGAGAGACTTGGACACACACTCGTGCCTAGTCCCACCCACCCCTGGCCCGCTGGGTGCGGCCGGCCTGGAGCAGGCAGCTCACGGCGCCTCCGCACCCTCGTGTGTGCTGAGCGCAGACCCGGTGCTGGGCTGCTTCCCCTGCACGAACTTGGCCTTTTCATTCGTCGGATGTTTGCGGCTGTAGGAGCTCGGGGCGTAGCAGCAGCCGAGATGAACGGATTCCTGCCTTCGGGGAGCTCCCGCTTTAGTGGGAAGTCAGGACAGCGGATGAAAGAAGCTACACCGCAGGTGCTGACCGCTTGTGAGCGCGGCCCTGGCAGGATGGCGGTGGTGGTTTCAGAACCGGCCGCGCCAGCAGGCACTGTCGGAGGAAAGACTTGGATGTGAGCCGCATACACTTGGGAGACAAGACCCTTCCAGGCAAAGCCCACAGCAAGGACCTGGGCCCTAGTGCAGAGGCGTCCTGACGTGCCCCACGCAGGAGGCCGGTGTCGCAGCCCTGGAGAGGTGACGAGGTGAGGGGTGTCGCGCCTGGCGGGATGTTGAGCAGAGCAACGTCGAGACCTGACTCCTGTTGGGAGAGGAGAGCCGTCATGGCGGGGCAGCAGGGGTGCTGGGGTGGCTGCCAGGGCGGTGTGTGGGACCGTGGATGCGGCCAGAGCCGGTGGGTTCGGGATGCGGCGCAGCAGAGGGGCCACATGCCGGGGGACACGGTGGGAGGGCGGGCGGGCCCGGCACCTGCCTGTGAGGAGGGCTGTGGGTGGCAGGATCGGGTGGGAGGGGCAGGGAAAGCGTGTGGTGCCACGAGGCACAAGCGCTGAGGGCCGCGTGTTAGAAGGGCTTTGCCTTAGACGCGATTCCTGTGAATAAACTCAGTCTCCTCTTGAGCGGAAGCCGGTACCTGCTTGTCTGAGAGCCGGCGGGGTGTTGGGGAGCAGTCACCCGAGCTTTCAAAATTTTAAGTCATGCTGATGTTTGTACCACCCTCCCTTCTTCGCTTTTAAGAAACTTCTGAGCACGAAGTGCAAATCCAGAATGCAAAGTTTCGGGGAGGCGCAAAGGCGCTCCCCCCTCAGCGGGCGAGAGGCAGCCTCAGCACCCACACTCCCAGGCTCCGCCCTCAGGCTCCCCTTGTGCCCCGGGGGCTGCCTCTGATGGGCGTCCCACCCCTGGGCCCCCGCACGTGCTCCGGTGCGTGGAGAGCTGGTCTGAGCGCAGCCCCTGCCCTGGGGGCTCTGTGGGCAGGACACGGGTTCCCTCATCTTCTGTATCGCCGCCGTGGATGCCTTGTGGGAGTCGGGGCGGGGGGGCCTCACCCTCGAGGGGCGCTTTTGGGTCACTCCTGCTGGCGCCGTGCTTCCTGCCGGGGCCGAGACGGGAACCAGCACGGGAGGCTGGGCGGGCGGGCTCTGCTCACAGGGCGGCACGAGTGGGTTCTGGGGGCCTGAAGGGGCGTGGTGTCCCGTGGAGTGGGGGAGGCGATGGCAGCTTTAGGTCGCCGCGTCCACAGGTGGGGGTTGGAGTTTGTCACCCCCGCCTTCGGGTTTGTGCTCCTTGCGCAGAGAGGTTAGTGCGAAGGCTGTGGGCTCGTGACAGGCGCCGGTCCTCGCTGTCCACGGAGGAGGCGGGGCTGGCCTCTGCCTCCCCGAGTCCTCGTCCTGCCCGGCCTTGCCGCCTCTGGACTGGCTGGGGGCCAGTCTGGACTCTCACGTCGCTCCTGCTCGGGCCGCTGTCACCAGGCAGCCCGGAAGCCTGTCCGTGGTCCCTTCCGGAGGGGAAGGCACAGTCGCAGCGTGAGCACCGCTGTCCCTGGCCCTCGGCCGGCCCTGTCTCCTCAGGGCTGCTTTTTGGGTCGTTTAAGGCCGATCAGCTCGCCACTTCAGGTGAAGTCCAGCCTCGTGTTCTTGGGCTGTCCTGGGTCTTATGTGCGTCCGAAAAAGTGAGAGATTTGGCCAGGCACCGCTGGGGTCGGGGCGCAGGAAGCGCAGGGGCGGGGAGGAGGGGTGCGAGGTTGCGCTCACACAGGGTTTTCCTGGGACGTCCAGGGCTCAGAACGGCTTGCGCCCAGTTGGTTCAGCTCCCTGGCTGGAATCGAGCTCAGGGCCGTAGAGGTAATAGGGCTGAGACTTAACCCCTAGGCCACCGGGGAGGACCGCGAGGCTTTATTTTGACCTTGAGCAGGTGAGACCATCGACTTACCCAGCTGAGAGTGGTCAGCCATTCCAAGCAAGCACCACTTCCAGGGCGGCAGGCGGGACGCAGGCTGATGCGGCGCGTTCACCACCTCTGCACCCCCTGGCGGGAACGTGACCTGCTGCGGGCACTGGAGCGCCCCGGGTGGACCTCAGTAAAATGGAAGTACCGTGTGCCCCGCAGTCCCGCTCTCGGGCATCTGTCCAAAGATCATGAAACACCAACACAAAAAAATAGACTCCCCAGTGCTTATGGCAACACTGTCTATGATGGGGGGCAGAGAGGGTCCACAGGGGCAACCCAGGTGACCACTGACAGGACTGGATCCAGACATGGTCCCCGCTGTGGACGCTGCGGCCATCAGGAAGGACGAAACTCAGCCTTTGACAGCAAAGCGGAGGACCCAGAGGGGCTGTGTGTGGTAGAGCAAGTCACCTGTGTGTTCTATATGTAATAACATGTTAATTTAAAACCACAATGGCATGTATTTGCATACAAACAAAGGCACAGTTGTATGTGATGGACGGGCTGAAGACATAGGGCCTCACGCAGCCGGGGTCGGGGTCCGTGTAGTCGCTCCTCTCACTAGACGACCCCGGTCACTAGCTGCGTGGGGACCTGCTTGCCATCCCCGCAGTACCCGCTGCCCCGCTAGGGGGAGCTGTGCGCTCACACGCCGCTGCCTACCTGCTGTAGGCGTGCCGCTCCTTTCTCTGCGTCCCCCTTAAACAGGAGTCGGGGGACCATCCTGACTGCGTTTGATGTCTGCTTTTTAATTCATCCCTGAAGAACCGAGGGGGTGACTCCTCAGGCTGGATTCCCCAGAAGCTGTGGCCCTCGTGTGCAGGAGCTGCTTGTTTTATTTCAGGTGACGCGCACTTGGAGGAAAGAGTGACGCCAGCACAGACAGACCTGGGGGCTTTGCCCTGGAGCCTGCCGCGTTGGCCTGCCAAGATCCCCCCTCCCTGCCCTTGTTTCCCCACCTGTGAGCTGAAGAGTCAGTGAGGAAGTCCAGAAGGTTCCAGAGCCTCCGGGTCAGTGTGCTGGCCCTGAAGCAGCTGTGCCCTCCGAGCCCTCGAAACCTGGCCCGTCCGGACTGTGCGTGTGACTCTGTTACGGATTCAGAAGCCTTAGCGTGTGAAACAGGACTAACGCCACTTAGTAATTAAAAAAGGCTTTTGTGGGTTTTTTTTTAAAGATTTATTTATTCATTTATACAAGCACTGGGTACAGTCAGAAGCGCGGGAGGGTGAGAGGATTCACCAGAGCCAGAGCGGGGAGCAGAGCAGGCAGAAGGACCGAAGGACACTGCTGAGGGGAGCAGCGGGCGGCAGGAGAGGTCTGCGCGCCATGTGGGACCCTCACTGCTGACCGGGGAGCAGCCGGGGATTGAACTGGCGCTGCAGAGGCTGCGGGCAGCTTCACAGCCCAGCGCTCAACCGCTGCGCCACCGGGAAGGCCCTGAAAAAGGCTTTTTCAAGTGTCCAGAGATTCATTAATCCACGTGACCAGCCTCACGATTGGTGCATGATGGGGAGTGTTTCCCGGCTGAGGGGGCAGCTGTGGGGAAGCTGGGGGTCCCTCGGCTGGAACAGCTCGCGGGGAGACCCTTCCCCTGGAGTCGGAGCCTCTGCCTTAGGTTTGCTGTCTCCTGTGCTCACCGAGCAGGACTTGTGCGGTCACCAGTCCCTGGTCTGCTCTGGGGTCCGGGATATTCTTTCTGGCCCTGCGCGCGTGACCTTGGCGCCGCCCTGACCCCCAGACCAGGAAATACAAGCGGGTCAGGCGCCGATGCTTGCCCGATGGGAGTGGGTCAAGGGGAGTGGGTGGAGCAACGTGGGAGAGGCCTGGGCCCAGGAGGAGAGGGCAACGACCAGCAAGGCCCGGACTGACCCCCTCTGGGTCATTTGAAGTCCTGGCCACACGTTGGAATGTGCGGTGTCAAATAAAACATGTTAAAATGTTGCATAAAGATTCTACCTGTTTTTACCTCTCTGCGCGCCTGCCGGGGTGTGGACAGAGCAGTACGTGGAGGGGAAGGGTGAAGCTCCCCCGGGCCTGTCTGAGCCAGTCTTCTGTGTTTCAGGGTGTCTCTACGGCTTCGTGGTCAGAAATACTCACTAGTCCTGAGAAACACAACGGTAAGACGGCCATTCCGTCTGCTCTTGACGGAGCAGCAGGTGTAGTGCACGGCACGAAGGGCAGCGCGCCCTGCCGGCTCCCGTGGCGCTTGTGGGTCCGCGCCTCGCTTGTGGGTCTGCGCCTCGGTCGTCCCCTCTGCCCGCGCCCCCCGCCGCCCCGCCCAGCCTCGCAGATCTTGTTTTGACTTAAGGCAAAAACCACGTGAGATGTACGTTCTGCTTCATGGTCAGTTCTGTTCAAAGCCTTTTGGGGATGTTTTAAATTACTGTCAAGTTTGTCATTGAGCTTTATTTTGAAATGATACCAACCATCCCGTCGATACTGTGGGAGCCTCAGGAAGGCGCCTCCGGCGCTGCCCGTGGTTCCCTGGTGGGCTGTGCCCACGGGGGCGTGTAAAAGGCAGGAGGGAGCGAGTGAGTCTGCTTGGCTGGAGTTGGGCTGGGAGGGGTAATTGTGTCCCTTGTGTGAAGGGAGGATTGATGCAGATGGAGCTGCAAAGAAACCAGCAGGTGCGCGGCTGGCCGGAACAGCTCAGTTACTCTCTCTCGGCCCCTCCTGGAAGGCCGGAGGGTGGCCCTTAGAGAATTGGCAGCACTGGGCCGGCATCGTGGGTGCCCACCCGGCGCGGCTAGTGCGGAGCCACGAGGCACGTGCCTCGACAGCCCTAGAGCTGGACGAAGGCGCCCGGACGCAGCCCGCATCTGCTGCCCCCTTTGTCCTCTGCGTCACGCGCCCTGTCTGTGACGGCCTCGGAACGGCCTCACCGCGCAGCACGCTTGCTGTCCGTGGAAGCACCGCCCTCCGGGAGGCGCTGGCTCAAGCCGACGGGCTGCCATGCCGCTGCCTGGCTGCATTCCCGGGGTCAGGCTCCGTGGGGAGTCACCGGACACCAGTGCCCGTCTCTCTAGTGAGGAGGCTGGACCCGGCGGCTGGGGGGCGCCCACCCCACACGTGCGTGCACGCAGACACCCGGTTTCAGGTTCCACCTCCGGGGTTTGCCGGCGGATGCTCTTGGCAGGCTGGACCTTCTGAGTGGATTGTGTCGCTGAAAAGAGGATGTGAACGCCCAGGGCCGGCCCCTCGCACTCAAAGCTGCGGTCCCAAGGATGCTCGGAACCCAGCGCCTGCTCACTCACGGGCCGCGTCACTGCTCCGGTGCCCTTCTCCAGAAGGACGTGTGTTTCACCGACAGGAGCGCTTGGAACTTAGAAGCCAGGAGCTCCGGAGCCAGTCGCTGGGGGTCGGAGGAGGCAGGACCACCGGGGAGATGACCCGGACCATCAGCACCGTCTCTGGGGATGCAGGGGTGTGTTTTTAAGAGATGAGGAGGGTTTTATTCCCCTCGGAGAGTAATTCATCCCGAATAGCAAATGGCTGCTTTCACCAGCAAAAGCTGGTCAGGCGCAGGGCAGGAAAGGAGCGCCCAGGGGGTGTGTTGGGACCGAAGACAGACTCGCAGAGAAGAGGGTGGGCCACAGCCAAACTCGCTGACCTCGCAGTTCTCGGGCCGCCCCGCCCTGGCTTACGACACTGGGAGGAGGTGGGCAGCTTCCCGGCTGTCCTGGCCTGCTGGGGTGCCACTCCCTGTGTGGGGCATGGCAGCTCAGCGTGCCGCCCGGGGGCCGGGTGGACAGGCAGGTGGCGCCACACCTGCCCCTGAGCTGAAGAGCTGGCCTTCCCAGCGATGACGCGTGCGTGTCAGCCCAGGCGGTGTGGGGGCTGGAGGCCGAGGAATGAATGGGCTAGGCATCCCACCCCTCCCCGCCAGCCCCCAGCCCCCCGGGTACACCCTTCGACCGCAGCGAGGACTCCCGGTAGAGCTGTGGGCTGGCCCTTGCTTCTGCTCCTGGACAGCTTGCTTGGCTGGCTTTGTTTGGGGTTCACAGCAGCCTCGAGGGGCATCCAGCTGCCCAGCGCAGTGGAGGTGGGGACCCTAGCTCTCCCTGTCCATGGAAAACCCAGCTCTGGTGGGGATCCCCTCCCTCCCAAGTGACCCTGCCTCTCCGCGGTCTGAGCGGATGCATCCGCGCAGCCTCCAGCGTGGCTCCCCGGGCGGGCACGTCCTCCTCACAGAGGGAGCAGCAGCCCTGGGCACGGCGGGGCGGGGCCGGAGTCCCAGCGCAGGAGCCAGGCTTCCCGCGTGGCCGTGAGGATGGTCTGGAGTGTGGACCCGGTGTCGTGGGTGGCACGAGGGCCGTCGTGTAGGGGCCGGTTCCTGGAGTGTGCCGTCCACCGCCATGGAGACACGGGACTTAGTGTCAACAAGGGGGGACGAGGCGCTGCGGGCAGAGACCAGGCGCCTGTGAGCCTCCTCCAGCCCTGCCTGCCCAGTCCCTCATGACCACGCCGGGGCCCACACCGTGTGGCGACGGAGCTTGTAAGACAGTCGGCCCCGGGTGCACGGCTCTCTGGGGGCTCCGCCTGCCCGCCTGCCCGCCCGGCCTGAAGATGGAGGGCGACCTCGGCGCTCTGCTGGGAGCCAGCCCGCTCCTGGGAAAGAGGGCCCCGTCTAGAGTGGTAACAGCCAGCCCTGGCTTATCACCCCTTCCAGCAAGACCCCCCACATTTGGTGGAAAAGGATTTACGTCCAGGTCACCTCAGTATCTCTTGCAAGTAAACAAGGAGAAGAGACGCCGTCCCATGTAAAAACGGGTGAAAGAACATATGCGGGCAATTTAGAGAAGAGGAATTGCAGGTGGCTGGCCAGCGCGTGAGAGCCTCGTCAGACCTGCCAGAAACCAGGAGAGTTCAAATTAAAGTGGGCGCCAACTTCGTGGGAAAATGACTCCCAGCGTTAAACGCAAAGCAAAGTGTAACATCAGGTTGTCGGTGTCTGTGGACAGGACGGACGTCTGATCCCACTTGTAAGGAAGTCCCAGCACGGGCGAATCTACAGGGGCTGGGAGTGGACGGTCGTTGCCTGGGGCTGAGGCAGCGGGGAGGGCGCTGGCCTTCCTTGGGGGGAGGTAAATATTCTGCAGTGGGCGTGGTGACAGACGCACAGCTCTGAATATACAAAAAGCTGTTGACTTGCTCCCTTTAAGTGGTGAATTATATGGCAGATGGGCGATGGCGCAATCAGGCTGTTTCTAAAGGGGGAGGGGGACACACTTCCTTCCCGTGAGACTCCCAGAATGTAAGAGTCTGACTATTCTGCCTTGGCAAAGCTGGGGAGCGACAGGAACTTGCCTCCCTGACAGCAGAGGTGGAAGTGGTGCTCTGTGGAAGAGCAAATTGTGTGCTACAGTCAGATCATACCTATATGTCCCCACGGCTGCTCCTGGGCAGAGACTCTTGGCCGTGGGCACACACGAGGCGCTTTACAGGCACACCGATAGCAGCATCACCTGTCAGAGTGAACATTGTATGTCATTTAAATGCAGTGAGCTGGAGAACGCATCATCGAATTGCTTTTAATCCCTTAGTGGAATACTATACAGTCAAGTAAAATGAACCAACCAGAATTATATGTATCAACGAACATCTTGCAGGTGTAAGGTTTGGTGGAAACACTGCAAGTGTTTAGTGGATTCATGCAGTGGGGGCATCACACAGAACAACATACATTTTTTATTATCACACTGCATGTGAAGCGATCGCGTCAATCAGCTATGGGAATGACACATAGTGAGGTCGTGCTAACACACACACCCTGCATCGCCTCTCAATGGGGAGAGTTCTCAGAAACGCCTGGTGGGGTGACCTCATCCTCGTGCCAGCGTCAGGGAATGTCATCACGTCAGCCTCACGGGTGCAGCCCGCTGCAGCGTGCACCAGGCCGGCGGGTGACCGAGCCAGGGCCGGGCGACCGTCCTTGGCTCTGGGAAGGGGGAGAGAAAGGGTTGGGGGGGTAGTTCACAGAGGTGATCCTGTCGGTGCTGGATAAAGCCAGTAAAGTCATAAGGAGCATCTCTGTGCTTTCCAGCGTGTGTGAGGTATTTCACAACATTAAAGAACAAAACGAAGCGTTGAGTCGTGGGGCGCTGGGAAGTTGTGAAGGCGGTGGAGCTCCGCTGTGCGGTGGATGCGGAGCTGGGAGCTGCCCCCACACCCCCGCAGGCCTTCCTTGCCAGCCCCAGCCCCCTCCCATCTGGAGGCGCCAGCAGCGCCCGCGGGCAGGGGATGTGACAGAGGCTCTTGTGTCCCCCCGGGAGGACCTCACCCTCGCCGTCTGCTAGGTTATCTGAGCACCTGTGTCTCTGCCCCATGTGGAGAAGCCACTGGGGGTTGTTGGCGTCGCCATGGTTACAGTGGGAACCACCGATCCCGTGGGAGAGGCCAAAGGCCTTGTCAGACCCTGATAAATGGACGGAGTCCAGCCTCCTCTGCGGCTGGACAGTGTCCTGGAGACACGGTCCATGGCTGGCTTGAACGTTCCTCTTTCCTTTCACCCCCGAGTGACCTTCTGGTACAGTAGTCCTGCCCTGGGTCTGCTGCCCAGGAATGTGGCATAGGAGCTGTCCCCCGGCGCTGCTCTTTAAGCCAGCCTGTCTGTTACCGGCTAAGCAGGACCAAGCTAACAGTGGCCCCTCCTTTCAACAGCCGCAGCTTTCTGGCCCGCACCCTGCGCCTGTCAGCATCAGCGAGGTGTGCAAGTCAGACTCGACAGACTCAGGAGGGCTGAGCTCAGAAAACTAAAGACTCGGACTAATGGAGTCCCCAGAGAGCTGCTCGAACATGGGTCTCGACGTGGCTGTCCTGAGGCGCGTGCCGCTGCGGGGTGGTGGTGACGGCATCTTCCTGCCTCTCCCTGCCCCTGAAATGAGCCTGGTCTTGGGAGACCGCAGAGCGCGGCGGGGGAGGCTTGACACTGCATTGGCACAGCCCTCTGTGACCCCCGTCAGCCTCAGTTTCCCCAAATCGTTTCCCAGGGCCTGCGACAGGGTGGGTGAGCCAGGGTTTTTAGGGTGACCTGAGCTGCCAGGGCCAGGCGGCCTGACTCCGTGGCCTCCAGCATGGGGTGCCAGGTGCCCACTTTCATCGCCCTCCTGGCCTCTCCGAGAGGTAGGGCAGGGAGGGCGAATGGGCGGTGGGGAGATAAAGCAGCGTCGGTGGGTGAGTCACGGGGCCTCCTTTGTGGC